TATCTCTCTACTCTTAGGTGCCAAAGTAAGTACAGTTGATATAAATCACAATGATATTTACATCATGGTGTTGACTAAACCTGACTGCAATGTCAAGTTTAGGTTTTCTAACATTTGATCTCAATTATTCTACTCTTTGAATTTGAAGGAGGGCTAATTCTGAATGTCAAGCTGGTAGCTTCATGTCATCATGATTCCATCCCATATCAGTGTAATACTATAATTTTATCACCAACTAATATACTTTTTAAGTGATTGATTATATATGAATGTCATCTTGTGCTCTTTTAGTGGATTGATACAGGGATCAATTAGTACAAAAATGAGTAGTTGTTTGGTAATGATTAATGAAAATAGAGGATATGAAATGGACATTAATGTTGTCACTACCATTGGGTTTCCCCTTTCTTTGAATGTGTTCTCCATTGAGATACAAAATAACATAATGAGTTGAGTTACAGACCACTAGCACGGAGAGGAGAAGGGGTTAAATGAGATGTGAAAGGGGAAACAGTTTGTGAGACACATTCTGGTAGGAAAAATGGTCTGGGAGAGTTTTTAATTTGATTGAAAGTTTCTCATTCAGTTCTTTGATTTCTAATATATGTGATTTTCCCCTTGGGAGGCAAGTATCCCTTCTAGGTGCCAAAGGATCTGATGTATGGTTGTATACTTTGTATGGTTGTATACTTTGTATGGTTGTGTACTTTGTATGGTTGTGTGGGTGTATGATAGTGTACTTTATTGCTCTTGACAAACAGAACAAACAAACACTTCTAATGTTGATGTTTTACTTATATTGTCATAATCCATCTGGATAGGCTATTGATATGAAAACTCCCTTTCTTATATGCATATAAGCTATGAATTGAAAATACTTTCTTGACACATTTCGATTACTGATCGTGAACATTTTATTTTGATGAACTGTGTTATAAAGTGTACTTGAATATCATCTGGTGATCCGAGGTTATCAAAGCCATCCATTCATATTTATAGCTCAAACAACAATTGAACTCTTGAAGACTTGACGGGATGAATTGTTGGGGCATTCTGTTCGTTTAATGTAGATAGCCTAGAGCACCATCTATTGAGAGTTTTCAGAGTCATTACAAAAATAATAGTTGAACTCTTTGAAGAATTAACGCAGATGAACATTGTTGGGTCAAGCTGTCTGTAATGTAGATCAGCTAGAGCACCATCTATTGAGAGTTTGCAGAGAGCCATTACAGTATATATGTACTTTCTATTACATATGGTTTTCTATATACATATTGCTACTCACTGCAAGTTGATCAATTTCAAGTTCAATTTGGATATGTCTCAAATTCAGAGAGTTTCTCTCCCTGAAACATATAAAAATGTTTAAGAAGCCAACTGATAAGGACTGAGTTGCTATTTAGCATGCAGCTTGTCCCTTTGGGGTAAAGTGAGGTATAACATGGAGACATTATAGTCTGACCTCACGTCCATACCTTGACCCAATGGACTGACCCGTCATGCTCATCTCTCACCTACATGTCAGTAGATTGTTTATCACAGCGTATTAGGATTAATTGGAGTTGGCACTAAGTATTACAATTTCACTCATCTGCTTAGATTGATAGAATGGAAGATACTGTTGTAGTAGTCTAGCTACAAGGCCTTTTGACCAATACTAAACATCTCCACCGTGTCAGAAGGTGTATAGCCAAGTAGTAAGAGGGGGGTTTACTGGGGGCTTGAAGCTAGACTTCTGTTGTAGATTTATTTTCTATTTATTTTCGTGTAGCAACAATTTCATCCATTCTTCTACAGAAATCCACAACAATGTAACCTTGATTGTGAATGATTGTTTTCCTTTAGTAGCATCTGTATAATCCAGTCTTTACATCACCAAAATATTTTGACATCCTGTTGGATTGAAGGTTACTTGCCATATGGAAAACTGGTAGTAATAGTTATAATACAGAAGTACAATATTTAGCTTTAACAGTTTACTTAGGAGATCTTGACTGCAATGTATGTGATACAGGAACAGGTGGTGACGTGTGTGGAGTTGTGGATTCACTCAGCTTCTATGGCAACCCTTTTCATGTGTTACATGTGTTTTCAGAGAGATTCTCTTTAGTTGTTACTATTAGCTTGTGGATGTCCGGGTTCCTCTTTGGCTTATACTATTACTTATGAAAGTTTGCAGTGTTATGTAATCCAGTTATTTATTTATTTAGTGAATATCTGAATTTTCACCTTTAAATTCAGCTCAAATTGAATCACTAATTTTAAAAAATATGATTCCATATCAAAAACATGTATGATATGCTTTCTATAGTCTTGCGTCAAGCCCTTATGTCCATCTAGAGACATTATGCAATACTACTATATGCAGTATTTAAGAAACACTTTAGGTTGCTCCCACATACCAATTTCATGCTTAAAGATCATACTGAAATATATTATATGACGGATGATTAATGATTAGAACTTGTAAGGCTCTAGCCTGGCTAGGGGTACATTCTAAAGTGGCAGATCTCAGAGCTTTGCTGGTACCAAGCTATGTAAGGTTACCTCTCAACATCCAAGGCCAAGTGACACATTCTGATTCATTAGGGTCCCCCTTTCTCTCAAGCTTGAGAGGGACAGCCAGAAGTCTTGCTTCAAGTCTCTGAACACCACCAGATTGTGGGGAATGTAAAGTGGGGGCTGGGGGAGGGTTATAAGGGCTTGTAGCTAGACTAACACAGCCTGTACTCTAAGGGATACTACAAGCAGTAGATCCCACATTGCAAGTGTCATAAGACCCTGGATTCCTATTGGTTAGCCATGCTACCCTCTTAGGATCTACATAATTTCAAAGTTTTGAATTATGGGCTTAGCAACCTTCTGTTGCTTTATTATGTTGTCTTTGGAAAATAATTTAGATTCAAAAATATCTTCAACAGCTTTATATCTCCTTATTCTGGGCCGACTCAGGGGATCAATTAGTATCTCTTTTTCGAAAGAAACAAAAATCAAGCTGTTAAGTTGATAAGGGTAATACGTCTTTTAATTTTGTTCAGGGAAAAAGAGAACAGATTGGGAGGGGGCGGTTTTATATTAGAAATTGAGAAGATTAACAAAAATAAAAGTGTCTCAAATAATATAGAAAACATGCATCAATGAACAATTCCAGTAAAAATGGCAATCACAAGTGAAATAGAAATTGCTAGCTGACAGCTGATGGATTCTACATTGGGGACAATTGAATAAAACTGGGGAATGACCATTATAATGCATTTAGTAATGGATGAAGGATATGTATTGTCACTTCAATTGATTGTTCCATCTGTGATTGTTCCTCTCAAGAGAGACGAAAATCAGATTATTGCTGTATAAGAAGACATAATGTATCTACAAGGTGACTTCTATGACCAGCCTCGTACTCTAAGAATTAAATAAGTCAACTTTCAAGTCCTTTTATCTCCCTGCCCCGTTATTCTGGGTCCCCTGTACATCTCAACTCCATATAAGGGATTGAGGCGGAGCTTGAGACTTAATGAAAAATACTAGAATTCATTTAATATGCGGGGGTACAATCAGTGGGTGCCTGTATAATTTTGATTGAAAATAATCTATTTAACCAGTCTTTTGTATCTGTCTACATAAATTAATATTGAATTGTTCGTAATACTTATGTCTACATATGGAACCCACATCTTCACAAATTAACAATTTAATTAAATCATGGAGAGGAAATTTGTGAGGATGTTGCTATGTAAACCTGTATGAGATGATATACCAGCATCCAGGTTGCTGTCATTAGAGCTAATTACTTAAAAAACATACATAAGGCAGGTATAGGTTGATTGGTTACATGGGAATATCAATGCACAGGGTACTTATAGAAAGTATGGGTAAACCAGAGAAGGAATATACAGGGCAGACATATGATTAGGTACAAAGTATATAGGGATATCAATATACAGGGGATGGGGGGTGGGCAGATCTGGTTGATAAGGTAGATGGGACCATCAATACAGAGGGCACATTTAGATTTGTCACCCTATGGCTTTGACCACTCTAAACTAAATGTTCAGTATTATCATCTCTGCCTTGTATACAAGTATATATTGGATGACCCAAGAAGCCTCAACTCATTTCATGGTCATCTGATTTTATCTTGAATACATGTTTTCTTGATGCAAACCAGTGTTATATTTGCCCCAGGTGAAGTCTCGCATACCTGCGTTTTTATTTCTTGACAGTGAGGTCAGTGTTAAAAGATTTCTTGTCAAGATTGCTAGAGTTTGTGCCTCAGTGGAAATAAATAACACTCGTGAAATTAAGGAGTTACTTTTAGGAACGGGTATATGCTTTAACAGTGCTGAATTATGTACATTAGGGGGTGTCAATGATTTTAAGGTCAAAATGACAGGTTAGCACATTTTTGGCAATTGAGTTAGTGTAAATCAATAGAGAATTGTCTCAGTTGTAGCCTTTTCTTGGGAATGTTCATCAGACTGACTGAGATATTGTGGATTTATATGATTTTATACATAAGAAAATATTAATGGTGAATTAGGTAGTTGTCCGATGTAGATGAGTGAAAGTCCCCCAACAGTTTACGCATTTTTGGTAATATACGGTAAAACTTGTGTCTAATGAGCTGTGAACACTCTGTTCGATAGAATTTCTCAAATGTGAACCCGTCTTTATACCCTTTGCATTTGTTCGACTTGGCTTCTCAAAAGAGAGCTTCACCTTTGGTAGATTATAACTAGACTCTGCGTGCAGGGTAGTCTTTATATGAACATGATATTAAGTTGGCATCAGCATTGTTCACTCAGGGGAAGTTTTACTGTATATTAAAGACAATAGAAAAACTAATTAATAGGCTTCACTTCACTGGAATATTCACAAGTGAAAATGAGCTCCTTTGATCTACTTCTAAGAGTTACTTTTGATTACTCCATTGTGTTTATACAATGTATGGATTGTTCTAATGGATAAACATAATTGAACATGAGAACAATTCAAATCCAGTATTTTTATTATTTAATCCTTGAACTTTTCCATCAGTATATAAAGAGTAGAAAAGCATGCATTGATTTTCTTAATTAGCCCAAGCTTCATTGATACGTATATTCATGATAGTAATAGTGCGAAAGGAATTGTTATTCTAATGTCTATGAAGTGTCCATTGGGATTTTGATCCTTAATGAGTCATTGTCGGAAATATTATCCTTTGTCTGAGTGATCCTCCGGGAGGCTGGTTATAGTTGTTAGGAGTCTCTTCGAGATGCTGTCGTTTACAGACATTCTTTGGGGGGAATGAAAACATTCGGGTCTGAAATTCCTACTGTAACGTCATAGAAACTGAAAGTAAAAAATTGATTAATGTTATGTCAATCTGGAATTATTTGTTGTCGCAAGAAACAAATTATTTCTATTATCTTAAAGAATAAGTAAAGGGGAAGTCATTAGCCCTGTGTTAAATTACATTCCTTCCTCTTCTGTCCATCGAAGATGTTCCCGATTGTTGGGAGATTTACCGAAGCGTAGAAATAGCTTCAGAAGATGAAAAATGGTGCTTTATAAGATGCAATCTAATTTCCTGATAATCCAATACTAATAAGAGACACGAGGAAACAATTACTCTGAGAGCCTATTGAAGGATTCATGAAAGCTGTCAGTGAATGGGATAGTTACAGAATGGTCTTTAGCAAACCAGGGAAATATAACACCAATGCTTCAGTCTAATCTAATCACTTCTCACTCTCTGCCTTCTAGAGTTACTGGAAGGATTAGTGATGCAATTAAAATACTTTGTATTGTTAGAAAGATTAAAGAATGTAAGCATTTTGACAGTTTTACTTGGGGTTGTGTTAACCAGTTGTAGCCTAGAAAGAGAAATGGTGTCAAGAGTTATGCTGATAAAGAAAATACATTTATATTTGTAGAATCTAAATGAAACCAGTTTTATACTCTTCAGAGTCATTTTTTTGTTATTTTCCTTCATCAGTAGTAAGTTATTAGAAAAAAGAATGAAGGAACGTTATACAAAAATATTTATACAGTAAACCCGATCTGATCATAACGCCATTTGGACAATCAAAGGTGTTTGAAATAGCAAGTGTTCACATTTTAAGATTAGCAAGGTATTCAATGATAGATTACAAAATTGGGATGAAAAGTGTTCATGTTGAGAGGTGTTCGGATTGTAGATGTGTTCAGATATTGTAACTATATGAACTTACTGGGTTGAGACGTAATCACTTGATCTACTCCTGGAAGTATGCACTGGGATGCACCCAACAGTGGTAAACTCTCCATTCCAGCGGACTGAAAAGTAAAAAAACAGGAATTGAAATTAAATCATGAAATTCATACTTGTAAAAAAATTATTATTTGCTACCATTGTATGTCAAGCACTGTATTGTATGATACTGTTTTATTCAACTCATCAAAGAATATTAAGTATAATCAAGTAGTGCCATTGAAAATACAAGTCAAAATCGAACCTATATAAACCATATAAAATATCCTACCTGTAGCTCCACTTGACTCTTTGTACTCAGCTCCCCACATTGACACCTCGACCCCAGCCTCGGGAATGCTAGCACCCAAGTAGGCCTCCCCATAGAATGTAGAGTTCCTCGGCACCTCCTCTGGATACCACTCCCATGTGATTGGTCGCTTCTCACATTTTCTTGTTTTCATGTCAATGCGATATTCAACATGCTGGAAATTAGGACAGAATTCAGTTGAATCAGAATATCTGTTAAATAATATATTTCAAGATCCACAGTCAATATAAAATATGTACAACTAGGTCATCTCTAAGATACAAACATATAGTTCTGGTATTACTGAGAAAACCACAAATTTGTTACATTGTTCAAGGATTTATATTTAGAAAGTTATTTTGATTTGTTGTTATTTGATATCTTTCCGATATCCTTTATGAAGATTGCTAGTATCAAGAGCTGCAAACAATTGAGAAATGATAGTGCTATTCAAAACAATGGGGATCTTGACCACCCTGTTTCTACAATGTCAGAGCCTAGTACTTGTGCTAGATCATATGATTGAAAAGGGTTAAGCTTAACTCACCTCCCTGTGTAGGTAGAGTGAATCTGAGTATTCAGTCCTGTTGTCAAAGTAGATTTTGTCAACAAATCGCACTCTCTGGTTGTATGCATCATAAGACACCTTCCCATATCTTTGGTACTTGTAGTTGTGGTCATGCTACAAAGCATCAGTTCATACTAAAGTAGTATTAATATTTTATAATGAGACTCAATGATCTCCAGTCTCTAAACTTCTGACTTAAGTGCCTCAAACTATTCCAAATCTGGAGAATTCTCAATTTTCAACTACAAGCAGGTATAACTTGTTTTTGGATAAACAATTTGACAGATTATCGAGATTATACTGTGAATAGATTAATGATTATTAACGTGTTACAATATAAGGTAGAGATACTTACAGATGCTGCATCTCCCTCCCATTCCATGGGAGCCTCTGAAAGGAAATGTAATAAACTGTACACTACACTATATTACACTACACTATATTACACTACACTATACTACACTACACTATGCTATACCGGCGAGCAATCAACTACATATAATACATTGAGGCTAACAGCCTTGTAAGCAGTTTGTATAGATCTGTTTTAAAAAAGCAAAATTAAAATATTGAGTATTGTGTTAAATGAAATGTGTTACCATCTTCATTATCAGCCCCTTTGTAAAATATTAGTTATGGTAATAGATATTGAGATGCAGAGACAGCATGCAGCACATTATACACAAAGTATCAAAGAAAATTTCACAAATAGTTCTTTGTTTAAATCTAGGAACATTTTGCTCAAAAAGATCAAATATTTGGAAATAATTCTGTTATACATAAATTGATAATATTTTGAATACATACCACATCTGGCAGGGAACTGTGCAGAGGCAGCTGCCACTAAACACAATGTGGAAACAAACAGCAACATTTTGTAGATCAATCTCCTAGGATACCTTGAATACAATGATATAACCGTCACACCTCCTTTCAGCTCTGTCTCTTTGGTATCAACAAAACATGGTCCTTCATTGCACATTCAATGTTCATAATCATCCTTCTATTTGTCATCATAGAGACTTGTAGGTTTTGATCGAAGATGAGACCTATGTGTGTTTATTTGTGTCTAGTAGATCTTGTGATGTGTTTTAACAATTGAGACTCATCATATCTTCATTGTAGATGATCGTAAAAGTAGGTCAATTGATGCACTTAGATATATATGGTACATGAGCAATGTGACCACTTTCAGATAACTATGAACAATACAATGCCCTACATGTCTTTATATAATGGTTTGAAACCTCATCTTGGATTACCATTGGTATGAAGTTTTCTTGAAAATTCAAACTGGTAAGCGAGTATGTTGAAACCTGGGTATTAAGGTGGTCCCATTATGCACCTATTTTGCCAGATTTTTGTTTTACTCTTCCTACCTTAACACATTTGTCTGGTCAGGCATCTAGAAGAACCTATTGTGATATCAAGTCGCAACTAATTTCTATCACAAACTGTCTTTGTAAAATTAATATCAGATTCTCAAATCTGTGATTTTTACTGGTGCAATTAAGGTTCAATTTGATGAACCACATATTTGATTTTAAGGTATGACATATAATCACCATTTGATTAGCATTAGAGAGGGGAGGGGGGAATCATCAGCAACATAGTCACCATTCAGCTTTCTTAACTTTTTCCATTATCCTGAACAGTCTCACACAAAGCTCCGTTAAAATAAATGAAGGGGCACCCCAGTTGTTATATTTCTTGGAGATGTGTGTATAACTGTATAAGATGTTCAAGTAGAATAAATTTTGGCCGTAACATGTTTTTCTACTCTATTTGTGTATTGTCTTTCATAATACCTATGGGGCTTTTGCATTTATGTTCTATACCTCAGGCAGAGAGATGTTCTATCAGCAGGTTTACTCTCATATCAATCTAAGGTTCTACATCTACGTTTATTCTGAAGGAGTCTCAGGTGCGTTGTCTGGCTAAAAGCCGCAAATCGCAACTGTTATTGCGATCAGTTAAATCACATGTGTGAACAGTATGTGACTTCATAATTGAAAATACATGTAGATATCTAATTTTTGATAACATGTCGATATTGCTTTGATGTATTTCAACGGTGACTTGTGCAGAACAGATTACTTCAGAGAATTTTATTATTGGTGGCTGTAGGGAGGTGTTGCAGGTTGAATCATACAGGGATTTGCGGCTGCTAACCTGTTATAATAATGATGAAGGAGACGTTTGGGAATAGCACAATATATGCTCCGATGACAGTTAATGCGGGAATGGGTGGAGAAATTATGGTATATCAATGCACATCAATCAAATTCAAGAAAACCATTTGTGCTTATGAAAACACCCTTACCAATACAGAAGTTTGATTCTGCTTATTGAAAAGAAAGTCTCATCTGATACACAAGGCTGTGACACTCAGATAAGCTTATTAGTTTCATTTGGAAGCATTTTTCTTAGGGCAATAAACCGATAACGATAACGTCAGATAACTGAAGATGATGATTTAGGCAAAAACACACTGATTAGCTTAGTTGTAGACTCATTAACCAACAGTTAGAAATATATCCTAACTTAAACATTAAGTGTAAAGACATAAACTGTCAGTTACCCACATTTACAAAACAACCTGTCTGCGTACATGTATATCATGTTAATAACCATTCATGCATTAATAACATGGGAATTGAGATAAGACCAAATGTCAAAATATATAATAGATAACTAAGATTGCTAATAATGCCTTGATATCATGAATTAATATGGCATTAATGTGCACTGTTTTGATCGTATAATCCAATGATGTTAATAGTTATTTATTCATAACTCAAAAACATCTTTGACTTAGATTATGACTTAGACTTAGACAACCTTTGACTTAGACTACATTTACAAATACCTAGCTTTAAGATATCTTTAAACACATCACAAATCAGCTAAATAAATATAGATTCTTGAAAGCAGTTTTAGATTGAGGAAACCATCTGATCTTAGTACAATTTCCTTTCCCCTCTCACCTCCCTTGATCACTCTCCAATTATATGATATCTCCTTATGTTCTCCTGCTACAACCAAGCAGATCCCTTCAGGTGGAGAATGGACCCTAGTGATATATGATCAGTGTTTGTTTGAGCTCAATGATTTCCCAATCAGGATAACGCTTCTTCTTCTTACCCTCTCCAAGAGGTTGACCTTATGCACACTCTTTAAATTTGAGACCATCCCTTGAGTCAGGACATTACATTTTCTGTATTTAGCTATAATTCATACCGCCTCCTAATTCAACTCTAATAAAAAGTCAAAAAATTCTATCTTTGAATTGGTAAGGTTTATTAGCACCAACACTAAGATCATCTATAATAGTCAAAAGTTAGGGTAACTAATCAATGGGGATTTAGGGTATCTGCTTAGTCTGGTCTCCTCAGTTGGTGGAAGGCTTAGAGTTCAATGTTTGTTTTCTCTGGCGCAATCAGTCAGGCGAGGTGAAATATTGAGATGTTGAAAATAAAGTGTTTTCTTATGTTTTCATCAGCTTGGAGGATTTACTTTAATTTGTTGTCAGTATCTCCCCTTACTTACAATTGGAAATATTCATTATTTGGCGCTGATATCTATTGAGTTTGGATCCTTTTGATGTAGCATTCCAAGTAATTGTGATATAGAAGCTTTAAAAGTTCTGCTTTTTTCCAGATTCATTTTTTTAGTCCACAGAGTTGCATTCTAAGTTCTTTTTTTATTTTATTTTATGCAATAAAACATGAAAAAGAGAAATTGAATAAAAATAATGTATCAGGCTTGCACGTCTCTAAAATATTTATTATTTCAGATTAAGGATCGGATATCAGGTCAATATGTCATCTTTTTGACACTATCATTGACGTCATCTTCATATTTTTCAGATGTTCAACCTTGGTTAATGTTATGAATTGAAAAACACATCAAGCGGCAAATGATTCGAAAGTGCACATACTTTGAACCATTTATATCATCCACCTACTGATTAGCTTAATTTGATTATTTTACATCTGTATGATGGATATTTCGATGTATTTTCAGGTATGACTATAAAGTTTTGCTTCACAACTCCACATTCTGTCTGGTACCAAGGGGTCGTAGACTTGGCTCGTTCAGGTAGGTGCTCCATTATGTAGAATAATTGAAATAACTAAGTTTATGACACAATCATAGGAAAACGTGGCACAAAAGAATGGAGAGCTGGGTCATTTTGAGTCGATTTTTAAAGCTGTGTTGAAGACTGTTAATGTTGCTGCCATCAGAGTTGTATATTGTCAACGAAATAGAAATCAGAAAGTGTTTTTGGTCATTTATATTGCTCAATCAACCATGGGATGACCTGCTATTTGAATCAAAACTTGAATTATTCATTTTATCATCCATTCTGTCAGACTGCATCATTCAGATCAATTTTGAAAATGTAAATAAGTAAATAGTTTTTTTATTCAGGTTCCTTGAAGCACTCCAAGCTGGTTGTGTCCCTGTGTTGCTAAGCAACGGTTGGGAGCTGCCATTCTCTGAGATCATCAACTGGAACAAGGCAGTTGTCTGGGGAGACGAGCGACTACTGTTCCAGGTAAGAATATAGAGATTATCCCATATTAGGGCTAGTATATTTGTCAATCAACAACAGTAAAACCTATACATCTGAACACCTCTCTATGTAATATCTTTTTTCGTCTCATTTTCAATCTGAACTTGTTTGGTCAGTTCCCATGGTGTTCATATTAGACAGACTTTATTGTATGTAACTATATTATATATTATGTTTTCCTTCTTGGAATGTAAATGGAATCACAATTGACTGGTTTGACCAGTGTCATGATGTGTGAACATGTATTAATCAGAAATTGCCTTCATTTCCCCAATGGGTCCCACATAACGAGGCAAAGTAGCGCTAACTATTGGTTTATCGCATTATGATGAGTAATGGAGACACACTATGAATTGGGATGAGTTTTATGATAGGAAACACTTCCCTTTATCTTTCTAAGGTCTTATTTGGTGAACATGACTTTTATTCAAGAGCTTGTAAAATAAGGAGATAACCACTCAAAAGGCATCATCAAGTACTCCAGTTTCTTTTACATAAAATCTATATCAGCCAAGCTTACAAATATTATTTGAAGGTAGATGTATAGTGTCTGAAGTCTGATAATACTTTGAAATGTTTACAAAATGTAATCCCAAATAAGGTATATTGGCGGGACTAATGTATCTCATGTTTTTTGTCCCTTAATGACTGTCTGTACCAATTTTATATACAGAGTTACACAAAAATGCAACTTTTTAATTGTAATTTTACTTTACGTTATCTCTTTGTCACCCTTACATATCCCACAAAATCCATTTTCATTTAATTATGTTTTGTTTCAAACGAGACAGTCATACTAAATTGCTCTCTATTTCATTCACTAATAACATTATCATTCTCATGTTACAAAAGATAAAAATGAATTTTGGAGAACGAAAAGTATGGCTTGTTTGTGTGTAAAGGTCTAATTGCAATCTACACACAAAAATTAATAATGAACTGCACGAATATTCAATAACATTAAATCTTACTTCTAATCATACTTGATGGCCATGTTTGGCTTGTTAATCCCTTTTATAGGGTTCTTATAGGCCCTGGCATACAATTGTTAATTAATTATAAATTACATGAGGTCATGAATATTTAATTTTGATAGCTTGGGTTTGGTTGATTTTTGACATTTTGGGTCAATCTGTAAAATTCTGCCAGTTTTTGGAAAATTGGGACTTAAGACTTATGGAGAATTAATGCCCTCAATTTTTTAAACATTAAATTTTAATCACCTTTGGGGCTTCACATCCCCCTATACACTAGTATAGTCTCAACATCAATCATCCTTGTCCATAAAGCTGAATTATTTATGATACAGTTAGTAAAAGTAGTTGTATATGATGATAATGCAGTTGATGTAAGAATGCAGTATTATGGTGGGTTAATGGGAGAACTGACAAATAAACTACTTTAAGGAGATTTAATGAGATCTAACTTGTGCTGCTGGGAATAATAGCATTCTATACTTTGGCATTCTTTCTATTCCCTACTGAATGGAAATGTTCAACATAATGCAACATGCCATGTCAAGGATTGTTTTAAAATGTCTAAATGTAGCTATGCTATATCCAAGAATTTGTTGGAGTAAAGTTATGGTTCATGGATGACTGAACCTGTATGTTACAAATATTTGAGATGAAGATTTTCAGATTTTATTTTTATGTCGTTTTAATGATGTTGAATGACATGCAGTAGCATAAAAATATAAATGAATTACACGCATCAAAATTTACTAAAGTGTATGATATGTAACTCACCATGTATTTACATTAAATCATCATCTCTTCTATCTGGCACTGATATATTGCAGTGGGGTTGAATAGACATATAATAAAGGAGCTCTATATCAGATCCGGTCAGAGTGACCTAGTTCCAGACTTTAGAAGTTACATTGTAGGAACCTTCTAATATAACATTTGAATCTTAGAGATACCTAGACCCTAGAAATTACATTGTGTTTACATTGATGCAGTGTCAATTTTTTATATGGCAACTTATATCTAAAGATTGCAAATCAATCGGTCAGCAGAAAAATCTAGCCATGATTTTTTTAATTTTATATTTTCCAAAGTAGACTGCAGATATTTCTCTTAGAAAATGAGGATTGTGATGTGGTATCCCAACTGATGAAGAGCTTCGGGGCTTATCTTGTTGAAGCAGGTTCTCAGTTTCACATCACTCTCCATTACAGCATGGTTAATTGTATTAGATTCATTTGGCTTAACATTGATGTGCTTTACGTAACTAATCAAGATAAGTCGAATCTCTGTTATTTACGACGGCTCCATAATCAAACCAAGATCGCGTATCGTAATATCAAAGTACTTTGCAACCATAGAGAGATATAAATTTTATGACATTGCCTAAGTATATTTTTTATGTCGAGAAACTGAAAATCGGCGTGTTCCTATTATATGGACTATATTTCATATTCGTGTTGATAGCCTATCAGAATGCAACAACATCAAAATCAATGGCCCACGCATATAGCAATCTCCAGAAAATCTAATTTATATGACTTTGAAATAATTCTCACAGGAGAGATCCTTCATTGTGTCAGGACTGGCATTTTGTGATTGATTCTGGATATTACTTGTTGGTTCATTGGTTTGTTATAACATCTCTCGAAATCTGACAGTCAACTCTGATATGTCACTTAAACAAATGGGATACGATAATGATTTCCAAAATGAATTATTTACAATTTTGTACCAGAAGTGTAACAAAAAGTTGAATTTATGATTATATATTGATTGCCACATTTTTGTGGTGACATATTGTTATAGCCTCCAACTTTTTGTAGATGGGTTCGGTTGTTTGTGTTTAGCATTTGGCAGTTGGTGAATAAAGCTCATTCTTATTCTTACATTTAGGTTTCATAGTCCTAGTGTGGGGATTAAATGATTATAATTCTTGCTTGAGATAAGGGAATTCCCAAGTGTTGCTTTTATTTTTGGTTTTCAGTTATCACTCTTCATCTGATTGAAAATAAGATAGCTTCGTACATTTAAAGTGGATTATCCAATTTCATAAAATATAAATGTGTGTGTCTAATTCTCATTATTCGCTGTCTAGTGTCAATCTATACTTACTTTGAAGCTGCTGTATTAAATTGGTGCCAGTTCTCCTAAGTCTTAAATGTTTCATCTTTCTGTGCATGCTAGAATCTCATCTCTGAGATGGCAGTCTGTTATTTGTTCTTTCAATTTCATTTGATATGTTATTTATGTGATTAAAATAGAAGTCTAAATGCATCAAGTTGATGCTTCTTGTCACATATTGAAGGGAAAATTAATGGTTTCTTGGGATTGCAGAATCTAATGAAGGTGTTAGCGCTTTCATCTGTATTTATTAGTCTGTAATGATACAATTACAGCCACAATCAGGAATCAGAATTGCTTAATGCAATGGTTAGCAGCTCAAGGTCTAGGTTAAAATTCTGTACCTTTGTGTTCTAACTAGAGGGAGGGGAGGTGGATACAAGATACATATGTCTTGTAGTCATGTTGCATACAAGTTGACATTATACTCCCCGTTGAGCCGTTTTTCTCATTGTTCATATTCTATAACCCGACTCCTTATCTTTCATCAGGTACCATTGGAGGATATATGAGGGGATGTGATATCATATGATATAAAAAGGATATGATTTTTGTCCAAGAGCAAATTCCAATAATTGCACAAGATGAGAATGTTTTCTTTAAATTCGATGAAAAAGTGATAACATTTCTTCCCAAAATATGTATGATACAGAAAAGCTCCAAAGCACTATAAACTAATAAAGCCAGTCATTAATTCACCCAGGGGTGATTAATAGATACTCGTGTTGGCAGACAATTCTGTTTTAGAAGATTCAAAGAAAATACTTCAATTATTGATCAAGGAATTTGTAGACAGTTTGTCTGAGACGACCTTTATTAAATGCAGATTTGCATGCAAGTTGAAAACATTCTCATGGACAATTGTGACAAACATGGTAGGAACCGGTGTAAAACATTGTAACCAAGGTAACTGGTGTAAAACGTAAAACTAATATTTTTATTATCCTCAAATCTCCGCATTATGCCATTTTGGAATAGCAATCAGTTGGCCAAATATGAAGAAATTAATCCAAAGCTGGCACTGAGATAGTCAAATATCTTGAAACTCAAGAATCAATTAAGGAGATGCAAAATCAATTAAAAGTGATGATTCTGTTATGAGAGGAATTACACGAGGTATACGATAAGTTATCAAAGTCACTTTCAATTTTTACGCTGCAATAAGCATCTGGATAGATTGGATCAAATGAATGTGGCCAGTTCTAATATACGACCATTTCATATAGTTTCTGAAGCTCTTGGCTGGCTTGGATTAGATTAACATTGCAATAGTGGACGTTTATCTTGGTCTTATTGCAAATCAATATGTAGAAGACACTTTAAGTTTCAAAGTTATTGATAACGTTGAAGGGTGCTTTTATCTCAAGCTGGTTTACCAATGGCACTTGGAGGGCATTCTAATGAATATTACATTCAAATTATCATTGTTTCTCTGAACATTGTGTTTGTAATTAGAACAAATGGTTATCCTCTATGATACCGTTAGGGACAGAATTTTCAAAAACAGTCATCACCATTGGTAGTTTTTTCACAAAATTGTGTTGTATAAATGTTAATATTGTGTGAATTCAAAAGGAGATATGTTTTTCTAAATGAATGTGTTTTATTCGTAAACGAAGTAATTTGCATTTGAGGAGCAAAGTGTTATTTTGTAAACATGTTCAAAGCACTTTTTCTCTTCATCAGACACAATCCATTTATTTTCTCCATAATGGGTGAAAATGAATGTCACTCGGATTGTCAGTGAGTGTCTATAGTGGAAGGTCAAAGTGATTCGAGACATGGGATTCTTCATAAATAAAATTGTGCGCTAGATTGAAGATGATTTGATAAGATTTTAGTTTTTGCAAAATGGTATCTTGGTATCGGTCATGTTGTTCTTGCTTTAAACCAAAATAGGCATGAAATTAATCTAATCAGAAATATTTGTGGGGTCATATGTCATTCATATATTTTAATAGAGAAGATGAAGTATTACGACTTTGTCCATATTTCAAGAATTATTGCCAGTTTGTTTCATAGTTGATTACAAAAGGAGGTGTATCATTAGTTGCTTGTCACAGTTAAGAATATATATTGCCATAAAACTCTCGCATAGTTATTGTTCGCTTCATTTGACATGTTCATTAATATTTGCCGCCTGGCTAAGTCTCTCTATAACCCCATGCTTGCTTTAAAACACCAAGGGATTTACAGGTCACGTTAAAAGCGAGTGTTTAATGGCGATTGATTCTACAGTTATATCTTGATCTACGTCATCAATCCAATTTATTAATTCAATTTCCGAAAAAAATAATTTGATAACTGCCACAATTTTATAAAATATTCTTATCGCCAAGGGTGATGTCTATGAAACGCATTGTAAATATTGATACAGATACATTTTCTTAAAATGTACCAATTGAAAGCAATAAATGCTGTACCACAAATCATACCTTTTGAAAGCTATATATTATGATGAGTTGAAGTTGTTCAAAACCAGTAACTGGGTGGTATCAAAAAATTATATATGTTCAGAAATTTTTGATTTGAGCGATTATAGCGAATATTAAAGGCAGTAAGTTGATATTAAAACTTGGAGAAGATATTACAGAATCAGGAAATATTCTTTTGTCGAGTCTAACATCTTTTTAATTTAACTGATTTGCGTTTGGGAAATCTTTGAGTCTTAAAGCCCATGATTAATTTAAACCCATTAGAGAAACATTCCATTTGGGACCTTCCAAACCAGGGCTCCATCTCTTGCCATTTAGTTTCTTCGGCACAAATATTTCTTCAAACTGACAAAGAATAACAAAAAATATCAAACTAATTTTTATATCTCTTTTGGGAATAAAAGCCTAGACTTAAGTTACTTCATCTAATTAAAGTGACAATGAGTTATATAAGTGAATGGTTGAGCCTCACTTCTTGCATATAATATATTCCGTAATGGCTGGTCACATCACTCTCATTAGCAAGGGCCTCTGAACTGAATTGCAGTAAAAGTCATGCAGGATGAGCTATATTGTCCGCACTTGCTTTTAATCTTGCATGAAATCCCTGTATTATGTATGATATCCCCAACTGGCTTGGGACGTGTATATAACATGGGACTGATGATTTAAAGTGGCGGTAAAGAAAAGATAGTGTAAGATGATAGAAACAATCTTTTCAAAAAGCATTCTCACTTATGGAAGGTATTGAAGATTCCAGATGCAGAAAAGTCAAAATTCAATAGAATCAGAAAAGGGGGCTCTGTTTTTTTTCGCTTTATAACTTTAATAATCAAATCATCAAGTCAAATCATTATCGTGAAGTAAAAGTAAAGTCAGAATTATTGGATGTTTTAGAAAATAAAAATAAATTGCAAAATCATATCAATTTATGAAAAGTTAATCGTAACTTGTCTTGAGTCTTTGTTGCCCCTTTTTGTAAGAATATTACTTTTAGCTCCATCAGAAAAATTGCTTCAGTTCTATATCAAGTATTCTCGGGTGAAGATGATATTTTTCAATTGAGAGCTCACGTTCCAAGTTTCACATTGAGCGTATCTGAATTCTGTTAGATTAGCTTTGGAATGATAACAAAACCAACATTTGGATGTAGAGTAAAACCTGTATATCTGAACACCATTCTAATCTGAACAAATCTTAATGTGAACACATTTTAGGTCCCACTTAGGCTTCTATGTTAAAAAATCTTGAAATGTGAACACCTGCCAATGTGAACTCTTTTGGCTGGTCCCAGTCGTGCTCTGATTAGACAGGTTTTACTGTATCTTGCCTAGTATTATATAGAGTTGTTCCTATAATCATTTGCCAATTTGTATGAGTTTTACATGTGATAGCTTTACTCAGTTACTTATTGGATATTATCAAAATGATGTATTGTAATTGTATATAATTATTATAGAATGTTATTACATGCATCCATACGTGTCTGTATCACGTTGTCTGCCATGCTGCATTGTGAAGAAAATCTGCCTTGTGTGCTATTACATTTAACTTATTTTTCTCATTCTCCAGCAAGCAATCTTTGTTAAGGGATATATACAAGCCCATGGTATGGGAATCAAGCCCATAGCCTCTAGGCTACACATGATCTTTTCGCAAGAGATCCCATTATCTTTACCAGTTTAACTTAACCCTATGGCTTGATTTGTCATTTGAGCTCATTTGAGAATTGTTTTTGTTTTTCAGATCCCGTCCATTGTGCGTTCCATGTCGCACCAAGACATCTTGTCTCTTCAACAACAGACCCAACTTCTATGGGACTCTTACTTTGCTTCCATTGACAGCATTGTCGACACAACTTTGGAGGTAAGATACCATGAGATCCTTAGTCTCAGACAACTAGGATGATATATTTATCTTCCCTCTAAAATTAAGCTAGGAGTAGTAATAGGAGAATTAAATACAATCTGGATCTTCTGAGAGGGATATTAACTCTTAATAAAGGATGAAGATCCTACATTGTTTTATTTTCCTGACACTAAATAGGTGACACTTGAATAAATGAACAAATACAATATACATAGTATACTCTCATCTTACATAAAATCATTTTAATGAGTTGATCTTTCAATGACCCAAGATTACTACTTTTTGAGTTGAATTTGAGGTTAATAAAACAATGAATTATTTCCCAGTAAGTTAAGAATAAACATGAGTTTACAAATCGAAATTCGCTGATATTGTCCAAGGAAAGACAATGCCATGCACCCTATTATTTTTGTTTTCAAACCTGGTATCATTATGGCCCAGCACACAATATGATGGCATTTGTGAGTGACTATGATCTCCATATACATTCCTGGTCCCAAATGTTTATTCATTCATATTTCAAGAAATCAAGTAGGTGCTGAATAAGCGCCAAATTACATTGTCTCACAGTGTCAATAGTTTAAATCTTTGTTTATAAATATATCTGGAGTTTATTTAATGACAATTTATTACAACACATTAAGTTCTAAAAGAGGTGTATATTTGTAGTCAGTCTAATTGGCTCTAATCCTTTATTTAAGGAGTTATACAGGTAACAACCAAAACCAGTAAAAGTAAACATTGACACAAGTCGTGTTTTATGATAGGTGAAGAGTCTAAAGGTTGGCTCACCCTTTAAAGGAATGTTATTCTCCAGATTGTCTGTAGATAGCAATGTGCAGTTAGCTGTATAATATACAAAGAATTGTATCCCTTTAAAGAGCCACTTAAGCAAAAAATGTAGGCAGTCAGTGTGTTTGTTTGCTTTATGTGAGTGTATCCAACTTCTGTAATTATTCACTTTGTCAGTTTATATTCTCATATTATAGATATATATTGACTTATTGGGTCGTGCCAACTTATTTGTAAGTAAGAAAATTATTTGCGCACTTTGGGGAAATGTCATTTTCTCATACGCATAATAACAGAAGAATCAATCTTAGATATTTCTGAGATAAAACATTGTTTTTAATGTTAATGTCAAACTAAGATGTCGAAATGACAAATGTTTTTTGGATCCTGTTTTCTATATGCTCTATGTCCCCTTGGGGTTTGAATTTGGGTTTTTGTTGACTGTGCTGAGTTGTGAACAAGTTGTTGAGTTGTGAACATGTAATGTTATGAATACATACACTCCCCTCCATAAGTCTGGCAACTGAAAGTCCCCCTATTAATCACTCTTCAAAACCTATTTATGTTTTAAGACTGTGATTTAAAAAGAATCATCAGATTTACCATAATTATGAATATCCAAATAATTGCAATTAATGAGCAAAATTAAGATTCAAACATTGCCAGGCTTTTATATGCAATCCAATGAAAACCTCTGGTTGCCAAACTTATGGAGGGGAGTGTACATACTTGGCCATTTGGATGCACAGACCATATTTCCTTATATTATGTAATTATGATGTGTATCTAAGATACTACTGTGCTTTATAAATGGATATTGGGAACTACTTACTCAATATATATTTTTGAATATGATATTTGATGTCCCTACAGGGTGTCCAATAACTTGAGAAAACACTGTTCATAATACAGAATATTCACTAAGTTTATATTACAATGATTTATTGATGATTTGTTTTTTCAGATACTGAAAGATCGTGTCATGCTCCACCGTCGATCCAGCCTCGTTTGGAATAGTGTACCAGGTGGACTGTCTTCCGTGCCAGACTATTCTGACAATATACAGAGTCTGCCTTTTTATTACCACTATCTGGGCCGGGAACCTGGATTGAAGTTTACTGCTGTAGTATATGCTACAAATTGTATTTTGCTCACTAGTTCACCTTTGTATAAACTACTAAAAAATATAGGCAAATCACAGTCATTAGATAGGGTGAGTGGGTGCTAAGAGACTGATGGTGTTCAAATGTTAACAATTTGAGAAAAAAATTTGTTATGGTAACCTCCCTATTCCTTCCATAATTTGAAACTAGATTTACTATTCACATTCTAGCATCGAAAATTAATATTTTGCGCTATCCGAATTGCCATTTCCCTCTCCTATACATTGGAATTAATTTCAATCTTCCATATTGGTGGGCATATGAACACCATCGCCAACTGGTCAACAGAGTTTGATTCAGAATGTCTGATAAAAGTAACTCAACAGTACATGTTGATCACAACTCTAGAATGATGATAATATACTATTGTATACATATCCACTGTAAGAGCCTGTTTCTCAACTATATTGCAGCTCTCAATTTGTCAAATTCAATATCAGCCATTGGTTCATGAATTTGTGATAGGCAATTAAATTTGAATCCGCCTTATCTGTATGTTTCACCAGATGTTTGAAAATAAATAAATGAAATGAAATGAAAATGAATTTCACGCATGGTTCTCCAAAATATAGTGCTTTCTTAATCAAGGGGAGGTATTAAATAATGAAGATCTATTAGACCATGATTGTTTATTAAACTTTTCTGTGGTCTGTTTCAGATAATTATTATATGGCACTGCGATACCCCTCCACCCCCTTGGAATCGCTGGCCATTGGAGTCCAGTACGCCAATACATATTGTACAGAGTCATAAGTCATATGTACGGGTGAGTACACATTGTAAATATATTGATATGAACAAAGTGTATAATATACTTTATACCACTCTAAGTCCAATTACAGTTGTATAACATGGGTCTATAACAACGATATACAGTGGAGAGTGGTATATCGTCATCGTATACAACTCCTCCGTATACACTCCAGCGTATACCACTGTAGAAGTGCATTCTGGGAACTAATGAATAAAAAAAATCATGAAAATTTTCATGATTTCCTAGAATCAAGTGACGTCATAAATGGTGCCGGCATGATTTGCTAGAATCAAGCCACGTCATAAATGGTTCGAGATCAACATCAGCATTATTGAGTTGGCTATGGGATATTTTTATGGTTTTTATTGTCGATTGTGTTCGAATCAACTGTACATTGAACTTAGAGTGGCATAATAAGATTATATAATGGTTCATTCTGTATATCGTGCATTTTATACTCTTGTGAGAATATACTATATTCACTCGTTCGCTACGCTCACTTGTGAATATATAACATACTCACTCGAGTATAAACACGATATACAGAAAGAACCATTATATAACCTCATAGTATATAAGAGATGGTATATAGTGTACAATGTAAGATATGTCAAAATATGCTCTATGTGCTCTATTCAATAATAGTTCTTTATTCCATAATTATTGGATATACCAATAATATTAACATTAATATAGTATTTGAAGACCAATCCCTCCTCTGCATAATCCTGGGATGGTATATTTTATATTCATCAGTTACAATATGTTTGTCATATTAATATCTACAGTAAAACCTCTATATCAGAACACCTGTCTAATTTGAACACCCTTAAACACTTTTTCTCAGTCCCTAATTTATTATTTCCCATTGACTCACATGTTAAAAATTTGCGATATGAACACCTGCTAATCTGAACACTTTTGGCCAGTCCGATTGGTGTTCATATTAGACAGGTTTTACTGTATTTTATATCTGCACTCTGCAGTAATACTTTAATGATGAACTATAATACTTGAAGTCTGTGGGAACATACAATAAGTACTGTATTTGATAGTTCTCGGGGTAATTGATTAAACGCCTACTAAGTCTCATCTATAAACATTTATCCTAATACGGCAGCACTGCCTGATAAGCTAGCTATGTAAATTATTACTAGTTGTTAGGTGCATTTTTGTTTTCTCCATTACATCTTATATATTCTACACGTATCCTGCTTTTTCACAATGTTTCTAAAAAATATTTGAATAGAATAGTTGAAATTCCGACATTGAATTGTAATTGAGGGGGTTAATTACATATGCCAACTATATGAATTCCCTCTCTTCTCACAATACGTTGTTTTACACAAGACACAAAAGCGCCATGATGTTTTATGTCTCGGCAGACAGCAACACGGTGAGGTGGGATGGGAGATTAATGTTATTATGATTCAACAGATAACAGTTTACAAACAAACCCAAAGTGTTGCTGTGCTAAACTTAGACCTGGTTTGTATTTTGGGAATTATAACTAAACTTATAGTGTTATATCATTCAAGGGATGTTGCCAAATTACCAAAATATACATTTACATAAAAACTTCATTATCAGAAATTAATAGGGTCGTTTGAACCATTACTGCAACGTGGATATTGATTTTGGTCACAATGAAATCTTCTTTAGCTTTGTGTGTCTCTGCAGTCATTTGTTTCAATAATTAACTTTTACGACACAATCGACACATTTTGGATAATTGTATATGTTCCCTTGTGCTATCGTTGTAAATAGGCAGGCAATGGTTTGAAATAGATAGGATGTTCAGGTGTACCTGACTGGTGCACTGTATCTATGCTACACCTGGTATAACAGTGGGTTGATATAGCTACCTACTAACAGGTCCCTAAAATCAGAGCATCTAGCTTGTTATAATGCTATAATATAGAACATTCAGGGGGGATACAAAACCTCAGGATTTCTCTGCAGCACTTCATCTCTGTGTATACATTGTGATAGTCATCACATCTTTCTGTTTCAAACTATCAAACATCTTGATAAAAGCCTGTGATCTTTTACTATGCTTTGATACATTTAAGGCAAAGTTTAGAGAACATGATGAGTGAGTGTCTGCAGCAGGTATTACCATGGAGATCATATAACAAAGAGGGGTGTAGATATACTTTTAATTAGCTGAGAGGTGTGGAACTGAATCCATGAGGTTAAAGGGGAATAATCTTGTATCACCATCAGATCAGTCATGTTCAGATTGCAATATTTCTCAAGTTGACAACATGTTTGTCTCAGATGATCACATGGTGGTTAGGCTATACCTTGATTAAATCTAGGAGTTGTATGGGAAACCTCACCTGCTCCCCTCTTATGCCTTCCTACTCTGGGAGGTGTCCGTCATTTCAGAAAAATATTGGTATGACTACAGTAAAACCTGTATATTCAAACACCTGTCTTATCTGAACACCTCTCAATGTGAACACTTTTTATTATCCCATCGAACGAAGTTCGGAGGGATATAGGGAACGCCTCCGTCCGTCCGTACGTACGTACGTCCGTCCGTCCGTCTGTCCGTCCGTCCGTCCGTCCGGGCAATAACTCAAATACCGTTGGCCCGATTTTGTTCATATTTCGTACACATATACCCTATGGGGGTAGAAGTTCTGCTCGAAAGCCGATTTTCAAAATGGCCGCTCATTTCAAAATGGCGGCCATTTTAGTGACGATTTTACAGTAATTTAGGTGCAATATGTAAAACTGTAATAGCAATATGTTTTAAATGTAAAAAAATTATAAAGGACATTAATAATGCTACAAATGTAGATATTAAAAAGCACATGGCAGCCATCTTGAAAAATGGCGGCCTTTACTCGTCATTTTACGATTTTTGCTGTAACTCAAAAAATAGTGGAGCGATTTTGTTCATATTTGGTGTGTGAATACTATAAGCATTGCACACTGTCTAAAGACACTTTTGGTAGAAGGTGGCCATTTTGAAAAATGGCCACCATTTTAACGTATTTTACTATAACTCGAAAAGTAGTGGAGCGATTTTGTTCATATTTGGTATGTGAATACTATAAGCATGGCACACTGTCCTATGACACTTTTGGTAGAAGGCGGCCATTTTGAAAACAATTTTGAAAAATGGCCGCCATTTTAATGTATTTTACATAACTCGAAAAGTAGTTGAGCGATTTTGTTCGTATTTGGTATGTGAATACTATAAGCATGGCACACTGTCCTATGACACTTTTGGTAGAAGGTGGCCATTTTGAAAACAATTTTGAAAAATGGCCGCCATTTTAACGTATTTTACTAATACTCGAAAAGTAGTGGAGCGATTTTGTTCATATTTGGTATGTGAATACTATAAGCATGGAACACCGTCTATTTCTAATGACGCTTTTGGTAGAAGGTGGCCATTTTGAAAAATGGCTATTCTACTATAACTCGAAAAGTAGTGGAGTGATTTTGTTCATATTTGATATGTGAATACTTTAAGCATGGCACATTGTCTAATAAAACTTTGAGGAGTAGTCGGCCATTTTGAAAAATGGCCACCATTTTTATGTGTGTTATTTTACAAGTACGTGTGCAATTTTTCAAAATATTTTAGAGGTGGCTACTTAAAAGCATATTATTTCTTCTGATGACAACTTGGCTAGTGAGCAACCATTTTGAAAATGGTGGCTTTTCTGGTGTGTTGTTTTATGATATTTGCACTTCGTTTGTAAAAATGCCAGCCATTTCTGTTCGATGGGATTCGCTACGCTTTGGCATTGCCGTTGTTCTTGTTGGTCCCTGATCTCCCATTGACTAATATATTGAGAAAACTATGTGAATACTTGCTAATCTGAACACTTCAGATTCATCCTTAGTAGGTATGCAAGGGTAATAAGGACTTCAACAACCTTAGAATGGTCCATCCCTGAGTGAGCCCCAGAATGGCCCATCCCTTAGTGAACCCCAGAATGGTCCATCCCTTAGTGATGTTGCCAGCCCCAAAGGATAACAAAGCCTAGATTAACACTTCTAAAACTAAACCACCCAAAGTTTACATAACATAAAATAATAACATTGTCTGCAATTGTCATTAAAGAAGAAAAAGACAAAACACATAGGAAATAAAATTACAAGTATACACTCTAAAACAATGTGCAATTAGAGGTTATCATACTTATCATAATAATGTCAGTTTGACAATTTATATTGATTGATATCATACGGTTGTGTCTGATGTTATGTTTTCTTTTGATGCAGTTCAGTTTCACAGGGGATTCTGTTATTAATACGCACTTATTTGTACAAGAAAAAATGTTGCTCTGACATTCCATGAAGGAACACACACAGTGACTCTATTCTCTTCAAGGTCAAATTGCCCTTCTCTTGAGACTAAATATTACCCTTGTATCTCAAAAAACATCATACTTAAAGTTGTTTGTACTTAATTAAACGTTAATTCCAAAAGATCTTTGCCCTAGAAGGATGTACTTATGTGATATCTTATTCTAGTGTTTTCAAGCTCTTGTGTCTGTCTGAAACCAGGTAAAACAGTCTGAACCTCAGGTGACCTGAGAATCAGAGAAGCCACTTTATTTTTGAAGTCAAGTTGATTTTGAATTGATTTGCAAGAACTCGTACATCAGCATTATTGTGGTAAGACACCCAGGCACCCCTAGTTCTCCGTGACTTCTGGTCCCAAAGCGATTTCAATCATCGGTGTAACTTTTTTATCTTGTAATACTGTTGTATTGTGTTTATAATTGAAATGTAATATCCAGTTAAACTTACATTGGGCTTGGGACACTGTATTTGCTGTAATTGGAGGTGCCAAATATCCTGCCAAATATAGATGGCGTACTATGACGGTTTGGAGCCTTGGACATTTAGAACTAGAAATGCTCATTTTGAAGACTCTGGTTGATATTTCTGAGATGGCACATTCACTGCTTTTTCTGTAATTTTCCATAGATTTCTTTAAAAAGATATTAAAGAAGGAGGTTTTGATTATTACTAAACATATCTCCCTGGTGATGGCGCTGTGCATATTGGTATCATTGAATGTTTCAGCATGTGTATTGGTAGAGTTGTTTCAAGATGTATTAAATCCATCTAAATTAGCTCTCATTTACTCAATCTTCATAGAATATCTTAAAGCATGTTGGTGACAAGCTTTTTGGCAGATAAGTTTTGGATGTAGGATGTGGTAGCCAGTGTTATTTCAGTCTTTGTGGAAATTCTTATTTCTGTAATTTGATGCCTCGCAGAATTTGCGATCAGTTGAACTTTGTGGTGATCTGTTGAAAGATACCTCATGTGGTTCCCATACTCACAGGGAGTAAAGAAAACATCACATCCAGTAAATATTACGTGATATCATTAAATAGAAATTGGCATTATCTGGAATTCTTGCAACTCATTCAGTTCATTTATAAAAAAGTTAGAAAGGTCATGAGAGAGTGGCTGTGGCATCCACTGTTTAGACTATCATTTGTCTTCTTCTATAGGCTGCTGGGAATCATTTCACGATTGTTATTTTTCTCATCACATGACTGTTCAGTAACGGGAAAGCACCGATGCCTCGCAACCAAAGATGTCCTAGCAAAATTCAGATTCTTATTAGTTAGGTTAGGGCTTATTAGGGTTTTCTTCGGCCATCTTCGTTTTCAGTCACCCATTCAGTAACATTCCAAATAAGATTCAAAATTCTAAATGATCGTATAGATTTAATAAATTCATTTCGTTTTTATTATTTCCAACTATAATACCTTCTATTGACCCTTAATCATGTCAGCCTCTTTGACATATGGGTGACAAGAGGTTTTTACATGTGTATGGCTGTAGTACCTTCAATTGTACAATCTGATTTGTTAAGTGATCCATCTCGCATGAATTGATTACATGCTGATTGGCAATACGTGGAATGGCTTTCCTACTTTGACTATCAATCCATTGCACAATTAGAGTGGAAATTAGCATCAAATCTAGCTGATCAGTAGTAATTCTCTCTCTGAATGACATCTAAATGCGTTAGACTTGATGAATGGGGTAGACGTATATTTTAAGTTCCAGTAATTACAGGGCATAAAGAAAACAGATATTCATTTAACATGATGTTAGATTAACATTTAAAGGCCATTTGTGCCAAGGTATTGGATTTACAAGTTGAAATTAGATTTTTCCGTTTCATTGTGACTCTGAAAGTGTCCAATTGGAGTTTCACCTGATTTCAATAGAATTACACAGTTCCTTGAATTTTTATTTTCATTTAGTAGGATATTGTACATTTTAAAGAAAGATTATTGTTCATGGAATTTCTTGATATTTTATCAGTTTGATTCAAGATAGATGGAAATGATTTTCTTCCTCCTCCTTAGGTCAAGCCGACTTGTGGTTATCTCTAACACATACCTTAGATCATGTTCTAACAGCCTCAGCATCATTTAAGGACCATTTACACATGTTCATAGGCAAACATAGCTCAAGTCTGTGTTATATTGGACCACAAAGAATAAGCTGTACTGCTTCAACTTCCTGTCAAAAGGTGACGAAAAGTTAATCTTTGCCTAGTATGATATGTTATTTAACAGATCTTTATATATTCCTTGTTGTTTTGGTTAGTTGTTTAAACTTGGAATAAACACTTATTTTCAACAAGTTTGCACAAGAATTTAAAAGACAAACATTATGTCTAATCTTTGAAACCTCAAGTTACTCATATCATCAGTTATATTAATTAAGGAGGAGATTAAACATGAATGAGTTTTCACTTTGCATCAGAAAATACTTGATATTTGTGAAATATAACAAGTAGTCGTCTATAGACCAATGAGAACATGTAGCCATCTATAGGCCATTCAGGTAATAAGTAGTCATTTATGGACCAATCAGATAGCAAGTTACTTACTATCTTTGGCCAAATTAGATAACATGTGACCACCTATAGACCAATCAAATTAAAGGGACACATTTATTATACGCATCAATGAAAAAATAATATTTAAAGTTGTTGTTAAACTTTTCTGATAGCAATTGCAATATCATATATAGATACTAGAAAAAACTTCTTTTTATCTTAACAACTATGATATTAGATGATCTTAGCTACCCAATCTTACACTTTATACCAATGAATTACTTAATCCTAAATTAGCATGTACATAATATCCATAATATGCAATTTTCCACTTTAACTGCCTACAATTAGGTAACAAATTACTGATTCAAAAGTCAATATCAATCAAATACAGGATATTACTTTTTGCAACTACATGTACGTTAATCCAGTTCTGGTTGATGGTATCAACTATAATAGCTAACTACCCTTTGGTGAAAATAGCATGATTTTGTTTCACATGCATCCAGTTCAGAGCCAAAGTAGAGGGGTGATATTTTTGAAAAGCTTTAAGAGAATTACAAGACAATATGGAAAATATATCTAGGTTAAGATGACACGAGCACAATTTGACTGTATTTGTTGACCATTTGTTGTCAACATTTAAAAGTGTTTAGTGATGCCATGATCTTATTTGGCATTACACTAAACTAAGGTCAAAGTGTGCTTTTTACGACAAATATATGCAATTTTTTTGTTGCGTTGACGTCGTTGTGTACTAAGTTAAGGTTCAAAGCGCTCATCTCTTTGGCGTTATTCATATTCACAATAGTGGATGTGAACTGAATGTCATGTATATACCAGTTTCGTTTTATTATTTAGAAAATCAGTGCCAATTTTATTTTAAGATAGTACTTATTGTATGTTTCAGACAATCACTGCCAAATTTATTTTACTGTAGTTCTAGGTTTCAGATAATAAGTATCATACAAATTGTATAATAGTACTTATTGAATATTTCAGACAATTTGTATAATAGTATTATTGAATATTTCATACAATTTGTATAATAGTACTTATTGAATATTTCATACAATTGCATAATAGTGCTTATCACATGTTTCAGACAATCAGTGCCAGATCTATTGTATGATAGTACTTATTGTATATTTCAGACATCAGTGCCAGATCTATTGTAAAATAGTACTTATTGTATGTTTCAGACAATCAGTGCCAGAGCTATTGTATGATAGTACTTATTGTATGTTTCAGATAATCAGTGCCAGATCTATTGTATGATAGTACTTATTGTATGTTTCAGACAATCAGTGCCAGATCTATTGTATGATAGTAGTTATTGTATGTTTCAGACAATCAGTGCCAGATCTATTGTATAATAGTACTTATTGTATGTTTCAGACAATCAGTGCCAGATCTATTGTATAATAGTACTTATTGTATGTTTCAGACAATCAGTTGTATGATAGTACTTATTGTATGTTTCAGACAATCAGTGCCAGGTTTATTCCCTACAAAGACATCCAGACAGAAGCAGTGCTGAGCCTGGATGAAGATGCCTTATTGACCACAGATGAGGTAGGTGTCTTTACAGTAATACATGTGGCTAATATTCAAATGATTTTTATCAACCAAGTGTTGTATTGTTGTTAGCGCTGGTGGGTGTCATCAAAATTTCATGAAAAAACGCTTTAACTTCTGGTTTTGTTTTGGGCATGCTTTGTAAATAACTTAGTGACCATTTTGAGTTTTTGGATAAAAAGTGTGATATTTATCATTATGTGCCTTGTTTTAATCATAATTTATTTAGCCCAGAAGGAACAGACTGCACGATTACATTTTGCCATACATGTCCTGGACTTTTAGATATAAAATTATAAGTTAGATCTCTTTAACGTGCTCATCATCTCATTACATCATGTCATTACATTATTGCTATGTTCCAGGTGGATTTTGCATTCTCTGTGTGGCGGGAGTTCCCAGAAAGGATTGTGGGATACCCGGGTCGCAACCACTACTGGAGTGATGCTCATGAGAGGTGGGCATACACATCAAAGTGGACCAATGATTACTCCATGGTTCTCACAAGTGCTGCTTTTATACACAGGTTTGTAGAAACCCAAAGATATATACAGGGTGACACAAGAACAATGGAATCATCATGAATTTTATTGTATAGAGTGTCACTGAATGATACAATCAGATTTTAAGAAATTATGTTTAATTTACATGTTAGGACTAACCTACACATGATAATTTAAGAAGATTCAGTCATAATTGAGAACGTTAAAAGTGTTGCATTTTTTGTGTCACCCTGTATTACAGTTTTATTAGGAGTATTATTCTCTTTTTAATTCATAATCCAAGAGCACTTTATGAGAGAATTTGCAGAGTTAAAATAGTTTGATAGTTCCTTACCCATCATAATCTCCATGGTAACAACAATGGATTATGGAATTGTTTCAGGTCTGAATATTCTGTACTCCAGCCTTATTGAAGAACAGCATAGAACTGCAGTTCTTTTTAGATTGATTTTATTGGTGATATTTAATGGTATACACTCAAAATGAATTCTTTGGGAAGAGAGAATGAATAAAAATTGCATACTTTGTATTTGGTTCTTGTCTCCCAACACTTAATATAAAAAGAGCTGTTTGTATAAACATGTTTTACTGTACCATTCTTTCTTATTCAAAGTTTGAAGATACTATGTGTACTGTAATAAAAAGGCAATCTTTGTTTATTTGCAGGTATTATTTGCATTACTATAGCAACTATACCAGTAAACTGCTGTTAAAGACTGTCAATCAACTCCACAATTGTGAAGACATTCTCATGAACTTTGTTGTTAGTCACCTGACCAAGCAACCGCCAATCAAAGTCACACAACGAAAACTTTACAAAGACTCCATGGCCCCAGGCCGAACGTCAAAATGGCTTGAGGCAGAGCATTTCAATCAACGGCAAATATGTATGAATACATTTGTTGATGCCTTTGGTTACGTTCCATTGAAGCGCTCTAGCGCTCGCTTTGATCCACTTCTATATAAAGACCCTGTTGCAAATTTTAGAAAAAAGTACAAACAAATCGAAGCAGTGGTTTCCTGATAGAGTGATTTCCGAGTAAAATAGGAAACATATTCAGTCGAAGGAGTTCTCGGTAGCCAATCAGTAGTCAGCATCGATGGATAGGAGCCATTCAGCTGAAAAGCTATTCAGTTTTGTACACAGACACAAAAATAGGGAGTTAGTTCATTTTAGTTCATTTTATTTGAGTCATTTATTGTTGCAGTGCTTAAGACTGTAAATGTGTAGCTATAACTCTTCAGTTCACTATTATTATCATTGGAATCTCATCTCATGTATTGCTCATAAATAAGTCATCAATTTCACAAAGTAAATTGAAAGAATTGTAATTTAAATGCACAATATATGTTGACAAACAAATCATATTGCTGATTGTATTTATTCAAAGTTTAGACTTGGAATTGCTTTTCATTATGTAAAAATTGTATATTTATGCAACTGTATTCACAGAAATATAGCTAAATGAAAATGAAATATTAAAAGCTAGATTTGTGCAGAAAGTGCCTCAAAATGTGGCTGCCAATTTCGAAATCATTGCTATTTGAAATAATAAAGTTGTTACATATTTGTTGTTTATATTATTGACTTACAGGAACAAGTTTGAATATTTATAGATTGTAAACAAGTGAAATATTCATGAAATGGCCCCCTGAAATTATTACCTATTTGGCAGTTTGTATGAAATGAAAACTTGATGTATCATTTGGTAGTTTTATTTCAATATGCAACATTAAGCCATGGCCACTTGACATGAGTTTTTGTGACTCGTCCTTGTGTACAGTTGCATATTTTAGCTGAGATGAAATTCCAAAGTCATTCTTTTCTTTTCAATGGTGCTTCAGATGCACACAAGCACCATTGAATAATTAACTTTAAAATTACACACTTGATAAATGGAAACGATAATTATGATAGCGGATAGATATATATTATAAAACCATTGCAGTATTTTTAACAAAATGATATTCATGTAGTACTGTAGTTATGTATTTACTGTACATTGGTGTCTCCTTTCATAATCAAGTCGCTTTTGTGCCATTTCTGGTTAAATTAATTCCAAGGTTAACTTACATATAACACTATATCTGGCCAAGATAAATCATTATACCATATTAGGACAGTATGAATCATATTAGGTCAGTAATGACCAAATAAGGTAAACTTGCATCACATTTTGTACCATATTCTTACAAATAATACTATAGGTAGCTTCAATTCATTTAATAATGTAATGTTTTTTGATATATGTTTCACACAATTTTTAATAAATTATGTCTAGCTGTAAATTTTAATTGATATTATGAAATTTTTGAGATGTTACATGTACAATTAAATGATGATGAATTAATGATAGGGTAAAAAGATTCAAAAGAATGCATTTGCAAATTCTTTTAATCTTTTGTGTACAAGATAATTGTGTTTGGCCAACTTCTGACAAGTTTGGTATAATGACTAAACGCTTGTGGTCTTTTGGCATAAAGGCTTATTGTTTTATGGCTTAAATGCTTATGATCTTTATGCAAAAAGGCTTATGAGGAAAGATGATAGATATTCATTTTGCATGCTTTTACAAGAAAATAACAAAGAGAACATGAGGTCTTCAGTGTGTTTTTAATCCAACGCTTCATAGTCACATTTCCCCAGTCTATAACAGTGTGTAGTATTCTGGGTAAGTACAATTGTACCATATTACATGGTGTCCATGAAGTCTCTTTACAATTACAAAGTCTGTGTAAAATGGAACTTTTTGGACACCCTGTATATTGCTGACCTGTTTACGTGAGTACAATTCTGACCCAATCGTCATGTTAGTTTGTGGTATTATTGGCTCAACAAGAAGCGAGGTTCACCTTTTGAGTAGCCCCTTACTTGAGCTGCAATTCCGCAGTAAGTTTATGATATGATGAGGGTCGTGAATTGTCCACATTGTTTATGTCTAGTACAGCTTTCCTTACCCAAAGAACCAGCATAATAACTTTAGCAAACAATGCCAAGATGGTTGCCATAAAGAAACATTTCAAATTATTTACATCAATGTTTAATAAATATTTAATTGTGATATTGAAAAACAAGCAATAAATTGAATTGTTTACTTCCATCTTGGCACTCTTTGTTTTTGAATTGTAGATGAATTGAAGTATTTAGTCCTGTGTATTATGTTTCATGTGAAGCAGTGCACTGTATTATAGAACAGTGTAATGTACTGTTACAAACTCGTAGTGTACCTCTAGTGTGCTGGATGTATATAATGTCAGCAGTCAGTCCACACATCACATGTACAAGTAGTTTATTTATTCTCAGTTTTTAAAGCTGAAATATGTACAGTACAAGAATTGATTTTTATCAAATTTTATCTTAAACTACAGTACATTAGATAATGATACGGTTTTAATACTAAATTGTTTTTTTTATTTAATTTTTATTATTTCTATTGAATACACAATAATAAGATAAAAATGTTGTTTGCATCTTGATTTTAATTGGTAGAATTTGATAAACGGTTTATACTCAGATAATATATTATGGTTTTCAAAATATATGGTTATCCTAATATCTAATGGTGTACACCCTGTAATAATTGGTTCAGTATGCCAACCAGTAGAAGGCCAATTTTCAGCATTATTTATATATTCCTTATATTATCCTGTTTGTATGCTATGTTTTGTATGTACATCTAGTGACTTACATGTATCGAAGGGTGTTTCATTTAATCTTTCTACTCGGTTGTCTCTGTTGGAACATTTCAAAAACTTACTGAATTTTCTATACTCATTATAACAGGGCATCAATAGTTGAGTGCAATTTCTATCCAAATTGGGGTGTTGATATATCAAACAATTCAATGAGAAAACAAAAAGAACCTGAAAAAATCATCAAGGCATTCTCCAAATTGAGGTTCATCAATCCTAGGGCCAATCATGCACTGAAATGCTGTTATATTATAAAGGGGTGGACACTGGACAGTATCCATGTTCAAGTACTATTTAAGACTTACAGGATGTGTACATAGAATATAATGCAAGCTCTTATCAATATGTCAAGCCTTTTGAGAATACTGGATCATATCAAACATAAGTTGCTTTTTGCCAAATCTGTTTCTGCAATAATGCTAATCATGTTATGACATAAATCATGTTATCTGCACATAGGGGGATATGATGTGTTCAATGTACAATACTGTATGTTACATGTAGCTATATCACTATGTAACAACATGCAATGAATGTGATGGCATTTATTATGATACCAGCAAAATACAGTGTATTTAAAGTTATTATGAACAGGAAAAATTCAGGATGGATAGTTTGAAATAACAACTTTTTTCATAAGACATTCTGTGTTGGCCTAATTTCTGTATATTTTACTGTCTAGCACACAGGTCCAAGATATTGCCAGTGTAAATGAGCCATTTTTGGCCTGTGTTGAAGACTAAAAAATGCAGTTCAGTGTTGTTGTCAACCAGCAAATGATACAAGGGCTATTGTTTATTCTGGGTATGATCCAGTCTTTCTGGTGATCCATTCTGCTTTGACGTTTGCCAAATGAAATAACAGCATCATTTTTAGTTCTCATATTATTTTCTAATCTTTTTTAGTATGTTCAATCAAGTATTGCAACAACGACTCGTATTTTACGCATCTGACATTTTTCTGTATAGTCCACCAACTAGCCACGCCTTATTAGTGTTTTACATTTTTAGTTCAATCAATCAATTGATGTACAGTAGGTTAATATTGCATTAAACTCTACAGGATTGTAAAGTGACATGTTATTGTTGCTTTGCTGTCTTGATTGAGTTGATTGAGCAGCTTTGCTTCCCTCGAGTTAACCAATGGCAATGCCCGAGACATCACACTCATTATTAAGGGTTTTGTCTCATATGAATCAAGTTATACCATTGGCTGATAAAGTGTAAAGTTTTATGATATATGTACATGTATGAATTAAATCAATGTTTTGTGAAGATTTTGATGAATAAATAATTTGATACAAAATATAATAATGATGTTTGTTTCTGATGTTTTATCCAATAAAGTCCCATATCACGTTTAGAACGGGGATTCTGGAAAAGTCATTGGATAATGGGAAGAATACTTTAACTATCTAAGGAGGCAGGTCATTTCCACTGATACAAAGAAGACGAGAATTTTAAATTTTCGTTGAGCACTTCAAGAATTCTGACCTCGATAAAAGCAAACAAACAAAGTTGTTAACATACAAAATGTCACTACCTGCTATTTGTTACAGATGATGAACACCAACTGCCAAACACCATCCACAGAGTTGGAGACTATAACAATATGTCAGCACTTATGAAGTGACATAAAAAGCATTGAACCATGCAGCACATTTTACATCATTCATCCAGATCATATTCATATTTTACTCCAAATGCACATACAGTTTTCATTATATATTTTAAAGATTGAGGACTCTGATCTACGTGCTTTTTGGGGATCTCTTTTAGACATGATAAAGTATGCCCCTTCACTCATATGCAAATACTAGCTGGCAATCACCATGAAACTACAAAAGCAAAGGGGATGTACATGTTAATATTTTTTCATTTATTTGAATAACAAAGTTTTGTACAATACATTAGGTAGCACAATTGTATGCTACTTGTACTTAAATAATATTACACAATATTTTGAGACTATGATGTGTTTAATATCATGATGTGTTCCCCTGTCCAACTAAATCTAAAATGTGAAATGGAATCAGAAAGCTGAAGATACCACACATGTGGGCGCAAATGAGTTTGAAATACATTCAAAAAAATATTGGCTTTATAATGGATAAAGCAATTTTTCACTGAACATGGTGATTTAACACTTTATCCATTAAAAAGCCAAAATGAGGTAACTGAAACAAAGAGACATATTTCACCCCAGTAAATACTGATCGAATGATTGATTGATTGATTGATTGATTCCATTACTTATATTCTACCAAGCAATACAGTCAAACCTTTTGAAGTGGAACACCTTTGATACCTTAAAATAGTGTTCCACTTGGGAGGTGTTCCACTTCAAGAGGTTCACTTTACAAGTTAATGAGTGGATAGATTTTGAAGTGTTCCCCTTATAGATGTGTTCCACTTAAAAAAGTGTTCCACTTAAAAAGAAACAAATGTATTATGTAAATCACCATAACACAAACAAGTATACTAGGACAGCATACATTGAGCACACAACACATTGGAAGCATTTTCACATTTTCAAAAGTATATGTACAAAATTCACAAAATGTTTTTCAAAAATATGCAAATTTTTAAATCAACAGATCAATTTTTAAAATGACAAATTGTTAAAATGCATTATTGAAAATTACACACCATTCAATATTCAATCATTATTCCACAAATCTGTAATATGACTAGTTTCAGTGATTTTTATAGTGCAAATTGTACAAAGATGGAAGAAGTCTCTAAGATGGGGCCTGGAAGGTGTATATATGAATTCATGTATCGGATAATCTTAAAGAATCACTTGTTATACATGTTCCCTGGACCTTAACATCCCCAATTCCCTGTAGATATGAGTTGACTCTTTTTTGGCCCTATCTTAGTGATCCTCCCTCCCCCAAAATACAATAAAGATAAACTCTACACTATATGAGCACATTTGGTGTCTGTAAACATTTGCAACATTTTATTGTGATAATATGCCCCTATATGGATTACGGAGTGGTTAGAAGGAAATTGTACAAATATGGTTATTTAGTTGCAATAATTTTGATTTTACAGAAAGAAAATCCATATGTTTGAAAATATCAAAAACGTACATAGGAAACCTACCAAATCAATATACCATTCAACATTATCTAGTTATTGGTAAAACGGGGTATAGCTGATCAGATACTATGGGATACAGGTTTGCATAAAATCCAGAGAAAACTTTTGTTAGGGTTGTTCTAAATCCAGATTATATTGAGTTTTGCCACACAGCATTCTGATTGTACTAAAACATAGGATTCAGTATTGCCCTAAAACACAGGATTCAAGACTGCTTTAAATCCAGATTGCTCTAAAACACAGGATTCAGGATTGCTCTTAGTCCAGATTGCTCTAAAACACAGGATTCAGGATTGCTCTAAAACACAGGATTGCTCTGAATCTAGATAGAGGATTCAAGATTATTTAAAAGCAGATGATTCAGGATTACTCTAAATCCAGATTGAGGATTCAGGATTGCTCTAAATCCAGATTGAGGATTCAGGATTGCTCTAAAACACAGGACTGCTCTCTGAATCTAGATAGAGGATTCCAGATTATTTAAAAGCAGATGATTCAGGATTGCTCTAAATCCAGATTGAGGATTCAGGATTACTCTAAAACACAGGATTGAGGATTCAGGATTGCTCTAAAACACAGGACTGCTCTCTGAATCTAGATAGAGGATTCCAGATTATTTAAAAGCAGATTTAGGATTGCTCTAAATCCAGATTGAGGATTCAGGATTGCTCTAAATCCAGATTGAGGATTCAGGATTGCTCTAAAACACAGGACTGCTCTCTGAATCTAGATAGAGGATTCCAGATTATTTAAAAGCAGATTTAGGATTGCTCTAAATCCAGATTGAGGATTCAGGATTGCTCTAAAACACAGGATTCAGGATTGCTCTAAAACACAGGACTGCTCTGAATCTAGATAGAGGATTCCAGATTATTTAAAAGCAGATGATTCAGGATTGCTCTAAATCCAGATTGAGGATTCAGGATTGCTCTAAAACCAGATTGAGGATTCAGGATTACTCTAAATCCAGATTCAGGATTACTCTAAATCCAGATTGAGGATTCAGAATTGCTCTAAATCCAGATTGAGGATTCAGGATTGCTCTAAATCCAGATTGAGGATTCAGGATTATTCTAAATCCAGATTGAGGATTCAGGATTGCTCTAAAACCAGATTGAGGATTGCTCTAAAACCAGATTGAGGATTCAGAATTGCTCTAAATCCAGATTGAGGATTCAGGATTGCTCTAAATCCAGATTGAGGATTCAGGATTATTCTAAATCCAGATTGAGGATTCAGGATTGCTCTAAAACCAGATTGAGGATTCAGGATTACTCTAAATCCAGATTCAGGATTACTCTAAATCCAGATTGAGGATTCAGAATTGCTCTAAATCCAGATTGAGGATTCAGGATTGCTCTAAATCCAGATTGAGGATTCAGGATTATTCTAAATCCAGATTGAGGATTCAGGATTGCTCTAAAACCAGATTGAGGATTCAGGATTGCTCTAAAACACAGGATTGAGGATTCAGGATTACTCTAAATCCAGATTGAGGATTCAGGATTGCTCTACATCCAGATTGAGGATTCAGGATTATTCTAAATCCAGATTGAGGATTCAGGATTGCTCTAAAACACAGGATTGAGGATTCAGGATTACTCTAAATCCAGATTCAGGATTGCTCTAAAACACAGGATTGAGGATTCAGAATTGCTCTAAATCCAGATTGAGGATTCAGGATTGCTCTAAATCCAGATTGAGGATTCAGGATTATTCTAAATCCAGATTGAGGATTCAGGATTGCTCTAAAACCAGATTGAGGATTCAGGATTGCTCTAAAACACAGGATTGAGGATTCAGGATTACTCTAAATCCAGATTGAGGATTCAGGATTGCTCTACATCCACATCACACAAGAAGCTCAATGATTGCTAGCAACATATTTATTAAAAGCACATGTACTAGAAGTTTTGTTGTCTTTTCTTCTTAGCTTCTATAGCGTCATGAATTGGTTGCCTCTTGGCATGATATCGTTTATGAAGTTCCTCAATCTCACGCTCCATTTCTGGATCTAGGCTTGCTATTCTTTGTTCTAACTCTTCTAAACTCATATTCGTAATCTGAAAAAATGATAACTTATATTCAGCTAATTATAAAGTTTATGTTACATTTATTTTGTCAGTGATTAGGCAATATGAGAATTGAATTAATAATCGTTTTGATATGCATGGTTCAAAAGATTTGTATTATACAGATTTGTCTTATATTGTTTCTTAAATATTGTCTAGCATGTTTTCTCTTTAAAAGTACATCCATTTTTAGAGCTTGTGGCACTTACAAAATCAAAGTCCCCTTCGATAAAATTCCTCTGAAATAAAGGTCCACTGGGGGGTAGGGCTTGCTTCTGTGGGGGAGGAGTAGGGGCTGGCTGGGGGGTACTGACTGGTGGAGAAGGTTGCACTGGTGGGGGTTGCACTGCTTGCTGGGGGGACTGTTCCCGTTCTTGCCTTTCAAAGTGGTCCAAATAAGCTGGGCGGTATTTGCTCTTTGCATTCTCTGTGTCATGTCCTAAAATATTTTATATATTGTTAAGTATGTTGTACATCAAAAAATAGTCTTATCATGGGCCTCCCAAAAATCCTATGTTTAAAAGCACATACAGAGAATATATATAAGTGTATGTGAGTATATGTGTAAGTGAGTATGTGTGCTACTTCTGCAAAGAAAACAGCTATCTACAATAGATGGCAGCAGCTGACTGTATTGAAATTACTAGGCATTGTCTGAAAATAATTATGGTATTCATAAATGGGGATTCCCCTAAAAATGTATAAAAGGTATAATATGATGTCATAAAATGTTTAATTGCTTGCAAATATTTCGATCCTCTTACAGTTTTTACACCTTATCTTCTGCTCTTTGATAAGCTCCTGCATTAGAATTACAGTATACATGACAAATTAACTGTATTAACTATTAATACAGTATGAGATGTTCAAGTAAATATAAAGGCATAAGATCAACAACTACCAACAAAGAATGCAATCAATAAATAAATTCCCTGACTATGCCCTAACGCCACAGATTTGACTGACACAATGTACAAAACACAAACACAATTCAGAATTGAGCCTACATGATATTACAAAATACAGCCATGGATGTATGTTTCAAAGTTTATCATCTGTAGATAAAAAGCATGATGTAACACTTTCTTTTTAACTTATCTGGTATTAAATTTAATAAACATAACATATTTAATATACAACTAGGCACGACACATTTTGCCTGTCAACTTTTGTATTGCAAAGATGGGGTTTCTTTCAGACCACAAATGGCATGCCTGCTACATGTACTTGCTCTGTCTTGCTTTAATTGTCATCACAGAGGCTCAAAGGTATGTATAATTTACTTTAACGGTTTAAAATGTGAATTATGGTGTCATATTTGGATTAACCTTCAAAACAACTAGAACAAATAATGATGAAAAAAAATGTTAATGGATCCATGGATATTATACAGATTTGAACAAAAGAACAGAGCTCATTGGTCACTTAACCCTTTATACCTGAAACGAGAAACCCCACAAGCGCATTTCTATTTTTCAATTATTGAAAACTCATAAAAAAACAAAATGAAACTAGAACTTAACATCTGATATACTTTAAAAATCTTATAAATATAGGAACAAGTACTTGAAAATGATAAATGTTCAAATCAAATTACTCACTACTGGAATATTTGACAATCTTTTTTGTACAAAGGTTATATTGTGATGTAAGCACAGTCAACTATCAAATATTCTATCAGAGCAACAATCCTATCACATAATTTTCTCTTGAAATAAATAATAGCATCTGCAGATATCTCAACATTTTCCTGTTTAGCTATAGTTTCATTTGTTTCATAAAATATGAAAAGTTGCTAACATTTCAGCAAGTAAGCCAAAACTTTAAAAGTTTAATCAATTAAAATTTGTGTTTTAACTCATAACCTTAAACAATATTTCAGGTCCTTTCGACATTTAGATTTCATAAAAGAGCAGTTAAGAAACTATTGTAATAAAATTTTATTTGAAGAATAGGACTGGGGAGATCTAAAGCTTATTCTTCACGCTTCCTAGTCAACTCGTACCCAAGACAACTCATACCCAAGACAACTGGTACCTAAGACAACTCGTACCCAAGACAACTGGTACCCAAGACAACTCGTACCCAAGATTATTTTCAGTATTATGGTTGCATATTGGGGAAAAAATAGAGTTTGTAATGCTTTCATGTTATAATGTGAATCAAATAATCCTCAATATTTTTTGAATTTAGACGACATTTTTTCTCAATGGATCAGTAAAGCATTTTTTTTATTAAATAAAAGAAGTGCTTGAAGCGCTTGTTCTCAACATTTTTTTGTCAAACATATATATAAATAAATATAATTACAACATTAGATCTGACACTTGTTCCAAACACTCATATATAAACATACAATATTTTGAAAAATGATCATGAACATGTGGAATAAACATATTGTAACGGCTAGCCTAATTTGGGTAGTGTGGGTGTTTTTAGACTAGGCTAGGTCACTTTGGGGATACGTTGTACACATTAAATGTACGTGTGAAAATAAAGAGACACAATAATTAATGAAAGCTTAACAATATATATTCTGGCTTCATCCGCCTCAAAATAATACAACACAAATTGATACTAAGTTTCAGTTTCAGAGGTGCGAATTATAAGTCCTTTATGCAATTATATTTGTATATTTATCTCTATATATAAATGTTCATCACTAATATAGTTTTTCATCAGCTGAGCGATGCATATTCTAAGTCCACCAAGTTGAAGATATAATCTAAGTTCATCAAATGAGTTGGTGAATATTCTAAGTCTATCAAACTGAAGATGTATGGAATCTGCTAAGTTCTTCAGATTATCGATGAATATTCTAAGTCCACCAAGTTGAAGACATAAACTAAGTTCATCAAACGGGCTGTGAATATTGTAAGTCTATCAAACTGAAGATTAAGTCCACCAAGTTGAAGATATAAACTAAGTTCACCAAATGGGCTGTAAATATTCTAAGTCTATCAAACTGAAGATGTATGGAATCGGCTAAGTTCTTCAGATTATTGATGAATATTCTAAGTCCACCAAGTTGAAGATATAAACTAAGTTCACCAAATGGGCTGTAAATATTCTAAGTCTATCAAACTGAAGATGTATGGAATCTGCTAAGTTCTTCAGATTATCGATGAATATTCTAAGTCCACCAAGTTGAAGACATAAACTAAGTTCATCAAATGGGCTGTGAATATTCTAAGTCTATCAAACTGAAGATGTATGGAATCTGCTAAATTCTTCAGATTATCGATGAATATTCTAAGTTCACCAAGTTGAAGACATAAACTAAGTTCATCAAATGGGCTGTGAATATTGTAAGTCTTTCAAACTGAAGATGTATGGAATCTGCTAAGTTCTTCAGATTATCGATGAATATTCTAAGTCCACCAAGTTGAAGATATAAACTAAGTTCACCAAATGGGCTGTAAATATTCTAAGTCTATCAAACTGAAGATGTATGGAATCGGCTAAGTTCTTCAGATTATTGATGAATATTCTAAGTCCACCAAGTTGAAGATATAAACTAAGTTCATCAAATGAGTTGGTGAATATTGGCTAAGTCCCTCAATATATACGTAAATATTCCTAAGTTCCTCTGGGCATCAAACTCCAGGCAACTATGGTGAATATTGGCTAAGTCCCTCAATATATGCGTGAATATTCCTTAAGTTCCTCTGGGCATCAAACTCCAGGCAACTATGGTGAATATTGGCTAAGTCCCTCAATATATGCGTGAATATTCCTAAGTTCCTCTGGGCATCAAACTCCAGGCAACTATAGTGAATATTGGCTAAGTCCCTCAATATATACGTAAATATTCCTAAGTTCCTCTGGGCATCAAACTCCAGGCAACTATGGTGAATATTGGCTAAGTCCCTCAATATATGCGTGAATATTCCTAAGTTCCTCTGGGCATCAAACTTCAGACAACTTTGGGGAATATTGGCTAAGTCCCTCAAGGTAATATCTTCTAAGTGTATCGACCGAAAAATTCTCTAAGTCCATCAAATTGTATGCAGAATTCATCTAAGTCCCTCAAGGTAATAAAATTCTCTAAGTCCATCAAATGGTATGCAGAATTTGTCTAAGTCCCTGAGGCATCAATCTCTAGAGGTGCGTGGAGGTTCCTTCTCATCAAAAGTTGTGTACGTGCCTCTCAGTATATGTAGAATCTGCCTAAGATCCTCTAAGTATACCAGGGTAAAATCCTCTAAGTCCCTCAACGGGTATGTCGAATCTGCCTAAGATCCTCTAAGTATACCAGGGTAAAATCCTCTAAGTCCCTCAATATGTGAGATGAAATCTTCTAAGTCCATCAGATATATGCTTAGAATTAGCCTAAGTCCATCAAGCGTCAATCCCTGGAGGCACGCGGGTCTGTCCTCTCTCAGTTCCAGCTAGAAAAGTGCCTGCTGAGTCACCTGGTCGTCTCTATTTATACCCCAGACATGTATGTAACATGTACTAGGTTTTGCACACGAACCTAACAAGTGATTAATGGGCTGATGCAATACCTAGGCCCCTGGACAGGACAAAACTGGTGTACAATTACTATGACGCAATCAGGATATGAATAGTGCAAAATAACTGGCTTCATTTAGAACTCACAATCTGTGCTATCTAATGTAACATCAATATATGTTTAGTATATAATTAACTAGATAAATGTATAAACTAAATAAATATAACATAAACCAATCATCATTGGTTTTAATCATGCCGAAATTGACCGAAAAAACTAGTAATTGAATGTAGGTCAAGATAGCTCTTCAAAAGTAAGATGAAAAAATGTAAACAAATGAAAGCAAAATGAAATCTCACAAAATCGAACAGTTTACAGGATTCTGCCTACTCCTTTAGTGTCACATACATTCATGTAAGTATACTACTTGTCAAACAAACTGAAAAACAGTTTCCAAATGTGTTAACTGTAAGCGAACTGATAAAATGGCACAGGACTACAAAGAACAGAAAATTTGAAAAGTAAAAATTTGTTACAATATGTCTCTTCGCTCGAACATCCTGAATCTGTGACCGATATAAAATAATAGTCAATATAAATTGACACTCAGCTCAAAATGTCACAAAATTAAATCAATTTCTTCCGAAAATTCTTCTTCAAACTTTAAACTATTCTGAACAGTATGTTACAATTATAATATGTATATCTATTCACATTCCTAGTCAACACTTGATTCAAAACAAAATATATACTTGGGTACGAGTTGTCTTGGGTACGAGTTGTCTTGGGTACGACTTGTCTTGGGTACGAGTTGACCAGTTACCTTCCTCATTATACTAAGAAAACACTGTTTAGCTAATATAAGTGAATCCTTAGATACATATATTATACTTTAATATGTATATTTACAGATGGGAAAACCATGACCCTTGGAAGATTGGGGAATTTGAGCTTAATGTCAAAATTATGATTGACACTGAGAGATCAAGTCTTAGTGATTTTGTAATGGAGAAGGAGTTGACCCAACCATGTAAGGAAACCAAGATTCTTTTGGTAGCAGGAATCAGAGAGCTTTCAACAAGAGAATTCCATCTAAATGATGAATTGACTGAAATCATGAGGATGACAATGAAAGATATGAAAACATTCAAAAATATCAAGAATTCACTGCAGGCAATCGTGCACAAAAACCTGGATATGATGCAACCAAGGTTGGCATGGTATTACAACCATAAAGAATGCAAACAAGATGAAAATGGCGACTATTGTTTCACCCAAGTTGATTATACATTAAAGTTCTTTAACACATACAAACTAAAAGGACAAAAACAAATGAAGAAAGTAACATTTAAGGACTATTTTCAATACAGGATTAAAAGAAATTCGACGAAAGCAAAATCAGATTCATATCATGCTAAAGGAAAAAAACATATAACAATCGTCATAAAACATGTATTCACAGAGAAAAGTATTGTAAGCTCACTGGCATATAACATATGGACATTTTTCTTTGGCAAAGCAGAAGATATTGATGACTCAATAATGATCATCATACCAAGTTTTGAGAGCACAACTGAACATGACCAAAAGGTGGCACACTTGTGAGTGCATTGTTAATGTAATCTTAACATTTTAAAGCTAGAGATAATATATCAAATTGCCATATATGAGTTAATCCGAACAGACAATGCAGATGGGGTGTCAAGGTGACCTCATTTAGACTCCTCTCCAAAAAATTGCCAACTGGAAGCCCACATTTGATGTGTTAAGTGTGTTAAGCCTGATAAAGTTTATCTTTGTTTTCTTCCTAAATATCAATAGTTCAGAGGCTTATGACAAGTTTGTTGAATGTTTTTAAATCACCAAACAAAGACAAGCTTTAATACATTATCCAGAAGGGAACTTCCTGTTGTTAAACTTATGAATGGGAGTGTAAGTATAGTATTGTACTATGTAATGCATACACAAAATGTTTATTGCAAACACAATTACAAATTTTGTACTTGACTGTTTATGAATTTTTCAGATGGAAAAACTTTGACCCGTGGAAGATCAGGGAATTTGAGATTACAGCTCGATTTGAGGTGGAACCTGAGAGATCCAGACTTAGTGGTAATCAGATTGAGGAGGCACTGAAACAACCTAGCAATGAAGCAAAACATCACTTGATAGAAGATCTCAGAAACCTTACTCATTTGGAATTTCATCCAAATGATGAAGTAACCAATATTATTAAACAGATGCTAAAGGGCTTTAAAACATTTACAAATATTAAGAATTCTCTTAAACTGGTAGTGCATGAAAGCCTAAACACCAAACAACCAAGATTAGCATGGTTTTATGATCGCAGTGAGTGCTCTAAGGATGACACTGGGGACTACTGTATGACTCGTGTTAATGTAGAATTGAAGCTTATTATACCTAACAAAAAACAAAATGTTAAACAAAAAGAAATGACATTTGAAAAGTCCTTTATCTATGGGATTACAGCAACACCCTCTGAAGCATCGGATCTATCTGATAGAGTAAGAAAACCACTATTTGTCAAGATCAGACATAGTACAGAGATGAGTATGATAGTATTGCAACCTCTTTGACGTATTATGTAAAGAAACTGTTTTTGTTTTTCACTGGTAAATCACAAAAGGATGGTACAGTAAGGATCTATTTAAACAGGATAGCCGAACCTGAGGACAAAACTTGTGCCAATCGGAAAACTGAGAAAAGTGTCACTTCTGCATATAATATATTCACAGTAATAGGTATTATTGTAATAGCAGTTTCGATCATTACGAACAAATATTTTTATATTAATTGTTCCATCAGTTTAATTCTGGTTTTTATCTGGTTCAATTCAATTGCTATTTGCTATTGTTTGGCACTGCCTACAATTGTTCTTTTCCTCAGAAGACAGGATTTCAGCATCTAATATTTCCTCTTCAGATAAAAGAGAAAATGTGTGTTCTCAAACCCTGCATTATGATTTGTTATTTGGAAAATTATATTTACTAAACTAAGCATACTACATATGATGTATGTACAGCAAGTTTATATGTATGTTTGAACATGTACTATGTTTTACATACCTAGCGAAGCATTTGAATGGAAGTCAAAGGCAAAGTAAGCAGGCTATATCCACTGACAGTGCTGACTTACACCAATTTTGTGAAGGTTTCGTAAAAAATTGGAATTGAATACATTTGAAGATGTAATAAATTCTTACTTTTCATGGTTGCCTCATCATCTTCACTGTCTTCGTTGATTACCATAGTTCCTATCTCAGAGTCTATGGATGTCATTGTGTTACTTTCACTGTTAACTCCCACTGTACCACTGTCCCCACTTGGCACCATAGTCCCTATAATTAAAATGTAATATAGATGTCATTGTGTTACTTTCACTGTTAACTCCCACTGTACCACTGTCCCCACTTGGCACCATAGTCCCTACAATTCAAATGTAATATAGATGTCATTGTGTTACTTTCACTGTTAACTCCCACTGTACCACTGTCCCCACTTGGCACCATAGTCCCTACAATTAAAATGTAATATAGATGTCATTGTGTTACTTTCACTGTTAACTCCCACTGTACCACTGTCCCCACTTGGCACCATAGTCCCTATAATTAAAATGTAATATAGATGTCATTGTGTTACTTTCACTGTTAACTCCCACTGTACCACTGTCCCCACTTGGCACCATAGTCCCTACAATTAAAATGTCATATAGATGTCATTGTGTTACTTTCACTGTTAACTCCCACTGTACCACTGTCCCCACTTGGCACCATAGTGCCTATAATTAAAATGTAATATAGATATCATTGTGTTACTTTCACTTTTAACTCCCACTGTACCACTGTCCCCACTTGGCACCATAGTCCCTACAATTAAAATGTAATATAGATGTCATTGTGTTACTTTCACTGTTAACTCCCACTGTACCACTGTCCCCACTTGGCACCATAGTCCCTATAATTAAAATGTAATATAGATGTCATTGTGTTACTTTCACTGTTAACTCCCACTGTACCACTGTCCCCACTTGGCACCATCGTCCCTATAATTAAAATGTAATATAGATGTCATTGTGTTACTTTCACTGTTAACTCCCACTGTACCACTGTCCCCACTTGGCACCATAGTCCCTACAATTAAAATGTAATATAGATGTCATTGTGTTACTTTCACTGTTAACTCCCACTGTACCACTGTCCCCAATTGGCACCATAGTCCCTATAATTAAAATGTAATATAGATGTCATTGTGTTACTTTCATTGTTAACTCCCACTGTACCACTGTCCGCACTTGGCACCATAGTCCCTATAATCAAAATGTAATATAGATGTCATTGTGTTACTTTCACTGTTAACTCCCACTGTACCACTGTCCCCACTTGGCACCATAGTCCCTACAATTAAAATGTCATATAGATGTCATTGTGTTACTTTCACTGTTAACTCCCACTGTACCACTGTCCCCACTTGGGACCATCGTCCCTATAATTAAAATGTAATATAGATGTCATTGTGTTACTTTCACTGTTAACTCCCACTGTACCACTGTCCCCACTTGGCACCATAGTCCCTACAATTAAAATGTAATATAGATGTCATTGTGTTACTTTCACTGTTAACTCCCACTGTACCACTGTCCCCAATTGGCACCATAGTCCCTATAATTAAAATGTAATATAGATGTCATTGTGTTACTTTCATTGTTAACTCCCACTGTACCACTGTCCGCACTTGGCACCATAGTCCCTATAATCAAAATGTAATATAGATGTCATTGTGTTACTTTCACTGTTAACTCCCACTGTACCACTGTCCCCACTTGGCACCATAGTCCCTACAATTAAAATGTCATATAGATGTCATTGTGTTACTTTCACTGTTAACTCCCACTGTACCACTGTCCCCACTTGGCACCATAGTCCCTATAATTAAAATGTAATATAGATGTCATTGTGTTACTTTCACTGTTAACTCCCACTGTACCACTGTCCCCACTTGGCACCATAGTCCCTACAATTAAAATGTCATATAGATATCATTGTGTTACTTTCACTGTTAACTCCCACTGTACCACTGTCCCCACTTGGCACCATAGTCCCTATAATTAAAATGTAATATAGATGTCATTGTGTTACTTTCACTGTTAACTCCTACAGTACCACTGTCCCCACTTGGCACCATAGTCCCTATAATTAAAATGTAATATAGATGCCATTGTGTTACTTTCACTGTTTACTCCCACTGTACCAGTGTCCCCACTTGGCACCATAGTCCCTATAATTAAAATGTAATATAGATGTCATTGTGTTACTTTCACTGTTTACTCCCACTGTACCACTGTCCCCACTTGGCACCATAGTCCCTATAATTAAAATGTAATATAGATGTCATTGTGTTACTTTCACTGTTTACTCCCACTGTACCACTGTCCCCACTTGACACCATAGTCCCTATAATTAAAATGTAATATAGATGCCATTGTGTTATTTTCACTGTTTACTCCCACAGTACCACTGTCCCCACTTGGCACCATAGTCCCTATAATTAAAATGTAATATAGATGTCATTGTGTTACTTTCACTGTTAACTCCCACTGTACCACTGTCCCCACTTGGCACCATAGTTCCTATAATTAAAATGTAATATAGATGTCATTGTGTTACTTTCACTGTTAACTCCCACTGTACCACTGTCCCCACTTGGGACCATCGTCCCTATAATTAAAATGTAATATAGATGTCATTGTGTTACTTTCACTGTTAACTCCCACTGTTCCACTGTCCCCACTTGGCACCATCGTCCCTATAATTAAAATGTAATATAGATGTCATTGTGTTACTTTCACTGTTAACTCCCACTGTACCACTGTCCCCACTTGGCACCATCGTCCCTATAATTAAAATGTGTTCATGGAAGACTTTGAAGATCTTCAATGATGTTCATTGTGCTTATACTCTTTGCAAAATTTAAGAAATAGTAATCAAAAAGATAATTAAAAAAAACTTAATTTTCTAAAAAATATTTATTGCATGAAATGATCTATATTGTCTCTATGTACAGAGCACGTATTTAGATTTCTATTTTACAGAAGTACTCTGAAGCAGCAACAGTGATTTTAAGCAATAAATTTTAATAAAAAATATCAGAAGAAATTGACTGAACATTCATATTCTTCATCTTGAGATAAATGAGTGTCATGATTTAGAGACTTACCAGTTTCATTTTTGTGAGCTATCATGGTTCCTGAGTCTGGGTTCCCCTTCACCATTGTGCCTGTGTCAGTCTCTTCATCCTGCAATACAAAACATACAGTGGATGATTTCTGTTTGAACTTTAACATACAATAAAGGGTCAGGTTTTGACTCATTGCATTTGATACATACATGGGTCAAATGTGGATCAGTTAACCTCTAGGTTAGGTTACCAGTGGAGCAGTCATTGCGAAAATGTAATTTGAAATAACTGCCCAATTAGGTAGTGCAGCTAAAAGCCTTTATTTAGTTATTGTGTTTATTTTATGTTTTTGTACAAAGTATAAGCTTATGAGTAAAGAACATGCTTATTTCTTTCTGGTTGTTGCATAAAAGTAAAAAATAAAGCAATCATTTCAAACTCATATCTGCTATTAATGTTATTTTGTCAAATTATTACCTCATCACGTTAAGTCTTCACAATAGATTTCCCTGACCTCATTCCAGAATGAATTACGAGGGATAAAAGGTTTTTATGAATCCATTATAATTTTGCAAGGTTTGAATTCTGAATTCAGCTGCTTACTACTATCTTAATGATTGAGGTTCATTGGCCCAAGAACAGAAGGTCCAAACTTATCTCACTTGACCCAATTCAAGGACAGAGTATAAAATGGAGGGGTACTCACAGATTCTTGCTCATTCTCTAGCAATTGAGCTTCTTGTATTTCCCTGGCCTCTTGTAAGAGTTTCTGTAGCATAGAGACAGGTTTGGCACGTTTGATGAAATCATGCTGGAAATAACAAACATTTTGAGTAAAACACATCATTTTCTTTGTAAATGCACCCTCAACCTTAAATGATCAGGATATCATTTACAGAGTTTGTTAAGAATGCCTAAATCCATGTGGATATTAATGCTATGACGTAAGAGAACAATGAACTAAAGGAATCCTTAACTTTAAAAAGTTTCTGTAAATGTGCCCCTGTATAATGTTATTATCCCTTAGGAAAAAACCCATGTTTTGACATGCGTGGAGAAAAAGGGTACATGTTCTCACTTAGTTCTACACATTTTTACTTCAATCCTCCCATGTGTGGCATGGAAAATTAGGTAAAAACAGGAGATGGCACTCTTGTTTTTACACACTTTTACCCCAGGGAAAAATGTGGGTGACTGTGGAGCAATGTGGGGAAATGAAGTAACTCTCATCTTATTTTTACTTAACTTCCCCACATTTTTCACACTGTGGAGGAATGTGGGAAAGGGTAGTTACATGGTTTTACATGCATTGTAGTACATCTTAGAGAAAATAGAGGGACTTAAATATGCTCTAATATTTACAGTTATTTTATTTAATATTTACATAGGGTATAATTCTCAATAAGCCTAGTGGAACCCAGCTTGATCATCAATATTATTGATTTGACTTCATATAAAATAAACATGTACACATTTGTATCAAATGTTTTAACTTTATTTATATTTACATTGATATATAATACAATACATATATTTTTTCTATGTACAAACTAATCAGTATTTACAAATGTTTATAGTTTTTTATTAAGACAGTTATAGGTTACTGTAGCTGTCCATTCTGAAATACGAAGGTCTAGCAGGATTGAACAACTGGGTATGTTTGGAAAGTTGACAAATTTATTCTTAAGCTAGGGATAATAGTAGCCTTGCCCAATTTGGTATTGTTTACTCATCTAATTTTGAATTTTTACTTGAATTATTGATAATGGAATTAAAAAAAAACAAAAAAACACTCACTTATAGTAGGCAAGGCTGGGATAATAACATTATTTGACTATCTATAATTTGTAGTATAATAATACATTGGCAATTGCAAAAATTGTGAAATCAAAATAAGGTATTTATCTGAGTTCATCATTTTCCTCCAAGTTGAGAGACATTTCATCATTATTCAAAATTAAACCAACTAATGTTTCATTGATGGATGATACAGATGTTGATAAATACCTTTATTGATGCTTACAGTGCTATACAAGGTCATTAAAAGGACCAATCTGATAGTTTTCCAATGGAAGTATTAACATAATATTGTGAACAAATGATTTGACTTTTTGAAATAAAAATAAAGGAGACAGCACTTTGCTTTTGTAAAGAAAACAAAATAGATAATTTGACACACGGATTCATAAAATATGCAACTTTGTACAACTAATATGGGATTTGATTTTTATCTGATTATACAAATGGATTTTCTTTGATATCTAATGAGAAATTGGACTAAGGCAAGAATATTGTGGGAAGATGTGGAAAATATGAGTGAAACTAAGAAAGAAGATAGGAAAATTTGGGGAAAGTGTGAAGAAATATGTCACCTTTAAATAAACATTTACCTAGAAATGTAAACAAATCTCAGTAGTACTAGTTGTTTTGTTTATCATTTTGCCTTGAATTAGAGAAACCAATATGAACATGTAGAATTGAAGTTTAAAGAATACATATAGGATTTTATAATGAATTGTTATTGTTAAAGATTTAAAAAAAGATTTTTAATGTTCTATTTTTTACAATTACATATTAACTTCAAACCATGGATGCAACTATAGGTTCACTTCAATGACATATTAACTTCAAACTATGGATTCAACAATGGCATATTCACTTCAAACCACGGGTTCAACTTTAGGTTCACTTCAATGACATATCAGTTTCAAACTACGGGTTCAACTATAGGTTCACTTCAATGACATATCAGTTTCAAACTATGGGTTCAACTATAGGTTCACTTCCAGTCAATGACATATCAGTTTCAAACTACGGGTTCAACTATAGGTTCACTTCAATGACATATCAGTTTCAAACTACGGGTTCAACTATAGGTTCACTTCCAGTCAATGACATATCAGTTTCAAACTACGGGTTCAACTATAGGTTCAACTATAGGTTCACTTCAATGACATATCGGTTTCAAACTACGGGTTCAACTATAGGTTCACTTCCAGTCAATGACATATCAGTTTCAAACTACGGGTTCAACTATAGGTTCACTTCAATGACATATCAGTTTCAAACTACGGGTTCAACTATAGGTTCACCTCCACTCAATGACATATCAGTTTCAAACTACGGGTTCAACTATAGGTTCACTTCAATGACATATCAAACCATGGATTCAACTATAGGTTCAATTCAATGACATATTAACTTCAAACAATGGGTTCAACTGTAGGTTCACTTCAATGACATTTCAGTTTCAAACCATGGGTTCAACTATAAGTTCACTTAAATGACACATAAACTTCGAACCATGGGTTCAACTGTAGGTTCACTTCAATGACATTTCAGTTTCAAACCACGGGTTCAACTATAGGTTCACTTGACTGACATATTAATGACAATGTTCACTTCAATGACATTTCAGTTTCAAACCATGGGTTCAACTATAAGTTCACTTAAATGACACATAAACTTCGAACCATGGGTTCAACTGTAGGTTCACTTCAATGACATTTCAGTTTCAAACCACGGGTTCGACTATAGGTTCACTTGACTGACATATTAATGACAATGTTCACTTCAATGACATTTCAGTTTAAAACCACGGGTTCAACTATAGGTTCACTTCAATGACATATTAACTTCGAACCACGGGTTCAACTATAGGTTCACTTCAATGGCATTTCAGTTTCAAACCACGGGTTCAACTATAGGTTCACTTCAATGACATATCAGTTTCAAACCACGGGTCATCTTCTTCCTTTATGAACACAGTATTTCTAATTCTGTCAAAATGTTTTGAAATTCTTTCTTTTGGGTCAGTGTTCTGTTTCTTGTGATATGATCAGTGTTCTAGCTCTTGTGATATCTGATTTAAGACTGAATTTTACTCTGGAGAGCCCTATATATAGGCACTAAATGTTTAATCCAATTAATTAATGAAAAGGAAAGGGGAGTATTAGTCTCATTTATGATGCTAATTTTCTATGATCTCCACAACTTGAACTCTGCAAAAGCAATCAAACAGCCAGACTCAAATAAATAAACATACAATGCATTTATGATCAATTGTTAAAATAGAACATTAAAAATCTTTTTCTAAATCTTTAACAATAACAATTCATTATAAAATCCTATATGTATTCTTTAAACTTCAATTCTACATGTTCATATTGGTTTCTTTAATTCAAGGCAAATTGATAAACAAAACAACTACTGAGATTTGTTTACATTTCTAGGTAAATGTTTATTTAAGGTGACATATTTCTCCACACTTTCCCCAAATTTTCCTATCTACTTTCTTAGTTTCACTCATATTTTTCACATCTTCCCACAATATTCTTTCCTTAGTCCAATTTCTCATTAGATATCAAAGAAAATCCATTTGTATAATCAGATAAAAATCAAATCCCATATTAGTTGTACAAAGTTGCATATTTTATGAATCTGTGTGTCAAATTATCTATTTTTTTCTTTACAAAAGCAAAGTGCTGTCTCCTTTATTTTAATTTCAAAAAGTCAAATCATTTGTTCACAATATTATGTAAATACTTCCATTGGAAAACTACCAGATTGGTCCTTTTAATGACCTTGTATAGCACTGTAAGCATCAATAAAGGTATTTATCAACCTCTGTATCATCCATCAATGAAACATTAGTTGGTTTAATTTTGAATAATGATGAAATGTCTCTCAACTTGGAGGAAAATGATGAACTCAGATAAATACCTTATTTTGATTTCACAATTTTTGCAATTGCCAATGTATTATTATACTACAAATTATAGATAGTCTAATAATGTTATTATCCCAGCCTTGCCTAATATAAGAGAGTGTTTTTTTTTTGTTTTTTTTTAATTCCATTATCAATAATTCAAGTAAAAATTCAAAATTAGATGAGTAAACAATACCAAATTGGGCAAGGCTACTATTATCCCTAGCTTAAGAATAAATTTGTCAACTTACCAAACATACCCAGTTGTTCAATCCTGCTAGACCTTCGTATTTCAGAATGGACAGCTACAGTAATCTATAACTGTCTTTAATAAAAAACTATAAACATTTGTAAATACTGATTAGTTTGTACATAGAAAAAATATGTATTGTATTATATATCAATGTAAATATAAATAAAGTTAAAACATTTGATACAAATGTGTACATGTTTATTTTATATGAAGTCAAATCAATAATATTGATGATCAAGCTGGGTTCCACTAGTCTTATTGAGAATTATACCCTATGTAAATATTAAATAAAATAACTGTAAATATTAGAGCATATTTAAGTCCCTCTATTTTCTCTAAGATGTACTACAATGCAAAAATGTAAAACCATGTAACTACCCTTTCCCACATTCCTCCACAGTGTGAAAAATGTGGGGAAGTTAAGTAAAAATAAGATGAGAGTTACTTCATTTCCCCACATTGCTCCACAGTCACCCACATTTTTCCCTGAGGTAAAAGTGTGTAAAAACAAGAGTGCCATCTCCTGTTTTTACCTAATTTTCCATGCCACACATGGGAGGATTGAAGTAAAAATGTGTAGAACCAAGTGAGAACATGTACCCTTTTTCTCCACGCATGTCAAAACATGGGTTTTTTCCTAAGGGATTTTCACCTCTCATTGTCTATAACTACTGAGTTCACAGTTTTAGAGACATGGTCAATATATCTATGCATGCCTATAAACTTAAATGAATACATACGGGGAAGGGGGTAAAGGTCCATCACATTTCGAAAAACCACATTAATTTTTACATAGATTAGTTATTTTTAATCATTATTTATTAATTTTTACATAGAAAGAAATTAATAAATTAGTGCATATTAGAGAGGAAGGGAGGGTTCAATCTGCAATTAATCATATTTTGAGACAATCAAAAATTGACCTGGTCTCTGTATATTAGATACTTACAAGTAACAATTCTTTGGCAGAGGCCCTCTTCTCTGGGTCCTTTACAAGACATACTGAGACAAAGTCTATAAACTCTGGTGACCATTTGTTCGGGTTTCTAAATGATGGTGGAGGTTTGGTAGGTATCATAAATATTGCCTGGAAAATATTGTAAAATGAATGTACATATATTTAGTGCTCTCAATACATATTTAGAGGGATTTAGACCAGGGAACAGACTGTATTATATCTTGGTGAATAGACAACAATGACTAAGAAGAAAAATGATTCAATTAACAAGAGCAGAAGTTTTTTTGTAAATAGTAACCTTGTTATGTAAACTGACTTACCCTCATGGGATGTATGTCAGCATAGGGTGGCTTCCCCTCTGCCATCTCCAGAGATGTAATACCTACAAGAACACAAATGTGTACAATATGTCCCCACCAATGGGTGATCCCGTCAAATGGTTATCCTGAAAATGAGTAGACAAGACTTTAACAACACAATTTGAGGATGGAAAATCCAAAATGGCCACCTTAAAATTTACCCAGAATGCCCAAAATTTAGTCAGTTTTAGATTTTCATACTAAGAACCACCCTTGACTATTTGAAATTGATCCATCACACAATTAACCAGAAAACATGTAAACAAGACTTTACAGACAAGATTTCAGGATGGAAGATCCAAAATGGCTGCCTTGACATTTACCAAGAATGCCAAAAAACTAATCAGTTCTAGATTTTCATCATTCCTGAAAATATGAAATTGATCTACCAAACGGTTCACCTGAAAACGAGTAGACAAGACTTTACAGACAAGATTTTAGGACAGAAAATCCAAAATGGCTGCCTTAACATTTACGCAGAATGACAAAAAACTAATCAGTTCTAGATTTTCATACTAAGAATCATCCCTGAAAATTTGAAATTGATCTACCAAACGGTTCACATGAAAACGAGTAGAAAATACTTTACAGACAAGATTTTAGGACGGAAAATCCAAAATGGCTGCCTTGACATTTACCCAGAATGCCCAAAAACTAATCAGATCTAAATTTTTATACTAAGAATCATCCCTGAAAATTTGAAATTGATCCACCAAACAGTTCACCTGAAAACGCGTAGACAAGACTTCACAGACAAGATTTTAGGACCGAAAAATCCAAAATGGCCGACAGTAAAAAAGTCATTATGAGTTTTTGCTGATTTCTTTTTACAAAATTATCACATATAACTACTGTTTCCAATAGCATAGGCTTTTACAACAAAGTACATCTGAAATTATTTATAAAGCTACTAAATAGTTAAAGTATGAAAACTGAAAAACACCATTCAATATGATACAAAGTATTATCGCGCGCTAACTTTTCTTAAGACATTCAAAATGGCTGACATGACTGAGCTAACAAGTCCAAAACCTAATCAGATCTAGAATGAAGTGAGCTGAACAAGATGTTAAAGTTTTACAAGAACACAAATGTGTACAAAATGTCCCCACTTTTGGGTGATCCCGTCAAATGGTATCCTAAAAATGGGGAGACAAGACTTTACCGACACAATTTGAGGACGGAAAATCCAAAATGGCCACCTTAAAATTTACCCAGAATGCCAAAAAATTAGTCAGTTCTAGATTTTCATACTAAGAACCACCCCTGAAAATTTGAAATTGATCCGTCACACAGTTAACCAGAAAACATGTAAACAAGACTTTACAGACAAGATTTGAGGACAGAAAATCCAAAATGGCTGCCTTGACATTTATCCAGAATGCCAAAAAACTAATCTGTTCTAGATTTTCATACTAAGAATCATCCCTGAAAATTTGAAATTGATCTACCAAACGGTTCACCTGGAAATGCGTAGACAAAACTTTACAAACAAGATTTTAGGACAAAAAATCCAAAATGGCTGCCTTGACATTTACCCAGAATGCCCAAAAACTAATCAGATCTAGATTTTCATATTAAGAATCATCCCTGAAAATTTGAAATTGATCTACCACGGTTCACCTATAAACGCGTAGGCAAGACTTTACGGGCAAGATTTTAAGACGGAAATCCAAAATGGCTGCCTTGAGATTTATCCAGAATGCATAAAAACTAATCAGAGCTAGATTTTCATACTAAGAATCATCCCTGAAAATTTGAAATTGATCTACCAAACAGTTCACCTGGAAATGTGTAGACAAGACTTTACAGGCAAGATTTTAGGACAGAAAATCCAAAATGGCTGCCTTAAAATTAACCCAGAATGCCCAAAAACTAATCAGATCTAGATTTTCGTACTAAGAATCATCCCTGAAAATTTGAAATTGATCTACCAAACGGTTCACCTAAAAACGCGTAGACAAGACTTTACGGGCAAGATTTTAAGACAGAAAATCCAAAATGGCTGCCTTAACATTTATCCAGAATGCATGAAAAATAATCGGATTTAGATTTTCATACTGAGAATCATCCCTGAAAATTTGAAATTGATCTACCCAACGGTTCACCTGGAAATGCGTAGACAAGACTTTACAGACAAGATTTTAGGACGGAAAATCCAAAATGGCTGCCTTAACATTTACCCAGAATGCCCAAAAACTATTAAGATCTAGATTTTCATACTGAGAATCATCCCTGAAAATTTGAATTTGATCTACCAAACGGTTCACCTGAAAATGCGTAGACAAGACTTTACAGACAAGATTTTAGGACAGAAAATCCAAAATGGCTGCCTTGACATTTACCCAGAATGCCAAAAAACTAATCAGATCTAGATTTTCATACTAAGAATCATCCCTGAAAATTTGAAATTGATCTACCAAACGGTTCACCTGAAAACACGTAGACAAGACTTTACACACAAGATTTTAGGACGGAAAAATCCAAAATGGCCGACAATAAAAAAGTGATTATGAGTTTTTGCAAATTTCTTTTTACAAAATTATCACATATAACTACTGTTAACAATAACATAGGCTTTTACAACAAAGTACACCTGAAATTATTTATAAAGCTACTAAATAGTTAAAGTATGAAAACTGAAAAACACCATTCAATATGATACAAAGTATTATCGTGCGCTAACTTTTCTTAAAACATTCAAAATGGCTGACATGACTGAGCTAACAGGTCCAAAACCTAATCAGATCTAGAATGAAGTGAGCTGAACAAGATGATAATGTTTTAATACTGTATGTGGTGGGGACATAACAATACACAAAACATGTAGTGAAATACAGCTTACTTGGCAGTACATACAGTAAAACCTATATACCTGTACAGCTCTCAATCCAAACACCTCTCAATGTGAACACCTTTTCTCGGTCCCAAATTTGTTATCTTTCAACGTCTCACAAACATTAACAGTAAAATGTGAACACCTGCTAATCCTTACACTTTTGGCAGTTACACTTCAGTGACATTTGTATTAGACTTTAACTCACCTAAACTCCAAATATCAGCGACACAGTCATATCCTATTTCTTGAATGACTTCTGGGGCCATCCAGTAAGGGGTCCCTATCACAGTGTTGCGCTTTGCCATTGTGTCCTATATGTGGAAACAATGAAAAGGAGATAAGAACCAGAAATAAGACATGCAAAGTATGAGAAAGGGTTGACTTAAAAGTAAGATTCATTGTAGATGTATATTAGAAGAGTGTGAAAAGGTAAGGTAAGGTACAGTATTGACTATTGAGAAATATTTGGAAAATTTACAGAAATATTTAAGCTGATTTGAGAAATATTTGAAAAAGGTTCGGAAAAGCACATGGCCTTTCAGTTAAAAATAAGTATGAATGGTCCTGTATTCTGTATTCTGGTACATCGTTCAGTATATACATCTAAACCTATAGTAAATAATAAACAGCAACACTCCTTCATAGTCTGGTATACACATCACATGGGTATATACATGTATTCATGGGTATATATCTTACTGTTAACTGTCCTGCGACACCAAAATCAGCTAGTTTTGCCTGGCCTTCAGTATTAAGTAAGATATTGCCTGCTTTAATGTCTCTATGAATTTTTCGCCTTTCATGTAAATATTCAAGTCCTTTGAGCGTGTATGATAATACAGTTGCGATTTCATCTTCTGTTAGCTGAAAGAACAGAGCAAAATTCTGTGTTCTAGTCACATGTCAAATGTCCACATTGTGAATGACCCAGCATGCCCAAAACTTTGAGATATTGGTCATACAATGACAATACAGCACTTTCAAGTGTGATACTTTAGCCAAATATCTATGGAGGGTTAGTGATTTGAACCTTTTCTTTAAGTGCCAAAATGTGAGCATTCAACTGAGTCCAGCTGCGTGATTTGCCATGATTAACTGACTTACTGTTTTATTACGTAGCCTCATCAGATCAGAGACAGAACCAGCGCCACAATACTCCATAACGATCTAAAAAATGACAGAATTATTCAAAACCACATTTTTCTCAAGAGATAAAACAAATACTCATACTGCATGTCAAAAGTTAATATTTCTTTTTCTTCTTTTTCGAATTTCATACCTATATAAATGAGATGCAAACTTTTCAGATGTAGAAGTCTTTCATTTTTAAAGTGCTTACTAGAAAAACACTATATAAATTTTGTTACTTGCCACCTTCTGCCTTTATAATATACCACCCCTTTCTTATACTTACCCATAGATCAGTCTCTTTAAAATAGCTGCCATAATACTTCACAATGTATGGACTGTCACACTGTTGCATAATTGAGATTTCTTTGATGATTTCCTGCAGATCCGAGTCTACAGGGACTTGTTTGATGGCCAGGACCTGACCTGACTCCTTGTGGAGAGCCTTGTAAACGCTGCCATATGACCTACATGGGAGAACCAATGGAAGTTAATGATAAATGCAAAAATACAGTCTGCCACACAGACCCTAAAATAAGGTAATCAGTGTATTACAAATGGAAAACAATTTTAGAGCACTGCTTTAGACTAGATATTTATTCAAACTGTTATTGGAATTGCAATATTTTAATGATTGCCATTTTGGAATTCTACATTAACATGAAGATACTTGTGAAGCTATATTTTTTGTTTAATCTATGCAAGCACCAAAGGAAAAATTTAGAAAATATATAATTATCTAAAAATCAAACAATGTTCATGCATATGTAATTATTCAATCAAGAATTCATTTTCATTCACAAAAGCATGCATTAAGGAGTCAGTTTAAAAGTAATACTACACCACCCTCCTTAATAACTGTGATAGATGTTGACTAGCACCCTCATTGTTCAAAATATTTAAAACTGTTCCAAAATTGATTATTATGTTGTTTAAAAACAGAAGAGCGAGAGAATCACACTACTATACCTAACACCTAGAAATGCATAAGATACTTTGTTTGTCTAATTGAATTGTTTAATATATTTTTGAAAGTGCCTTACTAGCATCTAATTTTCAACCGATAAACCATTCATAAGGAACAGACAAATAAAAACAAATACATAATCATTACTAATAAGCCAAATGGGTTGCTCATGAACACCTAATGCAAGGTATAGTAGTGTGAGAATGGATAAGCTGAAAGTGGCGGTATCCTTGCCCAAATTTATAAGCTACTAAACCAACAATGAACGAATATTTAAACTGCTCCTTTTCATCAGTACTACAAGTTAATATTGTATAAAGATGCCACAACCATGCTTATAATTAATTATCCCAACCTGATAATTAGAAGATCATTCCATAAGATTTTGAAAACTTTTACAGTTTTTATATTTTTTTATCATTTCAATGTGAGGCGAAAAAAGTGCATTATCCTGATAGCATAAAATATACCAGATGATTACATAATTAAAAAGAATCACTGATTAAATATTTTTTCCTTTGCTCAAAGATTACTCATGCCCTTAAGGGGTAGGGCAAAAATAATATTTTTTTATGAAAATCACAACAAAGGATAGCCACTCTGCTCCTTTCATTTAGTTAAAGGCACTGAAATGATATACTGCCTATGAATTTCAATGTTTTTTAAGGATCTATTCCCTTTAAACCACCCTATGCAGACAGAGCCTGTGGGAAATATTGGGTGCGGCGCAAATGAGCGGAGGGTGCGGAGCTAACGGTCATTTTTGAATTTAAAATTGGGATATTTCTGAAACTAAGCCGTTTTGGGACTTCAAATATACCAAGATATGTGTATTTGACACCAAATATCAATAAAATTGTGAAAATAGTAGTGCAATTCATTTTATAGCTACGCAGTATGCCTTAAACATTTCCCAGACCTATATATTTTGAAATTATCCTTTTAATACTGAGTCCCCAGCATTCATAAAAAATGGTGTTCAAGATACACAGATGCAAATTATTTTTGCATCTTGGAAGCCAGGCAGTATCTGTGTGATTTTATAAAAATTCAGGAATGTTCTTCAGATGAGAGCCCCCTCTAAATATTGGGTGCGGAGGTACGTTTATGGAGCTCCTCCGCACCCAATATTTAGAGGGGGCTCATATCTGAAAAACATTTCCGAATTTTTATTAAATCACACAGATACTGCCTGGCTTCCAAGATGCAAAAATAATTTGTATAGATAGTGTACCTTGAACACCATTTTTTATGAATGCTGGGGACTCAGTATTAAAAGGATAATTTCAAAATATATAGGTCTGGGAAAGGTTTAAGGCACACTGCGTCGCTATAGAATGAATTGCGCTACTATTTTCACAATTGTATTGATATTTGGTGTCAAATACACATATCTTGGTATATTTGAAGTCCCAAAACGGCTTAGTTTCAGAAATATCCCAAATTTAAATTCAAAAACGACCGTTAGCTCCGCACCCTCCGCTCATTTGCTCCGCACCCAATATTTCCCACAGGCTCTGTCTGCATAGGGTGTAAACACAAACACAAAAAACACTGATTTCGACCTAATCCCTTAGAGATTTTATTCTACATGTAAATCATGTCAAAATCATTCATGCATTACAATGTTGGTGTATAAATTTATTGTGATTTTGATTAGATTTGATTAGAGACGCAAAGCAAAATGAAAACTTCCTCCCAAATGTAGTGATACAGAATTACAGAATCTTATAGCTAATAGCATGAAGTGACTTATTCATAAATGAAAGCATAAATAATGATGGTATGAACAGGGGTGCTAATCGCACAGCGTAACTTCTGATACATACAGAATTTACAATTTACGTTCACCACCCCTGAGTAGTATTATATATGGACCATGTATACCTACCCCTCGCCAAGCTTCCCAAGCAGGTCAAATACTTTCTCTGGGGGTTGTTGTAAGCTTTCTTCACTAAGCCGGTTTAGTCGACTGTCGCTATGTAGAACAATAGAACACGTGGTACTAATGACAAGCAACAATGAATGCAATGCAAGCTGATGCGGGGATTTGATATGCATGTGTCTGGTTAAAACTGTATACAATTTTGAAAAAAATACTTAATCGGGCGGGCACCGGCTGATGAATCGGAGCAAATGTGACTCAGGCATTACTGTCTTATCATATACAATATAAATTATTCATAATTTGTATAAATGGCTATAATATATATTATAATTTTTATTAAGGTGGGTATATGTTTTAACAAGACACGTGCTTACATTAGGCTCCAAACTGGCTCATAATTATAGCATTGCATTTAGTCTCTGTTTACCAATCCCATTCCCCCACCTATTCTCCCCACCATAGGGAAGAACAGGAGGGATAGCGACAAGTGAGGGACCAAATACAAGACTACCTGGGTTATCTGGGAACTATACCTACAGCAACACATATGTATTAAGACTCATCTAGGTATTATGTAGACTTGCATCGAATCTCCCATGAATTCCCCTACTTACCCCCTACCTACCCCCTATGGATCTCACACTCTGAGATATGCGGGTAGAAGGAGGGGGGGTGGGGGATCACAGGGGCTTGAGGCAAGCCTATGTATTTCCATAAGACACACAAACAGATGGCAAGATGTATCTTAATACAATCTTAATGCATGAAATGCCAGTTCTGAGATGTGAATTCTATTGCCAGTCAAAATATTAAAGTGTATAGTAAAACCTGTCATTTCACAATTTAGTGCATTTCAACATCCTGTTTAACGAATATCCCTCTACCGAATGCGCATGACAGCAGATTAGAGGCTGATGGCACCAAAATGAAGTTCCAGGTTTTGAAATCATCATCTACTTCACAGGCAATTTTTGTATACAGAACTTATAAAATTGACATCTCAAAAATGTTTCATGAATGAGTTACTGAATATTGGTAGATGAACTAATGAACGCATTTGAGACATGGTGGTATATACAGTGATATACCAAGATTCTCGAATCAAGAGTCAATATATTTAGTATCTTACAGATGTAAATAATGAATCAAATGCATAATTCACATGTACCAAATCCATCGTCTTAGTCAGACAATAAAATGTGCTGTAATATACTTTATTGTGGATGAATGTAATAAATGACGTTATGAGGATGACGCAAGCATAACATAACAAAACAGAACACATAACATGAAAACAGTTGTTTACATGAGTAGCAATGGTAAACCCAAAACATGCATTCTTCACATAGGTTTAAATGCGAACAGTATCTAAACTAACTCCAAGTTAAAATGGAAAATCTTAATTTTTTGCAAATTGTAGATGGATCATTTTGTTTCAAATCATCTGTTTCCATTACTACTTACGTAAGGTCATGAGCATGATGCATATTTATATCACAATGACAGGTCCCCTACATACCCTCTTCCTATTTTACATATTATATCAAACACCTCATCTGGTGGTTGCGCTAAGTTCTGATCACTTAACTTTTTCAGCTCACTAAATAGAAAACAATGACTTATGTAACATTTATTTACAACAAAGAATGCAATATGCACTTAATTACATTCAATATCAAATAATCATGTCATATAGTACATGTATATCACATCCAAATTTGCATATACTTACTCCATTGAAAGAAATTAAATGAAAAACTAAAAATTGAGCAAATTCAACTTCACAAAAAGCATAAATCTACAGTCAGTTGGTATATAATCAGCTTCACGTGTTGCGGCCTTACTTCTGCTGAAATAAGATGGACTATTAAAAGCTGCTCAGGAATGGGCCTCATCCTGCAACATCTGTATGTTATAAATACAATCAAAGTCCCATGTATATGTTAATAGCATTACCACATAGGGATTATTTAGAATAATTATCTATGGCATAATACACATGTACACATAGGTACCTGTTACTGTGATTCTTGGATAATCTGATCAATGAGCTGATCAAATTCTAGCAATATTTTTCAATATTCCATAATTGGTCAAGTTCTAATTTTCCAATAATCTCCATAAGAGGCTGGGTGAATATTTTAATATCCGTCAAAAAGTGTTATTAAATTAGTTAGGTCTTAATTCCCTCCTCCCCCTTCTAACGAAAGTCAAAATGTTGATTCACACGCAATATATACAAATCAAAATGTTGATTTGCATGCAGTGCACAAGTACAAGCCCAGCATACAATATCTGCTACTGCTAGTTCTATAACAACACATATCAAATTCTCTTACATAGCTGTTGCATATTTAATGATCATACCATTGCAGAAGATGATGAATCTCTGGGACACTAAAAATCAATGTTCGTCACCTAACTAAATGGGGCTTTACCCCCTCCCCTCTAACATAATTAATTACGTTTTTGACAGACTTTGAAATATTGACCCGGCCCCTAATTGGTCAAATTCTTTACATAACTCATTTTGGTTTATCAAGTGAAAAACAACAAAATATTTTAATATGACATGAATTATGTTCATAGGGACATCAGTATGTGTAAATAAAATGTAGTCGAACCTCTGGCAAGTGATCTACTCCCTCTATTTTGTAGATCCTCCGGTTTTTTCTATGAGACAATCATACAATAGGCTTCCAGAAAAGACCCACTGTCCAGCCCAGATCTGACTAACACAGTTATGGGCCAGGCCCGTAGCCAGAATTTTCTAAGGGGGTTCACTTTTCAAACATTCTAGGGGGGGGGGGGTTCACTTTGGCAAATTTGGTCAAAAATCACACAAATAAAGGACCCTGTGATCATACAGTGTTTCTGTATCACAGTGAAAGCTGTATGAGAAGACATTTCATCACTGATTGGGTTAAATTGAGAGACAAATGCCGTCATTCAATGGCGGTTTCAAAATTTTCTAAACACACCTCGAATAATATTATATAACTTGTTAAAAAGATGAAAGAAAGATGTAAGAAATATGCTTGTGATTAAAACATAGATCCCGGCAAGATTATTTTGTAGTAGAATCAGTAGCTCAATTAATATTCCTCAAGATGAGACACCTCAGAAAATTTCAAATTTTTAAATGACGATTGCGGAGCCATTTCTGAAAAATGTGTGAAAAATCATACCTCATTCGAAGCGTCTTGTTATTCTTTAACTTTTTTTATCACCTATGACTGTTATTCGAGCAATACTGCGTTGATAAGAGGCCAAAACAGTTATATTTTATCGCCAGACTCTTGTCTGTCCAAATCTGAATGGTGCTCCCATGGTTCCAGAAATGTGACGTCATCAGTACAATGATATTTGGACACACAAGAGTCCGGATCTCGTGAAAAATATTCGCAGTATTAAAAGTCAATGAACTGCATCCATAGGTTATTTACTCGAACCAAACAAGTAGAAATAGAAAGATGAAGATCTCAGCTAGAAGTGCAAAATCTGTCACAGGGAAGCAGGTACCGTTTTGTATAAGGAACATTTTGAAAGGTGGTCAATTTTTTTTTGAAATTTTCCAATTTAGAGTGCTGGTATATATTAATTGATCAGTCATTTAATTGACATATTTTCTTGAATTTTAACATTTAATATCCCAAACTCACACAAACTGCAGAAAAGTATACACCATAAATCATATTTACCAAAATGAGTGCATCCAAGGCTTCACACCAGCGTATGCATAATGCATTTGTCACGAGTTTGAGCTGAAATTTCGCCAAAATGAAGTAAGCTAAGAGTAGTCTCTGCCTACCCCCATAGATGTGGGGTTATTTTGAGGTTTTTTGATATTTAGGACATTTGTTTCTCAAAATAACCCCACAAAGTTTAGGCTTTGATTCTTTGCGTTTTTTTTCACATGATTTGAAGATTCAAGTTCTGACAATATCGGCAGTTTCCTTACGTTTTTCTTCTCTTCTGTGAAGAGGATTCTTTTTCCAATGTAATGAGCGATCGATCAGTGGAAACAATACTTTATAACTGGAACAATTTGCTGTAATATTTGACTCTCGAAATCTATTCAAATTTTGGCCATTTTCGGGCGTTGCATTCTGGGAGGAATTATATGGTAGATGGAAACTTAACAGTGCCAAACGAAATCACCTGTCAAATTAATAACAAAATTATTGCTTATGCCTAAGTTCAGGACCGTAGACGATACAGCAGCCAGACTTGAGGTTGAAAATCCTTTTAATACACCCCGGAAGGTGAAAATCATTTTTCAAAATTTCCCTCCATTTTTACTTTTGAAATTTGTATTTACACGAAGTTTGTCATTTAGATAAAAAATATCGACTGCGCATGAAATTTGAAAAACTTTTTTAGAAATATCTGTTATCCGTATTAAATCTTCATTACAAGAATGAATACAACACTTAGAGGGCTATATTTGGAAGCATGTTGAAGATTAATGTCTTGTCGATACGAAAAACATAAAAAGGTGAGTAAATTCTAATAATATTAGTACAAATTCTATGTGTATGCTATTGTTTAGCAAATCCCCAAAGAATCAAAGTACTAATCGGTGTGGGGTTATTTTGAGAAACAAATGTCCTAAATATAAAAAAACTCAAAATAACCCCACATTTATGGGGGTATCTCTGCCAGGTTTGTTTGTTGTGGTAATATTGTAAGTACTCAGAAGCAAATAATTCATGTGCGCAAAATAATCAAATAATCTGATTGGTTTAAACTTTGCTGCACATGCGCGCAATGTGGGCCATATTTTTTCTAGTGATTTCGTTTCGTTTCATGGTGTTTGCGTTTCAGTGAAATTTCCACAAAAATGGCGGACCCTGGACAGAATTAACAGGTAAAATCACTTCGAAATTTCAAGAGAACTTTTTACCTATCATAGCAAAACTTTTGTTTTATTTGTGCATTCTATCTATCAGATAAGAGTCTCAGGGGTATGTAGGCAAATTCATTTTGGTAGGAGCACTCTGTTTAGTTTGAAAACGCACCCTTTATTATTATATATCAGCACTGTAGTGACGCATCTTCTGAATTATTCTTTGAGCCTAAGATCCTACTACGAAACAATCTGGCCAACATCTGTGGATTAAAACATCACAACGAAGTGAAGTATCCGTAAACTAGCCAGTGAATATTCTGACAAACGAAGGCTCTGGTGCTTTCCCTCCTCTTCTCTCAGTGACAAAATAATTGATCTCTAAAAATTATCTGAAAAATAAAGTTGTATTATTTCAGTAAATACTTGTGGTATCATACCTCTTATTTTGTGTTCCGACTGTTTGTGCCATTCTGAATCCAAATTCTGTCTCAGCCCATTCTATAGTAATGTATAAACACCTAAATATAATACAAATAAGAGAATAAAACTTTCACAAAACTTTTTCAGGAAGTCGAGTTTGATTGATCTCGTTTGAGTTACCAGAAAACGAGAGTTTGATAAATACATAAAGAAATGCTATTCACAGTTCTTAAATGGTATATAATTTAAAATAATAAAACTTAACCGCTATTTGAAGGCTAAAGAGTACATTTGATGTCCCTATGGTGTACTTTATTGAAAATATTTGTACGCCATGTCACGTGATTTTCCAAAGTTCAAAATGGCGGTTCCACTTTCAGTTTTACCAAAAATCGAGCAGCTTTCTTCTCGTGTTATACGACTTCTTGGATGCAATCCAGGAAGTTTTACACTGCAAGGGACAAACTCATATCTTATAGGATCTGGTGATAGGTATGTTAGTGGTGAACTATCGTCTTAAACTAGTAGTTTTTTCTTTTTCACAGCTGCATATATAATATCTGCTTTGGCTTCTTTTGCAGATTTTTGACATAGTCACGTCACATGCAGCTCACCTGTACTATAGTGCATAGATCTACTCAGTTTCTCATCCCAGGGCTCTCATCATCTTGACATTGACTTAAAGAAATGGTCTGAAATCTCTGATCGAGGCAAGGGTTTTTTAAATTTTATGTGGATATTTACACATTATTATCAGGGGCGTCGGACTCCCGGGGTCGGACTAGACTATATCCTATTTAGTCTGAATTATATTCAGACTATAAGGCACCTATGTTAAAGTATGGTAATCCTAAATATTTGTTTACATAGGAAGTGCTATTCAAAATGGCCGATTGGGTAAAATTAATTTGCACATTTGTTACTTTAACTAGCTTTATTTCCACTTGACAATATGCTGTGTTACTTTTTATTGTTGCATTAATTGTACCTTACTATTTAATTTAAATTTTGTAATGTTCATTTTATTGAACACATGGTTCCTCTAATTGATAATTTTGTGCAAAAAATTTCACTGCAATTTCCACAGGAAAGTAGTACATCATAACAGACTGACTTCTAGTCAGTCTGTTGGATACATACTAGGCGTCGGACTACATTTGAAAAGGGGCACAGGGAAAGTTGAGTTTTCTTTGCTTATTGAGTCGAGGCTTGCTCTATTGACTTCTTTGCTCTTCTAGACGAATTCCTGTGGAAAAGGGGCGTTCATTTTCCAGATAATATACTGTAGGTGGCGCATAGATAATATGTGTGGCCAAAGGCTGCAAAAATTGGGGGTTCGGGGCATGCTCCCCCGGGAAATTTTTTTCGGAGACGTTATTTGGTGTTATCTGAGTGTTTTCAAAGACTATTAGTTCTTTTCTGATAAAACTAAATCGGTGTTTAAATCTATACGATTTATCAGATTAATATTGATACTACCCAATGGTACCAGCCGCGGATCCAGGATTTTGCGTAAGGGGGGCGCTTGATAATGGCTGTGAGGGAAGCGAACCAAGGATCTGGAGGTTCTCCTAACAGAAAATTGCGAAAATTGAACATCATTTGTGCATTCTGAGCAATTTCAGATCACAATATCCTGCACATAAAAGGACTGAATCCGTGATTGGGTACGCATATAAATAAATAATTTCTTAATAACATGCTACATGCAAGATTTTTCTGTTCATACAATGGATTCATTTTTAAAATTTTGAGTCCGATAGATCTACCCCTACTATGTTCTTTTGCGAAAGTATATTACAATTTAAAAAGTAGACTTATATTTTGATTTCTTGGAACATATTTCTTTCAAATGATGGGAATATGATGAGCGCATTGCCAGGTAAGGAATTTAATTACGAAAAAAACTTCACAGACCACCAAATTAAATTACACCTCCCTATTTTCGTACGAAAAAACTACAGGTATAGTTAGAGCTGGCATCGAATTGGATTTTAATGTCGACAAAAAAGAAAATTTGAAAATGTAGGCGGTAAAACTTCACTAAAATACACCATACAGCAGGTAGTAACAAAGATTTTAATTCATAGGGAAATAGCTTATTATGTTGTGAGTTCCGACTGTCGATCAAGAGGCGTTGTGTCGACATGGGTGTCGCAGAGAGCATTTGACCGACAATCGACCATTCCGACATTCGATGCCAGCTCTAGGTATAGTGCTCGTTTAATACAAAATTACCAAAAAATGTTTACATGAATTATGAAGGATGTATATATAGAAAAAATAATCTTAATAGAGCTATCTAGTACAATTTATTTGAATATATCCACGCCCTGTGATCGGAAAAAATGAACGGATGGGGGAGAAGCTGTTTTCTGCTAGGAAATTAAAATAAACTGCAATATTAATTTTTTCACGAGAGAGTTTACAAATAAATCACTAAATGTATAGGTGCACGGACCGGTATGTCAAAATCTGTTTTGTGATGTTAAATAGCATATTTTTGGAAGTTTCACAGGAATCTTTTGAAATATTTTCGCACCGAATGCACCCTATCTGACACCCATGATTATATAATCATATAGTTTTTATCAAAATGAAAATGAAATTATTTTGAAATGATTACATGAGAAGTCTTGTAAGATTCAAAGTCTATGATTGCTCCAAACTAGGCGATTTCCCTGGAAAAAAGCTCATGTTCAAAAGTTGAAGAATGCCCTGTGAATGAAGAAGGTAGATCTTTGCGAAAAAGATCAGAAATAACCTCAATTATATTGTAAGGGCATGGGTAAGTTCTGGACCAATGTAATTATCACAAGTGTGATGTAGGAAAGTTCAACCATTGCCATACCTCAGAGCGATGCTCAAACCAGACCCTAAAATTTAGGTCCATTGCCATACCAAATGTTAAAAAAGATACCCCATAGGCACCGGGGATCCCTGTCAAAGTTTATGAACATCCCAAGTACAGAGGGTTTACTGGCTATTCAAAGGACACATGCCTCCCCTTTAAAAATCTAGATTTGACAGGCCAGTAGCCAGGATTTGCCAAGGGGGGTTCAGTTTTCAAAAATTTCCAGGGGGTTCACATTTGCCAATTTAAACCCAAATATATGGCTAAAATCACTTGAGAAGTGCTCAAAATGGTGAAAAACTGCATGATTTTGAAAGAATTTATGGCTGGGGGGGGGGGGGGTTGTTCGCCCGAACCCTGCGAACCCTCCTCCTGGCTACGGGCCTGTTTGATCTGCCTATGAATATATTTGGAATGTAATTTGCAGGAGAATCCTGATTGATACCACTAATCCTGATAAACCTGAGTATACCAGCAACCTAAAGCAGGTCCTGAAAGAGCACAAGACCAGCATACAAGAGATCATACTAACACATTGGCATATTGACCATGTAGGGGGCATACAGGATGTTTTTAAAGAAGTCCTCAAATGTGAGTTTGTATTTTGTAGTATCAGTATTCTATTCAAAACTTTAGGGCCATTTCCATTGTGATACTCATCATATCTTTCTATTTCACTAGAAACAATGGCTGATAAGTGTTTCAATATGTTACTGATACGAATGTCGATGGTAGATAACACTAGGTAGTTAAGTTCAATAAAGAGATAAGCTTTATTGTAGCATCTTGACTTGAGAAGGTACCCAATAGAAGTCTACATCCTAAAGTTTTCATTAGTTGACATATTGAAATAAGATGTCATAGTTTATCATGATGCTCAATTTCTGAAATGGCTTTTTCCTAATGAGTCCCAAAAAGCCTGTGTTTTAAACCCAAAACAAATGTAAATAAAACTGTTGGGCCCAAAACGATGTACACAGGGAGATATGCTGAGTACTAAAATAGTACTCATGGCATATTAGCGCTTATTGAGTACTCATTTCAGCAAATATTAGTACTAAATGAGCACTTGTGACATGAGTACTGATTTATTGCATGTTCTAGTACTAAATGAGTAGTCATATGATGAGTGATAAAATAGCGCTAATTTTATTGGTTTTTCATTACTCAATTAGCACTCATACTATGAGCACTAATTAATTGCATGTTTACAGTGGTTTCAGTAACTTTGTGTACAAGGGGCAGATGAAAAATACAAGAGGCGGCATTCAAAATAACCAATTTTACGCTCCCGACAATGCAAATTTTTGTTATTTTAGAGTCCATGGACTGAAAGAAAGATGTCCAAGGTTTGTCAAAGTCATTTCCACGTGTGATGTGGCAAGACATGGGCTCCACAAAATAACACCTGGAACTGTGGAATGACTAGGGCAACTTATATAGAATGTCATTTACCTTTTATAAGAAAACTTACCCTTACACAGGTTGCATTTCACAAATCCAAATGCACCTGTTGAATTGAACACTTTTAATATAAATCAAAATCTAGAATTGTCATTATTAAAATGAGAGTGATGTATTAATAGATGATTCACTTATGATTATGTGTATATCAGATTCATTTTATTTTTTTACCGCCTCCAGACATTGCCAGAAATGGTGACATACAGGGTGTTCCAAAAGTAACAGGACTGGTGCTGGTATTTTGTTAAATATGCACCAATTGTCTTCAAAATTTTACATAATGTGCCTTCATGTTTTGTTACTAAAATTGCCGAATTACATAATTTTTGTCGAAACTGATTTAGGAATCGGCCGATGACTACTCATCGGCCGGCGCCCGGCGCATATGTGGCCAAGGCATTAGAGAGAGACCGAGGTGGGAGATATCCCCCTCCCCTCTACACCAAACTTGTTCTCACTACGTTTTCGAAAATTGCCTGAAAGGCCTCCTCACACATTATTAAGGAAAACATATCTACACATTTTGCGCATTTAACCACTTGATAACATATTGTGGATCTTATGTGAATTCGCACCTTCATTTGCATGGAAGACTTTGATAAAATCCTTTTTTGATGATTTTTGTTAGAAAGCTGATGTTTGGCTAAGGTTCGAAATTCCAAATTGAACAGTCTACTAAGAATACTATGTTGTAAATATTGTTTTCTTTATAATATGTCGAGCTAGGACTGCTCAAACAAATTCGCTTTTTGTAGCTACATGTATTTAATTTCAATAGATGATAAACTTCTCAATATAAGAAATTACCCTCATAAGACATTGTTGCAAGGTGTGTTGCAATGAATGTGGCACCCCGCATTCCCAGGCCCGCATTATGTATTCTCGAAGAAAGCCATCATGATAAGCCATGACATCTCATTTCTTCTCAGCCCTGTGTTTTAGTACCCTTTGCATTCGTTTGACTTCACTTCTTAAAAGAGAGCTTCGTCTTTGTGTAGTTTAACTAGACTGCACGCAGGGTAGTGTTTCAGGTGAAACAGAAAGATGCCATGAGTATCAGAATGGAAGAACGCATATATTTGCACTGATGGTGTATAGATAGTTATTTTATATAGTGTTTCTAGTTGTACGTGGAAACCTATTCTAACCAGGAAGGATATTGCAACTTTTTTCAAGATCCTAAAGTTGCAATTCTCGTTATTGTGTTTCATTGTAAAGACGCATCTGTGAAAGTGCGTCGCTGGTACAAAGGCGTAGTTCTACATAAAAAGATACACTTTTTTAAACTTGAACGTGTAGAATTATGGACCTGGTGGATTTTTTCTCCCTTTTGTAATGTTAATACTTGGCCGGTTGAGTATATAAAGGAATACATGTCCCAACTTTTGGTAAGTGGGGGGTCAAAAGTGGGCCATCCACACATACACTTTTTATCATGCATTGTAATTACAAGGGTGTTATAAACGAGACACCAGGATGATATAATGTAGGGGTACAATATATTTTTAGAAAATTAGGGCCCAAATCTTGAGAAAGAGTCGGAGGCATGCGAGGCGAATCCTGGAAACTCGGGTTCGGGAAAGCGGGGTTAACTGTTTGGTTCCGTTGATACCTGTGCGAAACTACATTCATAATTTACCCGACAGTCGCTTTGATAATGTTTCTTTATTAAATCTCATCAAGAATGGACGATCTTGCACAGGTACTCATATAAGAACCTCTATATCTTTTTAACACCAATATATAACGGACACACTATGTTAAAAATAAAATGTTATATCTAATGTGCCAATTTAATGATTTAGCATATCGAAAATATTTTCAACCTAAGTGACCACATCGTGACATCACTTAGGTGGCAACATTTTTCAATGTCAATCTTTTCTAAATATGCTAAACTTAAAAAATAAACCAATTTTGACTGTCTAACCAAGTTAAAAGGATGAATATGTTTTTAATATTAGTTTACCATTGGTTTCTATGAGAATTAAAATTTTGAAATGCATCTTTCCCTTAACCACTGTTCATTGCTCGCTCATCCTTCAACCAATTTTCTTGATTTTGTCGGCAAAAAACAAGTGAGGATGATTGCTATGCATCGGTGTGAATTATCGCTTTAAAGGATAAGTGTGACCTCTTAAAGTTAGTTTTGAATAAATTCACGATATTTTAAACAAAAAGTCCTTCAAAAATAATTTTGAAATTAATAAAAAGTTTCACATTTCACGCTTTGATAACATTGGATAAGACAAAAATATAAGCCAAAGTGGTTTAAACTTTATATGGGGCCTTTAACTGATTAATACAATTTTACACCCATTGGAAGGACTGTACTTACCCTTTGCATTCGTTTGACTTCACTTCTTAAAAGAGAGCTTCTTCGTCTTCAGTAGTTTAACTAGACTCTGCACGCAGGGTAGACTGTACTGTGACAAGTTGGACAGAGTTGTATCAATCATACATGTAACTGCATGTCCAGTGGAAAATAACCAACTCTGATCATACAAAAGGTTCGAATTTGAATTGTCATGCACATGATAGTGGTCAGATAGTGATCTAAAATCCATAGCCCAAACGGGTACAAAATTGGACGGTGTTTACTACTATAATGAGATCAAGTGATCCTTACGATTATAGTGAGTTCCATTGCAGTTCGAAACTGAGGTACAAATCATAGACAAGGATAGCAAAACAAGATCGCTGAATAAAATAAATGATAGTCTATAGAAGGCTTTTATTTTCCCCCAAAACTTAGACAATATTTGACTTCTAACAAACGGCGAATTATCGAAAACAAACGGCGATTTCGGACACTCGCCCCCTGCTATTGAAAGCCCAGGTTTAGTACTAAATGAGTACTCGTATGATGAGTGATAAAATAGCGCTAATTTCATTGATTTTTCATCGCTCAATGAGCGCTCATATTATGAGTACTAATTTATTGCACATGTTTCACGAGTGATAGATTAGTACTCACAAATTAAAATGTTGATAACTTTTTTTTAATTGATGAAGTAAAATATACAATACGTAATAAATTACATATTAATTATACGAAAACATGGATAAATATATCATTAAACTTTTCCAAAAATTCCCATTCCTGTAGCTATTTCATGTAACAGGTTGAAGCTAGGAAACAAAATGACAGACACCATATTGTTCTATTCTTGAGAAAAGTGCATATATATATACACTGCTTTGTTACCTGGTATAAGTGAAAGATGAGGTAAGAGTATTAAATGGGAAATTACTAAAATTACATGGTAAGTGTGTTCTATGTGTTACAATTCTCCTTTTCGCGGTTCGTTCTTTGAATCAGAACGTTCGCAAATATGCACTGAAAAAGCACTCAAAAAGGACAAAATTTGATTGGTCAATATTTTCCCACTATGCATTTCGCGTAGCTATTTGCGTGACACGAAAGTTCTAAATCAAACTAATTACTCAATTTTGTTTTTACACCCGCACGCTAAATAAAACAATGACACCATCGTAAGTATTCTTCTTTGTCATTGCTTTGATAGTCAGTATACCAAGTTTAATCAATAAAAGATTGTACAATGGACAACAAAATTCGGAAACGAGTACTATAGATTTGCTTTCGGACCACTGAACAGATTGACCTAGATAATAGCGACGCCTCTTCTTTGGTCTACTGCTCAGTTGTTTGTGGGTTTCCAACGTAACTCTATAATGTAATTTGAAGATGAATACTTTTATTCAGTTGTTGCATCGATGTCACAGTTTGTAGTGCGGTAAGATTGGCATGAAAGTATTGAAAGTCGAATGGAATTGTTTTTTCCAATATGGCGACTAGTCTACTGATCACGTGACCTTCTCTTCCGGAATATTTTCTCACTTTTCAATCATCGTTTTCACCACGCTATGAATTAATACTATGAAAAAAATAGCTGTTATATTAAGATTAATGAGAGATCAATTGTTTCTAATAATTTTTTCCGAACTCTAGTACGGGAATATGAACGAATATATCGTTTGAAAAATAGGTGTGAAAATCCCCATGTTAAACCTATGAAGGAAAATAAGGAAGTATAAATTTGTTCCTCCGCGAACTGTATCATGGGAAATATTTTGCCCTTATAAGGAAAGATTTTCGTGTCTTCTCTTTTGAAGAGGGAACAACGATTTCAAGAATTATAAGCTGATATATAATAAAATTGAAGGTAGCATGTGAATTGTATCCCAGCTAGAATGATACCTACCGAGTGCTTATTATTTAGATAATGAACAATATTTTAGTGCTAAATGAGCAATTTTTTAGTACTAAAAGAGCGCTCAAGTAGCACTAGATCATCACTTAGAATATTGTTACTAAAATGGTACTAAAATGAACACTTATTTTTCACAAAATTAGTGCTAAAATAGCACTCAAGTAGTAATAATTTAGCACTCTGGCAAAAGTGCACTCATGAGTACTCATGCCACGAGTGCTAATTTAGTACTAATTTTGTACTAATTTAGCACTCAGCATATCTCCCTGTGTAAGGCCCCATGTCTGCTAGTTAATCCAGTGTGTACATTACATATACATAATAATGTATTTTGTTTATCACCAATGTAGTTGAGCAATACCTCTTGGGTATGTCCCATATATATATATGGTTGTAATTAATGCATATCATTATGAAAGGCAGACCCAGGAACCCCTCCTTGAATGAGCCTTGTGTTACTTTATGTGCACTTATACATAGACATACAACAGGCCTGTCAACTTGGGGACACCTAACATGAGTGACTTGCAAATGTTGAACACCTTTGGGCAAATTTTGGACACCTTGGTCCAAATCTGGTAGGTACGAAAATTTTCAATTAACATGCGTGACACATACGGGATTCGCGTGACAAATCCGAACAAATTGCGTTCGGTTTTTTCCGACGTTCGTATTTTTACCGTATCGTCAACATATTTTGAAAAATTTTCTACAGCAATATTTTTGCGTGACAATTACCAGGTAAAATGCGTATTTGCGTGACATTTTCTGTCACGCAAAAAAAACTGGCGTGACTTCAAATTCTTCAGCAAATGCGTGACAAATACGCAAATTGCGGGACAGTTGACAGGCCTGATACAAGTACGCACCACAGCCTTCTATACAAGTTGTGGACCACTCAGTAAAACACCCTGAAGTACTTAACGCAAACAAGCAAATTAAGTCTTGCCTGAAACGGGAATCAAATCTGGTACTTGCGCTACTGCTGAGCTATTTAGGTGGACTTTAATATGATTTGAATTTTAGCAAATATGTATATATACAGTATATGTAAATGGATATTCCTTGTAAGTCCATTTTTCTCTTGAAATGTTAACTGTTGCCATTTCTACACTATCCATATTTAGAAAAACATGGGAAAATGTTAAGAAATTGTTCTTTACAGATTTCACACAGAAAGTGATGTCATTGTGATACGTCAGTGTACTTACTGCCCATCTGCACATTAGGCAAGATTTTCAATATTTATTTCACACTTGTTTCAGCATCCAAGGACATCAAAATATCAAAGTTTTCTCGAGATCCACCTAAAGATGAAAGTTTCGGGGATGATTTAAAGCTTACATACATCAAAGATGGATCTGTTTTCACGACTGAAGGGGCTACCCTCAAGTAGGTATAATAAGTGCTATGTTACGTGTTTTTGAAATGTTAGAATCACACTTTTTGGTGAATCGTACCTTCAGATTGATCAATGAATGGTTTCATAATGAGGTACATTAAGCACATATGATATTAGACAATGAGTCTCCATCTTTAAGTCACATATTACACATATCTTATTACACAATGAGCCTCCATCTTTAAGTCACATACTTGATAGAGTATTACGCAATGAGTCTCCATCTTTAAGTCACATATTACAAATATCTTATTACACAATGAGTCTCCATCTTTAAGTCACATACTTGATAGAGTATTACGCAATGAGTCTCCATCTTTAAGTCACATATTACAAATATCTTATTATCCCATCGAACGAAGTTCGGAGGGATATAGGGAACGCCTCCGTCCGTACGTCCGTCCGTCCGTCCGTCCGTCCGTCCGTACGTACGTACGTCCGTCCGTCCGTCCGTACGTACGTCTGTCCATCCGTCCGTCCGTCCGGGCAATAACTCAAATACCGTTGGCCCGATTTTGTTCATATTTTGTACACATATACCCTATGGAGGTAGAAGTTCTGCTTGAAAGCCGATTTTCAAAATGGCCGCTCATTTCAAAATGGCGGCCATTTTAGTGCCGATTTTACAGTAATTTAGGTGCAATATGTAAAACTGTAATAGCAATATGTTTTAAATGTAAAAAAATTATAAAGGACATTAATAATGCTACAAATGTAGATATTAAAGAAGCACATGGCAGCCATCTTGAAAAATGGCGGCCTTTTCTCGTCATTTTACGATTTTTGCTGTAACTCAAAAAATAGTGGAGCGATTTTGTTCATATTTGGTATGTGAATACTATAAGCATTGCACACTGTCTAAAGACACCTTTGGTAGAAGGCGGCCATTTTGAAAAATGGCCGCCATTTTAACGTATTTTACTATAACTCAAAAAGTAGTGGAGCGATTTTGTTCATATTTGGTATGTGAATACTATAAGCATGGCACACTGTCCTATGACACTTTTGGTAGAAGGCGGCCATTTTGAAAAATGGCCGCCATTTTAACATATTTTACTATAATTTGAAAAGTAGTAGAGCGATTTTGTTCATATTTGGTATGTGAATACTATAAGCTTGGCACACTGTCCTATGACACTTTTGGTAGGAGGCGGCCATTTTGAAAACAATTTTTGAAAAATGGCCGCCATTTTAACGTATTTCACTATAACTCGAAAAGTAGTGTAGCTATTTTGTTCATATTTGGTATGTGAATACTATAAGCGTGGCACATGCCAGCCATTTCTGTTCGATGGGATTCGCTACGCTTTGGCGTTGCCGTTGTTCTGGTTACACAATGAGTCTCCATCTTTAAGTCACATATTACAAATATCTTATTACACAATGAGCCTCCATCTTTAAGTCACATACTTGATAGAGTATTACGCAATGAGTCTCCATCTTTAAGTCACATATTACAAATATCTTATTACACAATGAGTCTCCATCTTTAAGTCACATATTACAAATATCTTATTACACAATGAGCCTCCATCTTTAAGTCACATACTTGATAGAGTATTACGCAATGAGTCTCCATCTTTAAGTCACATATTACAAATATCTTATTACACAATGAGCCTCCATCTTTAAGTCACATACTAGATATGGTATTACACAATGAGTCTCCATCTTTAAGCTCATTTACAATACATGTTATATTTCAGGGCAGTGTATACCCCAGGCCATACTGACGATCATATGTCATTGTACTTAGAGGAGGAAAACGCAGTCTTCAGTGGAGACACAGTCCTTGGGGAAGGAACAGCAGTAAAATTTTTTTATTATTTTTATGAATTTTGTAAGAGCTCTGATCATTTGTCGGAATCGTCGATTGGCGATCCAAATGTCACTTCGACATCGACATCGACATAAGCGTCCAAGGTCGACATAGAACGACATAGAAATAATACGATGATAAACAAAGAACATACCTTAATTTCCCAACATACTTTTATCACTCTTGTTGAGATAATGGTTGCATTATCTAACAGAATTTACAGCGAATTTAAATATTGTTTTTTCCCCCATTTTTATATTCTCGTTTCACATCTCGTCTCGTTTTCGATCTCGAGAAGTCGTCTGTAGGTCGATGTCATTCTGATCGTCACGATAAGTCATTTTATTCAATTTCGTTGATATTCTTACAAAGTTTTAACTAGAATTGCAATCCGTGTTAAAGATTACTCCCCAGAGATATTTTATTTCGAAACTTCAAACACAACTAAGGCCTTGCATGGCTACTGGGCTATTCGAAGTGCTGCAACGGGACAAGCCGGATCCACCGGAAGTGTAAGTAGCAGAACAATAACAATGGAGGTTCGTTTGTTTATTTACTTCTCGATCTCTAACATACATACGTATATGCTAGGGCTGTGCCGGAACCGGTTCGGACGGTTCGGAATCGGAACCGGAACTTGGTCTCACGGAATCGGAACTTTCGGAACCCCTTTTGGTTCACAAATGAAAATAATTATGTATGAGTGAGTTCGACGGCGATCATGACGATATCGTCGTCCAAGTTTGTCAGGTTAACACTTACCTTTCCTGTCAAGCAAGTTTGAATGTTTTTACGAAAGAAATAGACTCTAAAATCTGTAAAAAGAGAGAAAATTCGATCTTTTTTCTACTTGTTTTCACTTCCGGCTGCTCTGACCATAATGCGCATGCGTAATTGAAAAAGTTTATTTTCATTTATCTATGAGTATTTTCGCCCCGTCGATTCCTACTTCCAATGAAATCCGAAGGTCAAAGTTCGTAAAACAAAACTTGATTTCTGTTGATTTCTCCGCTATTTATTTTGTTTATGCGAGTAATACACATGCAAATTGGATGTAGTTTGAAGGAAAACATCACTGGAGGAACAATGGTCACGGATATTAACGATTCAAAGCAAGTACTAAGGTAAGGGTCCGATATTGTTCCGAAACCCTTCGGAACATGATATTAAAATTCCGAATTCCGGTATTTTAACAAAAGTCCGCGGTTCGGACCGATTCCGGTCGAATGGCACGGCCCTAGTATATGCATATTAATCTATAATTTTTTTATATTTTATATTTTCTATATTTTTGTCAGAGGGATTAGCCAAAAAAACAAAAGAAGCTGAAATTATTCCATGCAGTTGTTCAGATCACTGTGCTGTAATGGTTGAATGGAATGATACTGAGATAAAACGTGGTAAAGGTCATTGGAAATTCAACAATAGTCATTTAAAAGATATTAATTTTGTAAATAAGATAAACAGTGTAATTCAAGAAACTATAGCAGAATATGTTAATATTGTCAACCCACAGGTATTATGGGATACATGCAAATGCATTATAAAACAGACATGTATTGAATTTGGAAAAAAAGAAGCACATGAAAAACAAAAATCTTTAAAAGCATTAGAAGATAGTCTTAAAGAAGCTCAAGAGATTTTATTTGAAAATGTAAATGAAGAAAATCAAAAGAATGTATTGAATTTGAAATTAAAACATGAAATCTTAACACAAAATAGAACCAAAGGTGCACAAATTAGGTCGAGAGAAAAGTGGATAGAAGAGGGGGAGAGAAATACAAAATATTTTTTAGGATTAGAAAAACACAGGGCAAAAATGAAATCTATTGAAATTTTACAAGATGATAATGGGGTTAATACAAACAATATGGATGAGGTAATGAACACGCTATATGTATATTATCAAAATCTATACAAAGAAAACCATGACATCAAATATACTTTAGAAAACTTCCTAGATGATGTTCAAACACCCAAATTATCAGAGAATGAAAATAGACACATAGAAGGATTAATAACTGAGTCAGAATGTTATATAGCAATTAAAAAAATGAAGTGTAATACGAGTCCTGGAATAGATGGGTTAACACCTGAGTTTTATAAGGTATTTTGGTCTAAAGTGAAAGTATTAATGGTTAATTCATTCAACTATGCATTTCAGTCAGGTAGATTATCTAATAGTCAGAGGAAAGGAATAATATCATTATTACTAAAGGGTAAAGAACTCCCTAGATATAAACTTAAGACTTATAGGCCTTTATCATTAACATGTGTTGATTATAGGATAGGAGCAGCTGTCCTAGCAGCAAGAATCCAAAAAGTTATTAAAAATTTGGTTAATTCTGATCGAAACTCATATATGAAAGAAAGAGGAATACACTTAAATCTTAGAGTAATTGATGATATTTTGAATTTTGTGAATGATAATAACAGTCAAGGGATTATGATAACATTAGATTATTCCCGTGCGTTTGATTCAATTTCTAAAAAATTTGTGTTTGACATGATGAAACATTTTAATTTTGGAGAAGATATGATAACTTGGATCAAAGTATTCAATGCTGATAATTTATCTTGTGTCACAAACAATGGGTTGTACACAAAATGGTTCCCTTTAAATCAAGGATTACGGCAGGGTTGCCCCCTCAGTAGTTTGTGCTTCATTCTAGCTACTGAAATATTTGCGTGTAAAGTTAGGCAAAATAAAGATATAAAAGGTATAAAAATATCAAATGAATGTGAAGTGAAATTATCAAGTTATGCTGATGATGTATCATGTTTTGTTAGAGATATAAATTCAGCTCAACTATTATTTCGAGAATCAGACCACTTTTATCTTACAACAGGTTTAAAATTAAATAAAGAAAAAACAAATGCAATGTGGATTGGCTCAAATAAAAACAACATTGAAATGCCATTAAACATAACATGGCAAATAGGGGAAAATGCAAAAGTGAAAATTCTAGGAGTTTGGTTTTCAAATCAATGTTCAGCTGCACAGATTGAGGAGAACTGGTTACCAAAAATAATTAAAATGGAAACGTTGATAAAAAATTGGAGTAAACGTAATCTCACATTGAAGGGTAAAATTACTCTTGCAAAAAGTTTAATAGCCTCACAAGTGACATCACTTTTAATGTCATTCAAAGCTCCAGATAAATATTTGGAAAGAATAAATAGTATCTTACATAAATTTATTTGGGGGAGTGAAAAAGGAAAAAATGACATGGGTTAAGAGAATTGTTGCAATTGAAAATTCAAATTCAAAATGGAAAGAAATAGCGCTACATTACTTAAACAAATTGGGGCATGGCGAAGATATTTTTAAATATAATACAAATGAGCGAAACCTTAAATCAAAAATAAAGTTAAAAGAAATTCCAGTTTTCTATGAATATTTAGTTAGTATTTGGCTTAAATATCAACATGTTAACAAGGAGAGACCTGTTAAAAATTCTGAAATTCTATGGAATAATGAGAAAATACAATACAGGAAAAATAACATATATTTTTGTGAATGGAAAAGAAAAGGAATTAAAATGGTAAAAGATGTATTAAATGAAAATAACACAATAAAAAATTATGAAGAAATTGTAGCGATAACTGGTGCAAGTCCAAGTAGACTTTTAGAATACAACATTGTAAGAACAGCTTTATCTAATATTATCATCATAAATGGATGTGATAATGACTCTAAATTTTTATACAAAAACATAAATGTTCAAAATTCAAAATCAAAAGATTTTTATCAATATATATTAAGTCTTAATCAATCAATTCCAAATTGTGAAGAAAAATGGAAAGGTTATTATCCAACAATAAATTGGAAAGAGATTTGGAGTCGAATAAAAGCCTTAAAAGAACCAAGATTAAAAACGCTACAATATAAACTTCTACATAGAATTTATCCTACGAATATACTTTTAGAAAAAATAAAAATATCAAATTCACCAAACTGTAAATATTGTAATCACATGCTAGACACATATGAACATTTCTTTATACAATGTCCAAAGATTAGAGAAATATGGAATGAAGTAGAGAATCTAGTTTTGAAGAAATATTTTTATTACCCTAGATTGAATGTGACTGATAAGTTATTTGGAATCAAATTAAAATCCAGATCGGAGGAAGTATATATAAATAGCCTAATTGTCATAGCTAAGGTTTGTGTGAGTAAATATAAATATGGAAATTATCCAAATATTTTATGTTTGTTCAGAAGTGAAATAGCAATTAGGAAATTGTAAAGAAAATATTACTATATATTGTTGTTGTAGTAAAATATAATGTACTGTACTGTAATCTGTAATATGTTTATGTAGAAGCAATAAAAAAAAAAAAAAAAAAAAAAAAAATCTATAATATCAATATACAGTACATGCGAGGGGTCGGGATAGACAGTGTATGCTCATTTTTTACCGGAAGTAAAATCTAAGTTAACTATTTTTGATTTTTTCTTTCAGTCGATACTGTCGTCGACCTTGGGCTTCGACATGTCAACATCAGATTCCATTTCGACCAGAGCTCTAAATTTTGTTTACCCCATAGATAATTAACCTCTTGGCATCAAATGGCAAGCTTTAAAAAGAGTATAAGTAAACTTGTTGAAACATGAGTGTTGAATCTCATTGGAACAAATTCAGAAAGAAAAGTTCAGATTCATTTTTATTATATTCTCTTTCTATTTTTAAACTAGACAAACATGTATGCTTATAGGAAGAATTGATTGAAGGCTGTGATCTCCCATGATGCCCCAAATTTAATTATATCTTTTGTATGTATTTTGTCTCATAACTGTGAAAACCAGATTAACTCGACAACATGAAGGCTCTAAATGTCAAAGGTATTATTAATCTTACATTTTAAGATTCAGTCAGTCCCTTAATATTACAGGTGTTTGAAGATCTATTTGACTACATGAAGTCCCTTGATAAGATTCTCCAGCTGAAGCCAAGTGTGATATACCCTTCACATGGGCGTGTGGTGGACAACCCAATAGAACACGTGCAAGCGTATATAGATCATAGGAACATGAGAGAGAGACAGATTCTGGAGACACTTTCTGCGCACAGTGGCAAGGCAATGTCAGCAATGGACCTGGTGAAGATCATTTATAAGGTTTGTATGGTGGAGACATCTTTTAAATATCAGCTCCTTTGATAACTGCAATATTATTTTGCATGGATGTCCCATGCATAAAAATGGGTGATGATAGCTTATCAGTTTCTATCAGACTTTTTCAAAGTGCTTTATTGCTGTCGTTTTATGCTGATTGGTGTTCTTGTGTTGGTGTTTTTCATTTAAAAATTGGTTTTTGAAGGAAAATTTGTGATTATGTTTAAAATGAGGTGCCAAAAGCATCCATTTATATTGTATTCAGTGCATGTATTTTCAGGATGTTCCTCCACACTTACACATTGCTGCAGCAGGGAATGTCACGCATCACTTAACCAAACTCTTGAAGGAGGGAACAATAGGTAAAAATACTTCCATCCTAGTTCAATTGGCAGTTTGTCTGAGAGAATAATGCATTGAAATGCTCTTGTAAAGTTCAGTTATTTGTTACAAATAGGTCAACTTGACCTGTTTATTTGTCACATGTATACTTTTGTATTAATTTAATCAAAACAAATTGAAATTTTGAACTTTTTTCTTCTCAAACTTCTATTCTGAATTCAAGCCATTCAAGATTAGGTCATCAAGCTAGATTTAACTTTCTCTCTGATACAGCTCCAGATTTGATTGACAGGTCTATTTTTGCACCTTCCATATTTGGGTGTAATGTATGTGCTGTATTATAACTTCAAGGTCAGACTGATCTGGTCACCCTCTAATGCAATTTTAAAACAGAATTTGGACTGAATTTGATCGATTGTCCATCTATTTTTCTCAGTTGTCACTTATTTATAGAAAAATTGTTCTTTCAAAACATTTTTGGATTTCTATTTTTAACTTAATTGAGAAGTTTAAAGATGTTAATTTAAGAGCAAAAAAGGCTCCAAAACTTAATGAAATATGTAGTTTGGATGTTCATTTGTGTCTGTGGATTATATTTTATACCACACACACTTTATAAATACCTGAAATTTGCAATAAAAGTGCCCAAAAATTGTTGTTTCGAAATTCCCCATTTTTCCTGTATCGCGCTAGTCACGTGACCATTACGCGTAGCAGGCAATGTACAGATATTACAGTACATATAATATGTTCAATATGTCAAACATCAGCGATTCTGATTCCCGGGTTCTGGGAAATGGCTATATAAATCGGCGAGAGGGTGTAATTTGAATGAAGACAATTTAAGGAGGGGAAATGTGTGCAAGTATGGCAGTAAGAGAGCAGATATGGGGACTTTAGACAAGAACTATGACGGAGAATCAACTAAAAATGTGAGTTCTGGAATGAAGACCTGTTGCCATTGACTGAAGATTCCAGCGATCCTATTATCATACTCAGTTTGAATCTAGACGCGGAAAACAGATTATGAAAACAGGTTTTCTGCCAAGTTATCAAATTTAGAAAATATGGATCTTGTTTTTGAGTGGCTTAACAAGCATTTAGATACAAGACTTGGCACTATCTCTTGTCAAATACATGCACTGGACTTGCAGTAAATTGGCCATTGCAAATTGCAAAATCAGATCGTCAAATTAATCGCTTCGTTTTTAAACCTACGCTTCATATCTTCTTCCAAAACTTTAGGATTCGATAGAGATAAGTTATAACTTGTACAGGAAAAAATGGCAGATCCTACCTTAATTTAGAATCGCTGATTTCTCTGGACAAATTCCGAGAAGAAATTGTTCAACATCGCGATCACCTCAGACAACATGTCGCGTGCGTGTCACTCTGAACTCACGTGAGAAAATACGGCATCTTGATTGGTTACTACTCCTGTTGTCATGACGCAAAAAGCAGTAGTAAACACTGAATATGTTAATGAACTGCCATATATGGAACAATTGTCTTTCTGATTGGTTAACTTTACACGCGTCCTAAATGAATATAGTAGTCGTAGTAAATGATTCATTGATAACTCTGAAAGTGGGCGTGACCAGCTTTATTTTGACACCAAATTCAAGATGTTTCAAATCAAAATGGCCTTGCAAGACGAAGTTGAAATATCAGCAATTTGATACTGATATGGTCTACGATGGATCAAAATTGCCTGCCCCGCGTCACATGTCACGTGAGCCTATATTTGTTGAAAAGAGATAGTGACACTTTTTAATCTTAAGTTTATACCAATATTAACACATATCTATTTTTTTCATTATATATTTATTTCTTCATTACATATACATTTGTTTTATACTACATTGATTTATTTTTGCAAAACCTTTGCTATTAGATCTTTAAGTAATCATCATTTTCATTTGAAATGAGGTTTATGCAGTCTTTTATTGGACAGTTTTGTTAAATAATTTCAAGGGAAACGACAAAAAAATCTTCACTCATGGTGCGTCAAGGTTTTATTTGGTTTAATTGAAATATTGTTGGTATTTTTCTAGATATTGTATATTAGTTTTCTTAGCATCTAGAAGGTAAAAATCCATCAAATCATAGATATTATAAACTCAAGCTCTGCATCCACCCCCTGTGCTCTATTTGATACTAATTATCTCTGTCATTTTTGCTTTGAATCAGTGTCTAAAGATTGACCATTGGTTATTTTTCCAGAGCATTCAACACAAGACAATGATGATAAATGGACTATCAAATCTAATCTTTGATAGGGTAGGCGAACTCCATGACAACACTACAGTACAGTATTTAGATATTGAAATGATGAATACAGGCCCATAGCCAGGGTGTTCAAGGGCTCATGCCCCCCCCCTCCCTTCAAATCCAAAAAAACTCTAAGGGCAAAGGTGCCTTGGCCCAGTTTTTTCATTTAAGATCTAAATTGCCATGTGTGGGCCATACTTTCATACTTGGAAAATTGTGCCTAAAATTTCAAAAATGGCCCTATTTTTGTACTTAATCCCTCTGGACAATTCTTGTTATGGGCCTGTAACACATGTATGATTCAAAGTGATTAGACAGAGACAGAAAAACTATCAGAAAGTTAGTTCCACAAATACATGTGCCAGATGGAAATGAATGATTGTTCTGACATCTATATTTAGTTTTAGTTTATGATAAACTAAAAGCTAATTTCACCAAAGTGGCAAAACTTGAAGAATAATTTGACTACAATATGATTATAATAATGATGATCGCCAGCATTTATCTAAATAAATGAAGGATACATTTTTATTAGATCAATATGAGTTGATCAAAGACTTCTCTTAGTTGTCTGCAGGTTGAAATGATGAAATGAAAAGTGTCAATTTCTCTTCAGTTTAAAACAATGTTGTCACAAATATGACAAAAATACTGTGAATTCTGTCTTAGAAGAGCATTGCACTGTCGTCATCTAGCAAATCACAACAGAAAAGTAAATTGATTTTTGGAAGGTTTTGTGATTTCTATCTGATCAAAGTTCAAGATCCTACAATCTGTTGATCATTGCAAATTCTATTTTTTCTTTGAGGAAATGGAAAAATTGGGATATAGAATTTTTGTCAAACCTTTTAGTCATTGTTAAATGATGCAGATAATTGGAGTCAATTAGGAGATTATTGTAAGATTCTTTTATAGGATCAGATTACTCATAAATCCCGGTTGTGTAAATAAATCTATTCTTTCTCATTATTTTGGGCCTTTGAAAGTACTTTCTGGGCATCTATTTGGAAATAGACCTGGATGTTCTTGATTGCAGTTACAATAAAGCAAAATAGGTCCTGCTGTTTTTTTATTTTAATAAGTTGTCTCGCTTTACACACTTGTTAATATCACCATGCTTCAAAAGCACATGGGTGCTTATTACATGTATAAGAAAATGTGGTGCTAATCTTTTTATGGAAGGCTAAACCCAAATATAAGCTACAAACACACTACTTACTAAGGTTTGGACCCATTATAATGCAATATTTGAATTTCTGAGAGTTAAAATTATTAAATAAAAATTGGCATATTGATCTGCTTCCATTGAGAAAAGCTTTCCAAACAGCATTTTGGGTGTAGGAGAAAATGCAACATATGCCATCTGTATATATGAAAGTTCATGCGGTGTAATGGTTTTTCAATACTAAACATTGAAGCCTTTAAACATGACTTATGGTAGATTTATGTATTTTCCCCATGTCACCTTGTTAACATATACTATCCAAAAACAGGGGACAATAAGCTGTTTATATGCCTTACCAAAAAGCAAATATTTGGGTTTACTGTTCTTTATATGAAGTTTTGCTATCATTGTAAATTCACACAAAATTAGACAAAACTTGTGATTAATATTATATTTAACAAACTTTATTATGCAATATTAGAAATATATTTTAATATAAATTTTAATTGTTAAGCAGCAGTAATGAAATAAAAAATTGTCAAAATGTTACAAAACTGAGCATTATGTTGCCTTCAATTATATACAAAATAAATGATGGAATGTGTGATATAACCACATTTCTACAATATGGTGACTAACAAATAAAAGCACCTTGTATACTCTAGATTGAAAAGATATTAATGGAACTCTTCATTTTGTTATAGTATAACTTTCCTTCATTGTGAGGGGCATGTCCATTGGAAACACCCTGGATGAGACTGCCAACAATCCAAAGCCTAATCTACCAATGCATTTCAATTTAGAAGCTTTGTAATAATTAACCAAATCAAGAAAATGTTTAAGTACACATACAATAAAACCTGTAAAAAGGAATACCTCTTAATAAAAAAAATGAAGCTCTGAAACACCTGCCAAGAAAAACACTAATTTCAGGTACCAAAGGTATTCTACTTTCACAGGTTTTACCGCATGGGATGGCATATGATTTTGAGAGATTTTTTATTGATGAGCTGATATTAAATACCAGCATGAGTTGGCGAAGTGAACAAGTATGTATTGATATTATTACAGAGTTGATAAAATAATGCCAAGAAAAGTCATATAATATTAAGTAAATCTTATGACGTTTCTTGAATCAATATAACCACATATAAGATTGATCTTTTGGATACCCATATGTATGGAACATTTTATAAATAGGTATAAACAAAATATAACACTGTAGAACTTTAATATTTCAAAATATCAATGCAACAATTCCACTAATACATGTAATAATGAGATAATTAATACAAGGGGAGTTCAAATATAAAGATGATAATAAAGATAATTCCTAATCTAATAGGAAATATCTAAACACTATCCAAAAGCATACCATAATTTGAGATTTGGTGAAGCATAACTGTATTGAAAGCTTACAGTAACATGCACTCTTGACTACACTCTTCGCCCCCAAGAAGATTCTAAGTAGACAGGTAAGTTATCTCGGATTCTTGAGGAAGAAACAACAACAATTATAATATACATGTATAACATAATAATAACAATAACAGAGGTTTTACATAGGATGAGTGGAAAACATACAGGGCTATAAGCCAGCTTTTGCCAAGGGAGGGGTTCACTTCAAAAAATTCCAAGGGGATCACATTTGACAACTTTAGCCCAAAGTCAATTAGGAAGTGTTCATAATGGTGAAAACTGTATGATTTTGAATGAATTTTTAGCAAACCCCAACCCATGTTGGCTACAGGCCTCACTCAGGGTACCCCAATCAAAAGATTAGTAAAACAAAAAAACAATAGAAAAATTAGAGACTACAGAATTGAGTACCATATTTAGATGACTGTGTTTACAATACACGTTATTTGGAACAAACATTGTTTTAGTCCACAAGCGTGTGAATATTTCGAGTTGTGAGTACAATCAATGTACATTGTACAATGAAAACAATTTTGTCACATTTATCCAATGACCTGGTATGTGATATGTGAAAATAGCTGAATACACATATACTTTAAACTTAAGCTGATCAATAGTAATAATGACTAAGTATTACAAATAGCTTTAACCCAAAATATGTAACATCATAAATAGCCTCAGTGAGTCATCAATGACAAAGGTCAATAATAAATCATATGTTGGTGGATAGTCTTGCGTTATGCCCCTCAACCCCTCCTCATCTTTAAGTCTGGGTGTTAGAAAGAAAATAGATAGAACGGCTTGATGCATGACTATTGGCTAAAAACATGTAATGGTAATTTACCAATCAACCACTTTGTAATTATATGATTATTTCAAATGTGCCGAGTTTACTTTGGAGTGAAGATACTGTGTGTGTGTCCCTGATCTTAAAGCAAATATACTGTTAAATCAATTCAAAACAATTTGATCACGATGAGCACTTATACTGAATCACTACAGAGTAAAAATACAACCATTTTCAGATAACTAACCTTCCAACCACTGGAGCTACTGTTTCCTCATACACCTGTTGAAAATTTGACAATTACATGTCACTCTATTGAAAAATATGTTTGTACCTTGTCAAAATGATGAAGCATAGGGATATTTTGACCAAAATAGGATATCATGACCAAAATATGTAAAATTAGGATTTTGCCCCTTTGAGAAAGATCGTTGGAAAGTCCTTAATTTTAATGATTTATCTGATGTGATAGATTCCTATTAACATTTTTTAGTTCACCTTTTGTGAGGGGTTGTCCAATAGATGAAATATTGGGGGACTTCCCTAATACCTAGTGGTCTTTCTCTAGCAGGTTACATACAACATGCCTATAAAATTGTGCTTTTCATATTTATGCAGACATTAATCATACACATTAAGTGTATTTACAATGGAGTATCCCGAACCTTGGCTAAACAAGGATAATATTATAAATGCTATGATCCATACTTAGAAAACAGCATAAAGCTCTCACTGACTTGTATGTCCACTTTATAGAGCTCGATTGGAATCTCTCTCCCCGATAGTGACACCTGATATGGCAACAACAGGACTTTGACCAAATATGGGCACTGTTGCAACAAGTTTATATCTCACATCTATATTGTCGATGCCTTTCATCTTGGAGTGTTCTGTCGAACCCGGAATGATGAGCTGTCTGTTAGATGTTGTCGCTACCTCTCCCTTTGGAACGTTCAATGGTACATTTAGCTCAACTAATTGTTTTGTACATTTCATTTTGGTGCGCTTGAGATATCTGAAATACATTCGTTTTTCTAGCACCAGTTTTACCTTTTTTACAGTACTGCGACTGTTATTATTGACAGATAATGACAGCTTGACTGGCTCACCCTCCGTGAAACCTGTTTTTTCCAGTTGAACATTAAGCTCTATTTTACCTCCAGCACAGAAGATCTGTTTCTCCCCAGAAGCCTCAGCAGGTTTAAAGAGCTCTGGTTTCTTATCAAGGTTTACAGGTCGTTTAACTAGAAACTCCATCTGGTTGGGTTTAGTTGGAATTTTCTTTTCACCGAAATGCGTTTTGAGGTTTATATGTGCTGAAGCATGGTATTCAATTTGTCCACCATTAACGTTACTGTTCCACTCCAGGGGACTGCCACAGAAGAATTTGAATGTAGATGGAAGAGATTTTGGTAATCTGAATTTGAAGGGAAAGGAATGATGACCCAGAGGGAGAGTTTCCTTGGTCCCATCCTCTTGATCACGTTTCCATAAGACCTTACTGAGTTCTAATACAGTCTCTGCCTCTTCTTCCCGATCCCAGAAACTGTGGTACCATTTTTTGAAGGTCACCACAGCTTCCCCAATGAGATTCACCTCTAGACTGGTGGCATTGATCGAATTTTTTACGTCAATCTCGACTGTCCCATCGATGACATCACCTGGCTTAAATGGGCAGTTCTGATCATTGTCTTTATGGTTTATGACAACGGTGAAGGACTTCAAGCTTGAAAATAGACCAGGCATTGTTCTTATCAGCAGTTAGTTCCTCAGCACCTGCAACATATGGTAAAACATTTTAAGTAATATATGCAGTGTGAAATCATCTTTAGAGAACTTCTCAGCACTAAAGCAGGTGATGCACCCACTTGAGATTTTGAAAATGTCTTGCACCCAATCAGTATCAAATATCAGCAATCAATTGATAATAAAATCAGTCCAAAAATGGCATAAGTATAATATCTTAACTGTGGTATTTACAAAAATGTTATTGCCAAATAAAATAGAAATCACATGTTTTGCACCATGAAGAATGTCATGATGAATTTCCCTTTTCAGAAATCAATCTACTTATTGATATAAATGGCACATGGAGGATGTTATTTGCAAAGCAAATGTTCAAAAACTGTATAGAAAATACAGCTTGTTAATAACATGTCTGCTAAATTAAAATGTTCACCGTTCATTCACCAGGTGCAGTGTATAATGTCACAGTAACAGTGTTTCAGTTTTGAAAGGTTTATAAAAAATAGAATGTTTATCCTACCATATTTTTTATTTTCCAATTGATATAATAGGCTTTACATAAAATGAACCCTTATGTGCCTTTCTTTTGACTGTTCAGATAAATAAATTCTGCAAGGTTTCTGAGAGCAAACAAGTGCAAATAATATAACAAACAAAATACATCTAGTATTTTTAATCCCCATGAAATTTTAGCTTTGATATACATGGTAGAATTTGTTCATTTAAAAGAAATCTATTCAGGCCATGCAGTAACTAAGGGGATGGGTTTGCAGGATGGCATCAGGCGGTCCAATTGTCCAGCAATTTACGTATTTGTCACACATTTGATGGAAAAGTCACGGCAGTTTTTTTGTGTGGGCGTACCAACTCAAAATCTAGCCCTATGCCCATGGCTGGTAGTTCATCAAGCTACTAAGGGATGTGAGCTTGGTGAGGAAATATATTTTGATATATACTGTACATGGCACATTAAACTGCACATTTTATTTTTCAAAATGAAAATTTATGAGCTCCAGCAGGAAGTTGTTATAAAAAAATCAGTCATCAAAATGTACGGGTTTATGTGCAATCTACATCTGCAAACTAATATATGACAGTGTTATGGTGCTGAATTCAATGAAACTCAAGTGAATACATTATTCACAGGAACTTGTATCAAAAACTGACAGTAATGACCCACTGGCAGATGTGGGGGGGGGGTGGGGCTGGGGCCCGGACCCCCTTCCCCTTGGGTGCGGGCCCAGAAAAAAAATTGGGCCCAAAAAAGGCGAAAAAGGACCCAAAAAGTGGGCCTTTTTGGTCATTACTGGGCCTTTTAAGGCCTTATTTTTTAATTTCAGGCCAAATTTTGAAGAAAATGGGCCTCAAAATTTGGGCCCACTTTTTTTTCTCTGACCTGAAATTTGCCCCCCCCCCTTTTGGTTCCCAGATATGCCCCTGTGACCCACCTGTAAGAACCTGGATATTGGGAGTTAAAGAGCGGTAGAGCGCTTACTGTTTAATGAATTTTGCAATGGGCCCAGGGATTTAGTGTACATATTAAACCTTGACGGGATCCTCGGCACACATGGGGTTTACCTTTTTTGACATTTGATATGATATTGAATCCAAATTTTAGGATCTGGTATGAGAATACCCACAAAATTATGATTTGCAGGCCTGTCAACTGTCCCGCAATTTGCGTATTTGTCACGCATTTGCTGAAGAATTTGAAGTCACGCCAGTTTTTTTTGCGTGACACAAAATGTCACGCAAATACGCATTTTACCTGGTAATTGTCACGCAAATATGTTTCTGTAAAAATTTTTTCAAAATATGTTCATGATACGGTAAAAATACGAACGTCGGAAAAAAACGAACGCAATTTGTTCGGATTTGTCACGCGAATCCCGTATATGTCACGCATGTTCATTGGAAATTTTCGTACCTACACCCCCCCCCCCCCCCCCCCCCGTTGACGACATCGCGAGCGTAGCGTGCGCGAAAAATTTGAGGTGATAAAAGTTTAGCAAAGGTGCTCAAACTTTGGCCAAAGGTGTTTAAAAGTTGGCCAAAGGTGTTCAAAATTTGGACAAAAGTGTTCAGATTTGGACTTCGGTGTCCAACATTTGTAAGTCACTCATATTAGGTGGTCCCAAGTTGACAGCCCTGGATTTGAGGCATGGCAATGGTCGGATTTTTCCACTTTCTTATATGAGAATGGTCGTGAACGTGACTTCACAATTGTATATGCCATAAGTTTTGATGTTACACATATCCTAAAGGTCCATGTGCAGTATGGCAAGTGATTTTAGGCAGTCAGATCTTTCACCATGAGTATTTTCTGGGTATAAATACAGTGGTTTTTATTAAAAAAATATGTTTTTTTTCAAGTGAAGTCCCCATGATAGTAAAATATATATTGGATTTAAAAGGGGATTCCCCGTTTGACTGACCCGGAAGCACCAACAAATGGAGGAATTTGACGGTTGAAATAGTTAAATATTACACGCAAATATTGCGATCAAAAACGAAAATTTCTTTGTTCTATACCGATAAACCCAGACAATTGTAGATTCAACTACAGGAAAAGAATGCTAAAATACCAAGGAATCTATTGAAATAGGTATCTTAAGTGTAAGAAGCGTAGAAAATTTTCCCATGTTGTAATCGTACAGGCAAAAGAATAAGACATTCGCAGGACTATAGTCCTGGCACGGGATGCCATACTGCACATGGACCTTTGAGGTTGTTCTTGATCTTTTCTTCAAATATCGATCAGCCTTCTTCTCAAGGCCTTTTTCAGTTTGAATAGAAGCTTTTTTGCATATATTTATTATGGCATTGGGTCTGCATTGGTCTTATACCTGGCAATGGCCTTACGTTTGCAGTTATCTGGCAGAATAGCAAGATTGAATGAATTATTTTCATCAGTGAATGAATTATTTTTTCCTATATCATTTAGGGCGTTATACCAGGCTTGTATGACTTCCAAATATAGATATTCAAGATGTGTATAATGTTTTTGAATAATATCAATACTTTTTCTGAAATTACTTTCATCTGAGCTTTCATTCATGACCTTGATCCACTCAAATGGCAATTTGGGAAAACCCCAGAATCATTATTTGTGAACCATTTGTGAAGCATCCAGGTGCCGATTAAAGTTCCTGTGTTTGAATTACTGTCTTCCGAAAAATGTGTGAGATGTCTTCTTAGGAAGACTGATAAATTTGTGCGAATATCCAGAGATTTTGTCGAAATGGAGACCCTATCTGTTGCAAGACTAACGCCTGGCGTAACCGTCACCATGTTATTCAGTGTTTTTAAGTAGCGCAAGGATCCTGTCATGACCGTGGTAATGTTATCGTGAAAGCCTGGTATAACCGCGACAATGCTGTATTATATTGCAATGCCTGCCATGACCGTGACAATGTAATATAGTTCTGCAAGGCTTGGCATGACCGTGACAATGTAATATAGTACTGCAATGCCTGCCATGACCGTGACAATGTAATATAGTATTGCAAGGCTTGGTATGACCGCTGTGGCAATGTGATATAGTATTCCAAGTTCGGGTATGAGAGTGGTAATGTAGAAATTTATGATTGCTATAAGTGACCGTGACAATGTGTATTTGAAAACCTTGCATGACCGTGACAATGTATTATGGGATCGCAAAGTCCGTGACAATGTAATATTGTATTGCAAGGCCAGGTATGAGGGGTAATGTAGAAATTTAGGCTTAGTCCTACTATGACCGTTATAATGTATTGCAATAACTAGTAAATATGTATGACATTAATGCCAGGAATATCCTTAACAATTTTAAGTGATCGTCATTACAATTAAACAGTTTAATACTATGATCATGGTGTTTAACTACCTTAATCATGTCAAAATCAAAATTACTACTATACATTAATATTCACATTCGTTTATAAACCACAACTAAGGCTACGGTCGCGCCAGGCTTCCATGATAACACTTCCAGGGTCATGACAGGCCTTGCAATATAATACAGCATTGTCACGGTTATACCAGCCTGTCACGGTTATACAAGGCTTAAACGATAACACTAACACGGTCATGGCAGGATCCTTGCGCTACTTAAAAACACTGATTAACAAGGCGACGGTTGTGGCAGGCGTAAGTCTTGCAATAGATAGCATGTGTCGAAATGAGATTGAGAAGCAAAGAAAAAATATTTTGGGGCTTTCCATTCGGAGATCTCTATCGTATTTTAACTCCGTGCGCATTCATAGACCTTCTTATAGCTATCTAACTGATACATATTATCATAAGGAAATTATTAAACAAGAAAGTGAAGAGCTGTGTTCCAGGAAAACGTATATACTTACCACAAGTTTGGGTTTACCCCATTCGGTCGCCCCAGCTCACCTTTACCTGTATCACGTGATGTCACCAAATTTAGATACACTAAACGAAATTAGATTCTTATCAATAAATTACCGGGCCATGACTCAGATTCACTTGTTTGGGGATAGAGGTCCATGTTTGATGCAGCAAAATAACAGTAATATTTAAAATAATATGCAACGACTTCAGTAGGGGTGTTGCAATTGCCAGCTTTCAGTCAGGGGGGGGGGGGGCCAAAAAAATCAGTTTTCAATCAGGGATTTTGCATAAACAAGCCAAAAAGTAAAATTTATTTTGAATACAAAAATTGATGCAACTTCCTTCAAATTTGAGCTAGAAGCTTCAAATAGAAGCATTTCAAAGCTATTTTCTTCTTCTTTCTCATGGTTTTATGTATGATACATATATACATAGATACATGTACTTCAAGAAAAGCCGGCGATTGGCCGCAGATTTTCTTTGCAAACGAAGTTGGCCGAGGGTACCACGAATGTGAAGAGGACGTCGCTAATTGGTCAAAAAGAGAGGCTCGGCATTCTCCTTCAGATTGAAATGGCAAAATTCGGTTCTATGGCTAACCTTCGGCTGCATGGCGCAACCTCGATTGAATGGAAAAGATGCTGTGACACTGAGCTATGACAAGCTGTGACGACAAGTTGACTCTACAGATTGAAATTGATGCTTTGCCAACTTGATCCTTGGAAAAAGTTTCATTAAAAATATGTACATTGGATATGATTTTACTACATACGATTCTTTGCCCTCTTCATGACATTGCGAGGAAGTGAAGTTGTAGCTAAATCGTAATTGAGGTTATTAGAATACCCAAGTTGTCTTTTTTCTAATATATCGCACAAACGTTTCCATCTTAGATCTTTTAATAATGCTCTTGCCGGCTTTCTTCTAATTTGAAAAATTGCTTGACCCGCAGAGTATTGAAATGATATAAGTTTGGAAACAGCTGATTTAGGAATAGATGTAATAAATGTAAGCACACAATATACCACAGATTAGATAAGACCAGTACAGTATGTATTCATTTAATGGATCAATTGATGCAATGTACCCATGCAGTCCAAAGAAATCATTGACTGGTAACTCAGTAGATTTGTGAAGTTCGAATGAAAATTACATCGTTTTGAGCTATTGACTTGTATTGAATACAATTGTCTAATTAAAGTCTGCTCCCATATCATATGATAGAAACATGCTGAATACATGCTACCGTGAGGTCAATGCACGCCACAAAACGGTAGAACACTAGAATTTTCGTGATATATACTTTATGATGGATAAGTCTCGAATAGAAGTAAAACGCTATATTTCAGTATGTGTTGGTATCTTTGGACTCGTATTTTATGGAATCATACTTGGTTTCAACATCTATGCCGTTGCTCTTAAAGAAACGTTCAACTATACACAAACGGAATTGGAGTACATCGCCGCAAGCGGTATTGTGGGATCCGAGATAACTTCGTACCTTACCGGTATAGCCGTTGACAGATTTGGGCCTCGCTCAACATGCGTTGTAGCTGCTATACTTAGTTCATCTTGTTTCGCATTGATGTGGATGGCAACGAAGTTCATATCGTTCTTTGCATCGCGGAGCTGGATTATGTGCTTGATATACTTCATGGCCGCTAGCGGGTGCTGCATGAATTTTCTGGCGTGCATGGCACCGATATCCCTTAACTTTAAAGAGAATCATCGTGGTAAAATAGTTGGGTTTGCGAGTGCTACGATTGGCGCTAGTCCCCTTATATTCACTGCTATATATCAGGGATTCTTCGTGCAGGGGCATGTAACTGACGAACAGAATCAACATATTGGTGATTTCTTTGTTCTGCTGTCCATATGGGCAGCATGTGCATATTCTCTTTGCGCAGCATTTCTTAAAATAATTCCCCCAGAAGACACTTCTATAGCTCTATATCTCAAAGGTGAAGGAAAGGATCCAAGTCCGTGCAATGACCAAAATGATGCGACAAACATAGAAACTAATATTGACCATGCTATTGCGAACCTTGTAAATGCAAATGAAGGTAATGAAACTAATCAAAATGATAACAAATTAAACGACAAGACTCCATTATTTCAAAAGGACTCTGATTCCAAAAACAATAAACCAGATAGTTTCAACTGCAAAGATATCACATGTTTTCAGATGATGAAAACATTGAAGTTCCATTTACTGCTCTGGATAGCAATATTAATTAGAGGCATAGGATGGACATTTGCTGCAAACATCACAACAATGGCAAAGTCTGCACATCTCGAGACAGCATCAGCTATATTATTAATGATCATTCCAATTGCTAATACACTTTCAAGGTTTTTCGTTGGGTTTATTCCGGATGTTCTCAAGCAGAGGTTTACATGGATTCCACTTTCATCATCACTGTTGGTTGCATCTTTGCTAATGATGATGGGCCAAACTATTCTAATATTCTTTAATCAACATTTAGCAGCCTTGGTGTGTTTTTGTGTAATGTCTAGCATATCATGTGGATTTATATCTACATTAGTGCCCATTTTTATCATAGAGCTGTTTGGAATGAAGGAATTTTCACAGAAGCTAGGATTGGTTTTTACATTAGTCGGGATTGTCGCGTTTCCATTTGCAAAAATCTTTGGTGTGATTTATGAGCAAAACAGTCCCCCGAGTTCTAATGATTGTTTTGGAGTACATTGTTCAAGATGGACATACGTCTCCATGGCTATTCTATCTTTTCTTTCCGTTGCACTAAGTGCAGCATTGATGAAGGCAGAACATAAAAAACACTCATCCTGATGATTGAAAGTAAAACTTTGATATGTATTAATCACAGGGATTGGATATCAGATAATATGTTCGTTTGTTTTGTTTGTTTTTTATTATGTCACCACCAAAAAGTGGTGACATATTTTGGTGGTCTCAGTTTTTTTTGACGGCGGTTGGTGATCGGCCGATCGGCGGTTGGCGATCGGGGTCCATAATAAATTCTTTCAACTTCCAATAACTTACAAATATTGCTTTGACTGACTTCATTTTTTTTCAAAATCATCTTTCAGAAGTTCAAATCTGACTTTATATTTAAGATTTGACCTTCAATGGCCTTTTAAAGGTTAAAAAGGTCAAAAAGGTATTTTTTCAACTTGCTTCAAATTGACCATTTTTTTCCAAATCATGTACAAGTTCTCAAAAGTCTAATCTGAGTATAAATTTGATCTTCGATGACATTCTCAAGGTCAAAAAAAATTTGACCTACAATGACCTTCTCAAGGTCAAAAATGTCCTTTTTCATCTTGCTTCAAAATAGACCATTTGACCTCAGAAGTTCAAAACTGACTTTAGATTTGAGATTTCACCTTCAATGGCCGTCTCAGGTTAAAAAAGTATTTTTTCAAATTGACCAATTTATTTTTTCAAAAATCATCTACAAGTTCTCAGAAATTCAAATCTGACTTAGATTGAACTCATAATATTGTTAGCAACTATAATAGGTGGTGGTGACATTTTGTCATGTGAATGCCTTGTTTCGGTTTGTAATAGCAACAGACACTGCAAATCTTGTGATGACTATTGAGTGTCTTTTGTCAAATCTAGAAGGAACATCCCAGGTCAAATCATTCTTTAGTTGATCATGATGCGTGTTCGATATCTGATTCCGCTATACTCAGATACTTGTATAACACAGCGCATCTGCAGCTGGTGAATGAACTGCAAAAAACATCTTAATTTAGCAGACACATTATTGGCAAGCTGTTTTTCCATGCAGTTTTTGAACTTTTGCTTTGCAAATAACATTCTCCATGTACCATTTATTTCAATGAATAGATTAATTTCTGAAATGGGAAATTCATCATGACATTCTCCCTGATGCAAAAACATCCATTTTTATTTGGCAATAACTTTTTTAACAATGCTTTGACTTAAACTTTTTGATAAAGATGTATTGCATTACATATTCAACAACTCCAGATCCAAGGCAAACTCCCGGTCATTGCCCTGCTTTACCTATCTAACTATTACACAATAGAGAGGTTTCGCAAAACGAATTAGCTAAAACGTATCCGCATCCGTATCTCGTTACGTTTACGGATACGTATTTCGATAATTTTCGTTTCGCAGTTCGTTTTTTGAAGTACGTAATTATAAACGCATCTCAATCCGTGTTTAATAGTAGTGAAAACTAGGGTCAAATAAAAGGCTTTATCTGCACTAAGATTTCAAAACACCATTGGGAGTGTCAGCTTTCAGAATCACAACTCCAAAAGTATTTTTGGTGAGTGCAAAAATACATATTAACCCTTTCATCCCCAAGGTGTCATTTGTTAATTTCATGACATCAATTTCAAAATGAAGAATATCCTTTAGGCTAGAAAAGGTTATTTCTAGGTTTACAATAACCAATTCAGTGTCAAATTATACTTTTGGGAATATTTAAGGATTTGAAAACAGATAGGCTGAATAGTGGTCATCAAGTGACGTGCAAGGACTGCATTATGCCACAAAATGCGTAAACATTTCGAAAATCACTTTCCATACTGCACATGGACCTTTAATTTCATGTTTTTGCAGCTGTATATTTGGTAATAATTCAAGATCAAATAAGTAAAAAAATAGCGACTTGGGCAAGGCCAAGGCATTCGGAAACCATACGTTTTCACATAAGCCACCCCCTTTCCTCATACATTGGCTTTAGTTGAAAACCCATGCCTCATATAAACTAAGGAGGGGGGCAAAGTAACATAGTTGATCATAGAAAGCGACACAAATATATCATTTATGCAATAAAAGTATGTTTTGTATGAGAAATCAACAAAAAATATATTATGTAAAAAGATAAAATAGCATTGTTTTTCTTGAATTCATTGAACAACGGGGGATCAGCTCATCAGAGAACGACACGAAGCTAACGCCTTTCATACCAGTTGAATATCTCACCATCGTAATACCCTCTATCCCCTTTTGGGTCTACACAGAATCAACTGATGAACAAACAACATAATACCCTAAACCGGCCATTTGTTTCTTAACCCAGTAAACACCACAACCTGGTCGGACACATCCCACAACTCGACATATATAACCTATTACAACCAAACACAACCTAGATCACCAATCGTGCAACAGTACAATAGAACATAACGCAGTGTCAAAATACACAGAACGCAATAGAGCATAACCCAGCACCAAAGCCAGTATAGCGCAACCTGACTTACAACCACCAAAACAAAACCAACTGTCAGATTAACACAATATGTCAACAAAGACAGACACAACCAATTGTTGAATTAACTCAACACAATTGTGCACAATTCAACACTAAACAATTAAAACACAATCAGGCACAACAAATAAAACACAACTAAACTAACAACCATGAAAACACATCGAACTGTGAAATTATCACCACACAATTTGGCACAACCCAATGGTAAATCAACAAAGGCAAACACAGTCAATTGTTCAAGTACACAACACAATTTTTCAAATCCTAAAACAAAACAATCAAAACAAAATCAGGCACAAACAAAAAACTCATTAAAATTGTAATACCGAGATACACAACTAACTTAACCCAATTAGAGACAACGCCAATCACACAACACAATCAGTCACAACAATATACCTCAACCGACTAACCACAACCAGCTAGCCAACCAACATAACATATTCACAAGAGAAAACAACCCATTATACGATAAACATAACACAATCGGACACAACCTGATACTAAATCCCCAGACGAACAACCATCGAAAGAGAACTGAGTCTCAAACGTACACAACACAATTCGGCAAAACCTATACCTACTTGACACTAACCCACCATTACACAACCAGGCTTAACCAAATACTCAATCGATTTACTCAACCCATCAAAACACAATCAGGCACAACCAATAAACCACAACGAAACGTTGATACCGATTTACTCAACTAAGTTATTCCAACTGGAGACAATCGCACAAAACAATCGGGGACAATCCGATATCTACTGAATATGTACTTGAATTACAACCCCCCTCCCTATCATCACAAGGCTGCTAATGAAGAACACATCATGGACCCCTACCCAAGAGTTAGGAACATCTGGGGCCCCTACCGTGACACATATGTAAGAGAGAAGATCCGTTACAGGATCTGGATGTCAGGCCTGTCTTTACAAAAATGAAAATAGGAAATGATACGCCAATATCATCATCCTAGGATCAAAGAAATATACTCTACCTGTTACATAATCACTGACGGTGGTTCGGGGAAGCTTGGGCACTAAGCTTTAGGGCACTAGTCTCCATGGACCCCCAAACGAGACCGCTTACTATTTGACATAGATCGCATCGACTTGATGCGTGTTCAAGTCATACCACGGGAAGAAGCTACCTGGCTAGACATTTTTTCAAAATCATTCAGTTTTTCATCATACTGAGCACTTTTCGGGAGTTTTAAGCCAAAAAGCTCCCCCTTGCCACAAGCTGGATACGGGCAAGAGTGATGCGGGGCGCCATCTTTAGACCCAATATCACATTCATTGTCGAGGTCAGGACCAAGCTACTATACTCAAACTAAGCCCAAGACCCTGCTCTATATGAATCCGGAGCGTGACTAAAGGCACAAAATATATATTCAGGTGGCCTAGCTGCTAACCATTGGTTTGATGTCCCTAAGAAATTGACTACGGTATTACTATTGACCCCAGAAACGATAGACCTTAAATCTGCCTATAAGCAAATGTGACGAAAGCTTTATTTGTACAAATTGCAGGCCCCTCGCTTATAATCAAATTTATCGGCAGATAAGGCTATTACTTCATCAAAATTAGCAAGATACACATGATAACATATGTGGGTTACTAAAATTATACATTTAGGGAAAAATTTATCAAGATTTGAAGGACAAAATAGATACGGAGACAACTACGCACAGAAAGTGTTAGTGTACGTACTTTCGGTATTGCTGTTGGTATCACAAACGTATTGCGTGCATTTTTACTCCATCGATGCGTTACGGATTTTGATACGGGTAGCTAAAACGGTGTGCGAAACATGTACACTGTAATTATTGCAATACCATTCCATACAGTGTAAAATGAATTGAACATACCATTTGAAAAACTCGATTTATTTCAAACAATAAACAAATTCATTCACCAAATTTTAGTCAAATTATACACAGTTCACTGTGCGTGTTCATATAGTGATACCTTTAGAACTAAAAACAATACAATCGAAGGGTAAAATCGGTACGTAAATGACCAACGTACAAAAGCCTCATTTTTCGTGTTTTCCGTATCATTTCACGTATAAATTGAACTGAGTACCCATAAATCTGGTAAATACGTTACGGATACGGATACGTGGAGCTAAAAAGCGTTTTGCGAAACCTCTCTAATATCATTAGGAAATTATCGGAATTAGAGAATGAAGAACTACGTTCCAAACTTTCCACAGTTCGGGTTGTCATGGTTACTTCAGCTCTCCTTTACCGTACCATGTGATATCACCAAAGAAGCGCCGAGGTTGTCTCAAACATTTCTCGAAGGTGTTTTTTGATCATGAACACAAGGGTATTTTTTAGACCCATTCATTATTCCCAAAAAAGGTACTATATAATGATTAAGCTAATCAGACGAAGTGATATCGGACAATGGACCAATCAACACCCTACTATTATACTACGACCCTTGGTCACGTCTGTCCGGGATTGTGCTAGATCCAATGCCCATTGCGGGAATCGAACCTAGGATCTTCCTAGGCCATAAAGGCTAGCCACTACAGCGGAGACTATAGTAGCGACTTATTTCACTTATTTGATGGCAGCAAAATAAATAATAAAAAGGAATAATATAGTTGCTGTTTTACAGTTAATACAAGGGAAACATTTAAAAATATTAATTAGAAACAAGCCAAGGATTAAAGTCAGTTTAATAATATTGTATTGATGAAATTAGAATCGACTTGCTGTTACTAGTTTTTCTAATTATCAAAATCGCAACACAAAACTAGTAATAGTATAGGGAGGTTAAAGCTAAACGTTTTTAAGAGAAGTGACACATATGTCTTAAGAATTTTTATCTTTTAAAAACTTGCGGCTTAACCTCCCTAACATCGGAGTCAATATACGAAGGACCAGAAACATACTTAAGTTTAGGGTGATGTTC